ATTAGTATATATATATTTTAATAATTCTTCTATTAATATTACTTGCTTTATTTAATATTATATTACTAATAATTAATAAATTAAGGATATATATAAAAAAAAACTAAAAAATATAAGAAAATAAAAGCTATTCTAGCCAAGTTTACTTCTAGTATTATATTCTTTTATATTCTTAAAAATTTTTTTTTTAAAAAGGAACTTAAAAAGCCTATATTAATTACTTTTATTAAATATAAGTAATATTTTATAAAAACTAAAGATTTCTTAATTATTAAATATTATAATTATAATAAGTTTAGCTATTATATTAAATACTATCTAGTTAGATATAATAAGGAAATTAAAGTAGCTTTTTCTAGAATTAAATCAGGCTTAGTTTCTATTTTATTAGAATACTTAGTTTCTATTCTAGTAAAATATTTAGAGAATTTAGATTCTAATTCTGGTATATAACCAGAAAATAAATACTTCTAAAGAAAGTTTTTATTTTAGGGGCTTATAGTATAAATTTAATAGAAATTAACTTAATTTATCTAATAATAGAAAATACTCTTATAATATCCTATATTATTAGTATAAATAAATTAGAAATTAAGTTTTTTTCTTTTATTAATACTAGAGCTAATAATTATACTTTTATTAATATAAAGCTTATTTAGTTTATAGAATAATTCTTAGAAATAGAACTATAATTCCTTTTCTTATTCTATATTATATATGGTTTTAATAGAAAGCTAGCTAAGTTTACTAAGAAATATATAGAAGTTTTACTTCTAATTAATAAATAAAGTATTAATATATCTATAATTATTCTAAACTTTAAAGATTATAATATTATTCTTAGTAGAAAATAAGCCATATATCTTAATATTCTAGTTAATTATAGAAGATATAAACTTATATAGCTAAAAGAAAATAAGCCTAAATCTATATAATTCGGTTATATTATTAGTATTTCTTAATAATAGCTAGAGAAATAACCTAATAAAAAGTATTAAAAAGATATTAATTAACGAGATTTTATTATAAGCTATTTCTAGAAATCTTCTATTTTTAAATAATTTTTCTTTTTTTAGACTAATTAAAGAGAATTATAGAAAATTATAGAAAAGAAACTTCTATAGCCTAATTAAAATATAATATTTAAGTAAAAGCTAAAGAAGTAGAAAGAAGTTCTTAATAAAAAGCAAATATTAGATTTAGCTATTCTTATTTCTATAATATTTAATTATATAGCTAAAAGAAAAAATATTATTATTAGTTAAATCTCTATTTATAAGATTAATAAAAAGCTTAAAGCTCGGAAAAAGAAGTTATTTCTAGTTCAGAAAATTAATAATTAAAAGAAATAGAGCTTTAATAACTATAAAAGATATTATTTCCGGAATTTAAGAAATATATTTCTATTTTCTCTAAAAAGAAATTTAATACTTTTCTTTTCTATAAATTATATAATTATAAGATTTAGATCAAAAGCCTAAAAAGAACTAAAAGTATTAAATATTAATTTCTTTAATAATAATTTACTTAAAAGCTTCTAGAAATTAAATATTTCTTAGAAAATAATTTAGCTAAAGGCTTTATTAAAGCTAGTTAAGCCTTTTTTGCTTTACTAGTTCTTTTTATAAAGAAAGTAAATAGAGATTTATACTTTTATATTAATTTCTACTATTTAAATAATATTATTTAAAAGAATTAATATTTTCTTTTATTTATTAATAAGATTTTAAATTAATTATCTAAAGCTAAAATTTATACTAAATTAGATATTTATTAAGCTTTCTATTATATAGCTATAAATCCGAACTCTTAAAAGCTAATAATATTCTATACTTATTATAGAATATATAAATATAATATTTTCTAGAAAGGCCTTATAAATAGTCTAGTTATATATTAATATTATATAAATAATATATTTTTTAAATATCTAAATAACTTTTATATAATATATTTTAATAATATTTTCATTTATTTAGAGAATCTAGTAAAGTATAAATAGTATATATAAAAATACTAGATTACTTATATTTTATTAGCCTCTAAATAAATATTAAAAAATCGGAATTTAAAGTTATATATAAAAAATACTTGAGCTTTATTATTTTTATATTTAGTATTAAAATAGATTTTAATAAAGTTAAAATATATATAACTAGTAATTCCTAAAAATAGTTAAGGATATATAATTCTTTTTTAGCTTCTATAATTTCTATAAATACTTTATTAAAAAATATAAATAAATTACTAGATTTCTTATTTTATTTATAAAAAAGAATATTTCTTTTAAATAATTCGAATAATATTAAAAGGCTTTTAATTATTTAAAAAAGCTATAATTTATATTTTAGTTCTATAATACTATAATTTAGATTTACTTATAATAATAGAAATAAATATATCTAAAGAAGTAATTACTAGTTTATTCTTTTAATAGAATTCAGAAATAGACCTTTAATATTCTATAACTTATATTTCTAAAATTATATTTCTAATAAAGCTTAATTATAATATATATAATAGGAAAATACTTATTATAGTATAAGTATTAGAGAAATAAAAAGCCGAGCTAAAGAGCCTTTAGAATTTTTTTTTAAAAGTCTATTCTAATTACTATATTTTAAAATATTTTATAATTATTAAAAAGCTCTTTTCTTAATAAGCTAGATAAGCTAAGCTCTTATTTTGCTATTATTTTAAGCTTATATATTATTCTAGAAAATCGATTTATTTAATTCGAAATTAGGTTCTAAAAAATTAAATATATACTAAAGACTTTCTAGAGAAATATATTTCTATTAGAAATATAATTCTTCTAAAAAAAGATATTTTTTTAGAAGCTTTACTAGTAAACTTTACTATAATTATTCTTATAAAAGTATTATTAAAAGCTTTTACTAAGTATAATAGCTTATAACTTATAAATAAAATCTCATAAAATAATTATATATTATAGAATCTAGAAAAGCTATATATAATAGCCTAAACTAAAAGTAATATTTAAATATTATAAAATAGCCTTCTTTTATATTATAGAAAACTCTATATTATAAAAAATAAAATAATTCTCGAACTATTTTTATAAATTATTCTAATCTATAAAATATATAATAAACTTCTTTTTAGATATCCTAAATATATAAAGCTTTATTAGCTACTAAAGAAATAATATTACTAGCTATCTATAAATAAGAATATTAATTAATACTATAGTAATTACTATACTTATAAAAGATTATATATATCCAGAAATAAGAAGCCTAGTTTGCTTTATTTTCTTCTAGTTTCTAATTATTTCTAGTAATATATTACTATAGATTTTAAAAGCTATTTAGAAAGCAAATCGGGCTATAATATAATTATTATATTCGTGAATTATTTATTTAAGTATTTAATTATAATTCTTATATAAGATATAATTATAACTAAATAGCTAATATTTCTATTTTTATTTTATATAATATATTAAATTAGTATTTCAGAAATAATTATATTAGATTAAAGATTCTAATTTATATTTGATTTTTAGAGCGAATTTTATACGAGAATTAGTATTAAGCTTAAGCTTTTAATAGCTAATTATCTTTAAATAAACGAATAAACGGAAATTATTAATTAGTATTTTAATTAGAAATTATATCTATATATTAACTATTATTAGAATAATTAGAATAAATAGGTTATTATAATTAATTATTAATAAGCCTTTCTTTAATATAAAACTATTAGCTAGTTTCTATTTATAACTAAAAAGAGCTATAAATCTTATATTTCTCTAGATTAGAACTTTTCTATTAAAGCTAACTTATTTATATAAAAAAAAGCTAAATAGAAATAAAGCTAAAATATTAATAAATTAATTATATGAATTATAGTAACTTGCCTAAGATTATATAGAATAAATATAAGAATAATATATAATATAAACTAATAAATACTATTATCTAATTAATTTCAAAGTTAGAAATAAAATATAAGTTATTATAAAGTACTAGAAATCTAATTATTTGAACCAGAAGCTAGGGAATTAAATAAAGAATCTATTTGAGATTCTAGAATAATATAGCTATTTATTTCTTCTAAAATTACCGGAAACTATAAAGATATATCTAGTTTTCTATATAAAGAAGCTATAAAAGAACTCTTAGAATTCTCTATTAAATTAAGTAAATCCGGAACTACTTTTATTAGTACTAGAAAATAATAAATAAAAGTATAGTATTAAACGAGTTATTATAATTAAGCTAATAAAAAATAAATTAAAGTATAGAATCTAGTAAATTAATTAGAATAAGAATTTAGTATAATATCTAGCTTTAGTATTAAGTAATAGCTTCCTGGTTTTATAAAGCTTCTATAATAATAATATTAATATATTAGAACTTCTATAAAACCTATAATATTAGCTAGATTATATAAAAAATAATACTTGCCTAAAATTATATAGAAATAATAATAAATTCTTCTAAATTATATATTAAAGATACCTGTCTTTTATATATAATATTTATATTCGAAATACTAGTTTATTTTAGGAAAAAGAATAATATGAAATTAGATAAATTAATAGCTTTTATAAAGCTCGAGAATAAACTTATTCCGAAAAAAAAGTAATATTATAATTTATTAGATATTTAAATATTTAGCTAAATACTAGATATCTCCTAGATATATATAATATAGTTACTTTATTAGGAAAATATACTTGAAATATATTAGAGATATTTAGAAGGCTAAGCCCCTTCGGAACTAGTATATTATAGGATATATATACTTCTTTATAGCCTCTTATATTCTAGTTTTCCCTTCCTTAGCTTTAAATTATTTTTATAAGAAACCTTTTATTTTACTTTCCAAGCCCTAAATACTATATCCGTAATAACTATACTACTCTTCACCCGACCCACCGACAGCACAACGATCAGTTCTGTAATTCCTTACGCAGGCATTCAACATTCGTTAAGGAGTGGTGGAACGAACATGGACAACTGTCAACGATAATGCAAGGTGTGGTGGAGCTATTGATTGCTGTGCGCTGGCCCCTAAATGACAAGGGAATGCGGTATAATGCCTTGAATCTTCCCCTTTTCCTCGAGAAGCAGGGTAATCCCTTCAACAATTTGCATCCCCGAACCATTGAATTCCGACAACATGAAGGCACACTAGAACCGGAACGTATTGTACAGTGGATTAAAGCTCTTGTTGGTATTATCAATTTCGTCGATACTGCTGACCGAGACTCCCTCAACCGTCTGTTTCGCAAGGTGGAAGAGGAGAAATGGCAGAAAGAGGGATATCCCAAAGATGCCTATATGGAAAAACAACTTGAACTTATTCCTGTTGAGAGCAGCTTTACCATGATCGATCTCTTTCGGTACATTCATCTCAACGAGCAAGCAGACTTCTATAGTAGTAGCTTGAATGATGTGATGGGGACTGAACCTCCAAGTAGACCAACCGTCTGGAGATGGGAATATGAAGAATGGCAGTCTCAAAGTACAATCACCGAGGAAGAATTTCAAAGGCAGCATGAAATGAGGCTCTTATGGGAGAAATCCCTGGCTTCATCACTGGCGCAACCTGAGGGATCAGCTTTCAAATTCGATCCGGATGACCAAATGTGGCCGAAGCGTGAAAGAGTTGCAAAGGCACAAACCGGGGGTTCAACTTTTGCATCAGGTTTTACATTCCATCGAAATGACCCGATATGGCCCCCTGCAGATGAGAATACAATTTCAGATGCCGAGGGGGACGAAATGGGAGAAGGTAACCGTCCACTGCGCATAGAAGAGGAGGAGGAAGATTTCTATAGTGCCGACTAAACCCCACTTATTAAAGCTAATACGGGTACGGATGCCATATTTTGATAGATTACAATTTGATCATTCTTACGAACCAAAAATAATACTCTAAGCCTAGGTGACGAATGTCTTGTGTGCTGACACGGAACAGCACCGCTAATATAAATAACCAGATTGAATTTGAAAGATTACTCAATCGCGTCCGCTAACCAATCTGTAAACATTTATCGTGAATAGCAAATTTGGAACAATGAATACACTGTTCAAAATAGACTCGCTGGAGTCGTCCGTTGAGGCTGCTTGCATGGCACGAGATGATGCTGATAAGGAAGAGACATGATTCATTTCGCTCGCAGTCATTCTCATGCCTTTTGCGGTCTCATCTAAATCCACTAAAGCCATTTGTGCTTCCAAATCCGCGCTTCACACACCGTACTCCGTAGCTCATGGATCGAAAGGAAACTCAAACAATCCTCCTGAATTGTCGCCCTGATTAGCATCGTCGTCTGAAAACAAAGAATACAACCTACCAGACAGGCTCAGATCTCTCAACTTTCGGGGTAGTCACGGCATTGCGGTCAGCGAACGGATCATTCTCGTCTTCTTCTTCAAAGTCATCTTCATCCTCATCCTCCTCTAGTGGTTGAACGACCGGTCTGGGGGGAGGTGGAGGCCGTGCCTCTGGGCTCGGGCTCTTGCCGCCGATATGCAAACCAGCAAGCTGTTGTGTAGTATCATGTTCCTTGCCTTTCTCAGACATGACTAGTATTCACCGTCAACATTGCTCACTGCCGAATGGCTAGTTGCTACAAACCCTTGTAGATATGCTGCTGTTCGGCAAGCTCATCGTCGGAGTCGCTATCAGCGTCAATGGACCTATCCAGCTGCTCAAAGGTCATGAGAGCCGTGACCAGCTCATCATTGGCGTGAAGAAGTGCTCCAAGCCATTGCTCCGCTTCAACATGTTGGATCTGTCAATGTTAGCGAGAGCTCTGACAGCACCCTTATCAACCCACATAGCGCAGTATTTTTCGACGCAGTAGTTTGCAGAACTCGAAGTGGTGAACTGCGTTCTTGTTCTCTGAGATCTGCTCTTTCTCACGATTGATCAGTTTGAGGGCGTTCAGGAGATTGGTCGATGCCACAGAAGCTTCAGCGATGGTGCTCTTCATCGCTTCCTTCTCTTCTTCCAGATTGAAAGCCTTGCCTTTCTTTTTCTTCTTGTCCTTTTTAGACTTAGTTGAGGTGGAGAAGAACGAAGGGGTGGAGCTTCTTGGCGATGCGCTCTGACCTGTAGCGAGAGAAGTTGATCGAGAATGTGATGCAACTGGGGCTGGTGCTGGAGGGGGAGTTTCTTCCTCATCATCCTCGAAGGGATTCTGCTCTGTTTCGCGAAGAACTTTAGACTTGTCTTGAGTGACAACTTGCTTCCGACGAGGAAGTTCCTAGGATGATATCAGTGCAATTCAGTCTCAAGAAGGAGAGTACAACTCACCTTGTAGAGGCCGGCAATCTGCTCGAGTCCGCGGACGTTTTTATATTCTACGGCCCATTGCCTAAACAACACCTTGCACTTATCCCTCACCAAAGGGTCGGAAAGGTCAGCAGTACCACAGACACGCAAACGCTCGAGAAGCATTTCGTCGGCAAATGTACGTTGAAACCGAGAGCCAGCATTCTGGATCAGACCATCGAGAAGGGTGAGAGCACGAAGTTGGCGGTGAACGTTGCCATACTTGAGCTTCTTTCGAATAGCCCGGGCAGCTTCTGCGGGACCAGTGGCTTGAAGCTTGATAGCCTCCACAAGATCCGGGATCCCACTCAAGTCATCTTCCTCAAACCGCTCACTCGTGAGTTGCTCGACAGCAACGGTGACGGCGGAGTAGGGTTTCTTCTGGTGAATGGACTCTGATATCAGCTTCTTGAACTTCTTGATCGGTAGAGCTGCTTTGTCCATGTTGAGCACCAGTTGAGAGTTACCACTTGGGGCTTTTCTTCGATGAACAGAAATACCTCCTGGTGAACAAAAGGAAGATGAGGACATCCCACTTGGGCAATCATTAAAGTGCCGAAAACGGCCGACTTGTTGGAGTGAATACATGAGAGAGAGGCCCTATTTGATTCTCAAAGACTTACCGAGGAAAACATATCTGTTGGGACTCGTTTCACCACCGATCTGTCAAGTGAACACTCAAAATCTCAAATCTCTGATCACAAGAGTCCCGTGACTTCGGCTTGCCTGCAAGCTTGATGACAAAGTCCCGAGAGCGTACGGGTTGCAGTTGCAATGTCGTTAGAGATCCTATCGAGGAAGTCCACCAAGTGGAATGGGATCCAACTTTATATCGGCTACCTTTGAACCCAGCACTGCCTAGATTTTGTTGACGTGGACGCCCCGAGGCTGCGGCTTGGTACTCAGCCAGCTATCGATAAGAGAGTGGTTAGCTTGAAGGTCCTGGTGCGGGACGTGGGTCCCCCCCCTGGATACTCGTAGAGCCGGATTTGAGTTCTCGGACAGATTTGACTGTGAATGCGAGAACGAGAAGCTCTCGAGATGCCGGTGAAGCAAGAGGAAGGAGAGGGAGCATGATCACTATGTGACGAGTGCCGGGCTTACGGCATTTGACCACAGCGCCGAAGCTAGCGGCCGCTCCACACTTCAGCCTCGTGGCTTGTGCATCCTATCTTCCAAACATCACATGCTTCTAAGCTCACTCAACCCGTTGTCTTCTGCGGTTACCAATACATCAATTTATTCCGTTAGGGTGTCGTTGCCGGTTGGGTGCGAGTCTGAGCATGAGAGAGCAAGATGGTGTTGTATCAGGGCTGGGATCGGGGGGAGATGAGGCAGGCTGACGCGGCATTCCTTGGACCATCAACAACGCAAGTTATTGTCCTGGATGGACATGAATGTGGTATGCAATGCTAACAGCTGGAAACACCAGAGACCGTAACTCCATCTCATCCTTTACTCCAATCAATTACAAAAATGCACAACCCCAATCCGTCAGTCCCTCCAAGACCTTGATCTCAACAGCACTTGATAGCGATGCTGTTTACGATTTGCCCGACGATGTTCACCTTGAAGCGGCGCTCCCTAAAAGAACGAAGCGGGGCGCTTCTCAAGCAAAGAAAGGTCGTGCTGTCTCGTTAGGCGCTGTGTGGGAGTTCAATGACGAGGAGGACCTCCAGTCCTTAGGTGACCCTATTCCGAAGAGACGAAAGGCGGCTCCAAAGCGATCCAAATCGACAAAGGTGCCGTCAAAGATGATCTCGGGGCCCTGGGGTAATGGGGTCGATGCCCAACAAGACATTGCAGAGCCTGATAATGGACCAAACTCCCAATTGACTACTCCTCCTGATCCGCACAAAAAGGCCAAGAGACGGACGGCATCTTCGACGTCGCAGAGCAAGGCGAAGAGGATGAAACCTTTCAAGAACCCCACAATTTCAAAGCCCTCCATGGCCGAGGAGAAGGGATTTGAGGACAATATTCCAAGCTCGAAGCCTGTCAGTACCCATCGAGGCTGGACAACTACTGAGGATGCCGTCAAAATTGCGAAAACAACGTTAGATAAGCTGGCTGCTTTTCGATACAAACCATCCGCAGGTTCAGAAACGCCAACTAACCTCCCAGTACAACGTGTAGATGAACCCAAACTGGTCCAGGACCCTGAGGTGCAGCTTGGAGCACCAGAAACTGGTCATTCTTCAAGTGGTTATGGCCATGTTCCAAGTTTTGGCTCACTGTTGCGCGACCCTCCTTTCAACCGTTCAGAAGCGAAGATCGATGATATATTCGAGGATGCTGAAGTGCAGGACGCAGAAACGGCCCACCTTCCAGCCACTGAAATGCTCCTGAACCACAGTCATGGTGACTTCTTCGCAGATGCGTTTTGGAATGTCCGAACAAGCATCCAAGCAGCTCCCATCAACCGAGAAGTAGACGAATTTCAAGTTCAGCAACAACCTCAAGCAAGTGGCAGAATCCACCTCTATTACACATCACCGCAGTCTGCTCCCATTCCATCTGAAAGTTTCCCAGACATTTCGGCTTCACTTACTGAGCCTACTCAGCATGTTACCAATAGCTTTGAACCGACCTCAAGCGAGGCCAAAATCCTAGATTCCGTTGAAATCGATCAATGCGATCAGCGAGTCTTTGAGAGATTCGAAGCTGAGATTCTGTCGACGCAAAACCGGTCTACAATTGCTTATATATTCTCTGAGGATGCAATTGAACTTGAGCAAGCCTACGATATTGGTGAGATGGAAGTCGAAGAAGAGGCTGCAGCGCAAGAGAGCTTTCCAGCAGCCAGAACAGACTCCAATGAACTCCATCCGGTTATCCTTTCATCCAATCATCCTCAACTGATGGGCCGAGTGACAGAAGTTCAGGTGGAGCGGTCCGACGCTGACGATACCGAAGCAACTCCCAGGGATGTCTCGAAGGATTACGAGTCAGACGAATTCGATGAAGGCCTAGTTGACAGTGACCTCCGGGTGGTGGCTGACGCTATTATCCCGGGCACTCAAATCAACTTGAAGGTGAACGAAAGAGAGAAAGGTGGAACATTACTGCAAAGTCAACCAATGTCACCCACATCTGCACCTGCTCAGAATGTATTTGCCTCTGGCAAGCCAGTCGGATTGACTATTGAGACCACTCCAGAGCCAGCGGCTGAAAGCCATCTGCTTCCGTCACCACAAATTCGGAGCTCGGAGCCAGATGACGAGTTCCCAATGGATGAAGCCGATGAAGAAATGTTCAACATGCCAGAACTTATGACGACTGGAATTGTAGAGCAATTCCAAGCTCCCGGAAGTTTGCAATATGCTTTTGGAGATGATCATGGGACGGGAGAAGTATACGACAGCTCTCTTCAATTCTCTCCTCCAAAAAATCGGCCCACCATGACATCTTTACAAAAGGTGCACACTGACATTGCTAATACACCTGAATCTCCAGCTCGCCGCTTAGATATCGAGCCGCTTCCACTGGGCGAAGAAGAAGACTGGGACTTCCTTCGCTCCGATCACGTTGATGAAGAAGGCGGAGTGCAAGTGAGCTCTGGCCACCTTCCTGGGCCGCTGCAACATACCATCGTGGACGGAACGGAAGGACGCGAACTATCTTCTCTTGGCTTGCAAGCACGCGCTCACCCATCGGACAGTGCCACAACTCCAGCATCGGCAACGCAAACGGACTTGGCCTTAATTATGTGGATCTTGGACGATAGGCATGAATATAAGCCTCTCCTACCATTCGCACGACCAGACTTCCCGACCTTGACCCGTGATCGTTCTCCAGTCACCGGTGTATCTGCACAGACTTTCCTTCGTGTTTGCTTCCGCATCGGTGAAATGTTCAAAGAAGGGGCGCGATGTGAGGCATTGAAGCAGGACACAGTAGTCGAGCTATTTGCTCGCGTGACCTTCTCTTCTCGTGAACCTGGTACTACCAAACAACACTTCCAGTTCGCAGATCTCTGGCATGACCGCCCACCATTTCCCAACGGAGTTCTGGCTAATTACAAGACAACGGGCTTGGTGGAGAGTGAATGCAAGGCGTTCCTCGGTGCTGATGAGGGAAGATTGACTCGATGCTTGGGGAGATTGAAGAGGAATAGCAAGAGTGCCACGGGATGGATGTTGCATATCATCAACATCAGGACAACGGATTGGGAGGAGATTAAGTGGACCAAGCGGATCGTGAGTGCTGGACTTCCGAAGTCGAAGACATTAGGGATGTCAAAACTGTGAGTGGGGACGAAGTCATTGGCTGGAAACGAGTTCGCTATTATTTGCTATCACATAGCTTGAAGGGCCGAAAAGGCTTCGCTAACATCTAGGCACAACTGACCTTGGCTGTATTCATACATCTTACATTAGCTCCCCATACTCTCAAACTCGGTTCAAAAGATAGATCTTAGCAAAGAAAATCCAATTCAAAACCATCATATCCAAACGCCTCATATTTCCCCAACTCCGCAGCTGAACCACAGCTATGACGTAACGCCCTCCAAACCAAATCTATCCCATTAATCAATCAATCAAGTTTCAGCCCCGTCGTCTCAGCCGTATTATCATCCGCCTTGAAGGGGCCTTTCTGGTTCGGAAACGAACTGATGAATATCGCTCCAAAGAACAGCAACATCACCGCAAGGAAGGTAAAAACGACAAGCCGGCGGATCTTCTGCTGCTCGCGATGATCATCCGACTTCGTAGAGCGGAACGCCACGCAGCAATTATTGCCCCGGCCTTGTGTGAGTGCTCTTTCGAGATCGGGCGAAGCGTCTGTGAAGACCATGCAGCAGTTGTCTCTTGCCTTCCTCTCCCCGCCAAGCCCGGTTTCCTCCCCGCCGGGATTTTGCTCCTTCTCGATCTGATTGAAGATTTGATGTTAGGAAGTGCTTGGTAGATGAGAGAGGAACGGGACAATGCGGGGAGATACCAGTAATCGCCCCATGCTCTCTTCCAACCACTCGATTCTCTGCTTTAGGCCCGCGATTGTCGCGAGTGCATCATTGCTCGTTCCCATCGTCATCTCAGTCTCTCCGCCCACTGTGCTGGGGGCAACGCCCCAGAGCTCCGCATAACTCGGTCCCGAGCTTCGGCCTGTGTGGTTGCTAGGTATAGGTCTCGGCGTGCCGGGTGAGGAGTGTGTGTGGAAAGACGGAGGAGGAGAAGATGGCACTGAAGGCGCGATTACGGACGGTGTATGCACGGAAGAGGCTGAGGAGACGGAGTTCGGGACGGCGGAGTTGTAGTTGTAGTAGGGGGAGTTTTGAATGCTATCCAGGATGATGACTTCTTCGCGCTGGGGAACCTGTGATATTTCTCGTCAGACCAATTCTGAGCGATCCCATCAAGGCGATTTTCGTGCAAACGGTGCTCAGGAAGGGATTAGGCAGCAGCGATTGAGAGTCTTACAGGTTCGTATCGCGCTCGACTCATCTTGCGGGCTTCTTCTGAGATATGGAAGAATGAGATGCGATTGAAGATTGTGAGACTGCTTGTGTAATCACGAGATGATATTCAAGGCCACCACAAACGCTTTTATCTGAGGTCAGTTGTGGGTATCGTGGACTGATAAACGATGGAGGATCTTCAGGCCGAGGATGACTTCGCCGCGTCAGCAAAACCGCCAGAGGGTCTCAGCTGAAGCAAAAAGTGGCCAATCAGGAAGTTGCATTTCTGGTGATGGAACAGTTCCAGTGGAACTGGGCAGGGCTGTGCCGTCTCCTTGCTTTGGCGTTTGAGCAGTTCGTGTCTGGGCGAATGAGAGACATCAGCCTTGGTGGGCTAGGGGAGTTCCGAAAGCCCACCGCGTGATATTCAATGTGACACAGGGAAGACAGGATGTCATTGGGCATTCTGTAAGGCTATTGTTTCAAAGACGAAGGCTCAATTGGAAGGTTAAGGAGACAACTTTGCCTTCCTCAAGGCGGGGCTGGAAGACGGTCCCTTCCCACATAACTCACACTCACAACAGACTCACTTCTTGATCGAACATGAAGACTAAAGGTCACCGATACAGAATATGCCTTCCGCATAATCATATACGCTATACTTCAATCAAGCTTGTCCACCTTTCTTTCAAGAACTCAACGACACCGTCGGGCCCCTTCTCGACTTGGAGGCCCTGAGGAATGGCCATCGTCTTGATGCCAGGCACCGTTTCCCTCGCTATTCTTTGGATCTCATCACTCTCTTCCTGGGTCCACATTGATGCAGCAAACTTTGAAGAATATAGTCAGCAAGTTAATTTTAACGAACTCACTGGTGCAGCAGATCATAACCCGCACTTGGTGGTATATGAGGCGGAATTCAAGGGTGAGAGACCAAAATATCTGGATGGTTCCTTTCACACATCGACTTTACATCCTCTAGCCCTACTCATGATTTGAGAATCAGCTTCACCAACCTGAGACCTCACGTCCAGTGGACGGCAAGCACCATGCTTGCAACAAGAGACAGGACGCACTTTCAGCATTCTCAACATGAGTGATGGTATAGGTGTCCTTTACATCTTCAATGAGCCGACCAACCACCCGCTTGGCTCGTTCCGGAACTGTGTTGACTGTACACAATTTGTAAGGTCCCTTTGGAGCCATCCTTGGCCGAGTTTGGAACGAGAAGTATGAGACTGAAGCGAAAGATGAAAAGCACAAAATACTGGAGAATGTTATGACACCTACAGAAAACGCCTCCGAGGCTTCAGAGAAAAGAGCTTTGTGGAGGATTGAACGGCATGCTAGGCGTGGGGAATTTGGCGGGAGCGAAACTCGGCAACGACCGGCAAAATATTTTCCTCCGAGACTTCGAACACTATTTCCGAGCAACAACGACAAACAACGATGATTTTAGATGAAAAGACAGCTGGCCTATTTTACTTTTTCTAACAGCCCAGAGGACATTGTCTGAGCCTCTCTTGAAGATTAGGATACCGTGCTACTCTGTTGCTACTCCGTTTCATATTATTCTCGCATAATGTATAGTAGAGTCATATAGGGCTGGTCCCCAAGTGTTTTCTTTCATTTCTTTGGTCTCACCCCCTATCCAAACACACTTCGGCCTCAACTGCACAAAACAAAAAACAACCTTCTTGTACAACCTTCGAACCACGTTCCAAATATATTCCTACCCGCTCCTCGAAACAGAATATTCCCTACGTTTCAGCTGTAGTTTCTGTTACTTTCAAAGATGTGGCTACCCGGGTTCCGCAATCTGGCCAAATCTGGATGTCCCTCGTGCTCCCTTGTTTAGCCAGATCACGTACACTGCGAACAGCTTGTTTTGACTCTTGATTTGAGATCATCTAGTCAGCTAGATAGATTGCCTGCTAATGAATCTGGAGTGGAACATTTTTTGGCACGTGGGGATTGGATGAGGGGTGGGCCTCAGTTTTTAGGTCTGGCTTGGGGACTTTTCGTTCGTGGAAACTTGCGGAGATGTGACGAGAGCGACAGATGAGGCATGCAGCGCTGAAATGTGATATAGAATCGTGCAGTCAAGTGGCTGCGTGGTGCCATCGTGATATAGATGGCTTCGGTTGCCCGGCACGTGAAGGGTTGTATAAGAAGCATCGCGAGGATTTTATTTCCCTTTGGTCTCCCCCTCTTGTTCTCAGCTGTCTTTCGTCTTCCTCTATGTATCCATTATGAAGATCCTCACTTGTGTTCTTACATTGGCGGTAGTCGCCCAAGGAGCCTCAGCTCAAGAACCACACTACACGTTCCCTAATATCATCGGTACTAAAGAATGGGAAGATGTCCGGCAATGGACAGGATACACTGGCAACGGCCCCTCTTGGGCGTTTCCTCTACAGACATCAGATGCAATAAAAACGGCGGCAAGAACTTCGCAAAGGGGACGACAACCATCGCCGCGGGTTCAATGACAGGCTTCCAGACAAACCTGGCAATCTTCCATTATGGTTACGGGCAGCGGAGCAGGAACGCCGGGCCCTCTTGTGTCTTTCCCTGGCGCGTACAAGAATACTGATCCGGGGATTAAGTATAATATTAATTCTCCGGTGAAGAACCCGATGGATTATGTGCCTTCGGGACCCCCTATTTGGACTGGGTAGGTTTGGGTTTGTAGAGAGACTGGGTAATGATGGAGTCGGGAGACGAAGAGAGGTGAGAATGAGAGAAGGACAATGCTATATTGTGTCAGCTGATACTGCTTTGGCTGGGAGAGAAGAGCTCAATGGGGCGAAGTGGAACCCTTGATTCTGAAGATCTCAATGTTCTAAAAGCGTACGAATCTACCAGACCTCGGAGACTTGATCAAGCTCATATTCATCCTATAACCGACTCTTCACTATGCCTTCGTCCATCAAAATAATCACCCACCTCACTCCCAACATTTGAAAATCCCCAGCCACTCCAAGATCCTCCTCAACCTCCAACCCCTCTTCTCTCGCTCTCTTCAAAATCCCCTGGAACTTCTCGTTTCCCTCAACACCAATAACCACATCTCTCAACCCTTCCTCTTCACCATCTCTCCCCTCGCAAAACTCCATTATTGCATTTGTAAAGGCCACTTCTCTGCTCCCCTCCCCCTCTAGCCTGCCCACCCCAAACAAGCTCTCCCACTGCCTCACAGCACCCTCAACATCGGTATCCTCTGGCGCAAGCCGAAGAGTGACAGCCATAAGGTGCAGTTGAGAATGTCGCTTCATAGCCGCCCCATATTTCTCAAACCCACTGAGCGGGCCACAAGCGTGCCAAGGCGCAAATCTCTCTTTCATCCCATCTGACACCCTTCCACCTCCTTCCTCGGAAAAGTGCGAATCAAGCTCAGGTATTACGCCGCCCTTGATACCCTTGGGATGGTATTGTATACACACGCCCTCTTCTGTTCTATGCTCGAATATAACTTTTGCGAGATTGTGTGACTTTAGGTATTCGCGGCGGGCAATGGCGGAGGCGGACTGCATTATTATCATGTAGCCTCCCTCGCCTCGCTTTGAGAGGTGGCGGGATGCGGGGGTTGAGGTGGATGGGGAGGAGGAGAGCGGGGAGACGACTTCGAGGACGTCGCCGCCTAGAGGGACTTCAGACAGCAATATTTAGCTAATGAGTGTGTTTGAGGTGGGGATGAGGTGAGGCGGGGAAGGAGCGGTACCCAGGAAGTTATGAAGCCCCCATTGTGCGACGAGGGGATCTTCGTAGATTACTTCTGTGCCGAGTATCTTTGTCTATCCCTCTCAGCTTCCATTGCTAATACAGACAGAGGAGAAGTTCTACCAAAACATGCCTGGCATTCTCCAAATCATGAGCGACTAGCGCGATTTGACGGAGACGTGTAGGTTCGGGACCTATGGGTGGTTTCTTGATTGTCGGTGCCATTTGGACGCCATGGAGGCTCTTGAAGACCCATTACAGCTCCAGATAGCTCTGGCATACGATAATCGGGCATTTTGGTGATGTTCCTGTCATCCCTCGGCTCATGCAGAAGTTTCCCCGCAGGGGTTCGGCCGAGACGAAAGAGGTTAGAGGTTTTACTGCACCTACACGTTTCCCATGAATAAATGCACAAAACAAAGTTTATTTCAGCTTCGAATTCTTAATTGTTTGAAGTTGGTCTCTTCTCTGAAGCCTCCTTTGTAAAGAATTGGATCATTTTCCAGCTTCATTGAATCCGCTTCCCCGCCTTGCTCCAAGAGATTTCAGTGACTAGTCAACAGTCAACATGCCTTCTAAATACCAAGACATAATCCTAGAAATCACCGGCCAAATCGGGGTGATCAAGGTTACTTGCCTTCACAGTCCCATTCCGTGCTCCATCACTCATAAAGTCTCTAGTTGAACCGCCCCAAAAGCCTCAACGCATTCGGCGGCAAACTGATGCAAGAAACCATCTCTGCAATACGAGAACTGAACGAGCACCCCGATACAGTCTTCACCGTCCTAACCGGAGAAGGGAGATTCTTCTCTGCTGGTGCTGATGTGAGAGGTTCGTCTTCAGCCTCTTATCTGGGTTCTCAACAGGGCGGAGGGAGAGCTGATCACGTGAAACCCCAGGATCCGGACTCGAAACCTCTGAGAACTATGCCTCGAAAGCAGAAAAGAAGATTGCCTATTTGGCGATGTCTGCGCCTGGTATGTATTTCCTCCCTTTCGTCTTGCATTCTAAATTCTTCGCTGACGCCCCATGTTAGCAATCGAAATGCTCCGCTCCATAATCGACCACACGAAAATCTTCGTCCTTGCTCTTAACGGTCCGGGGGTTGGGGGAGGCGCAGCCTGGTTTACAGGTGTTTCCGACATAGTTCTAGCCTCCTCTTCCGCATATCTGCAAGTGCCATTTTCCGCCCTCGGACTCGTGCCTGAAAACGGATCTGCGATCAACTTTTCGCAATCCATGGGTGTGCATCGGACGAATGAGTTCTTGATGTTTGGGAAGAAGTTAAGTGCTCAAGAGCTCGAGCAATATGGAATGGTGAACCGAGTCTTTGAGTCGAAGGGTGAGGATTTTCAGAAACAGGTTAGAGAGTATTTGGAGGAGCAGTTAAGCGTCAATGATGGGAAGAGTATGATGGAGATGAAGAGGTTGCAGAATGCGCCGTTGAGGGATGGGAGGTTGGTTGCTGTGTGGAATAGCATGGATGCTCTGGCAGAGAGATTCGTTGATGGGGCTCCGTATAGAAGGTTTGAAATTAAGAAGAGGGAGTTGGAAGGTGAGTTATCTTCATAGCATGACTTTGCCTTTGTTGTGATTATAGAGCGACTGCTGACAATTGTATAGCGAAATCTATGAGCCGAGCTTCGAAAATCTAGACGAAATGATATTTGACCTTAGAGAGTAAAGTTTTGCTATCATCAAATCCCTCCTTGCATTCTTCATCCTCAGATCTACATGTTGGCCAATCCGCCGCACCACTCATCAACCAGCACGGACGAGCGTCCTTGTCCAGAGATTTCTGTATAGCATTCCTTACACGCAGGTCCAACCCGTCGTACTCATAATTCGCCGGCGTGAGATGTGTCCCATGCTCCCATATGAGTGACGCAATGGCGCAGTGTGGAGCACCGGCACCAAAGCACTTCGCTATAGCAGCTACATACCGGCCCGAACGCTCTGGTCAAGTCTTCTCGTTTGCGTTCCGCCAAGCATCCTCATTGTTTTCGTGGGTCTGCTGGCGTATTGCCGAAAGTCGAGGCAACTGGTGCAGAGTATCATCTTCGTACTCGTCCACCCAGGTCGTGGGCTCAAGGACTTTGAGTTTGTTCAGCAGCCCGTTTCTTACCAGAGTTTCAAACGATACGACGTGGAGGATATCGGCGGGTGCAATTTCGAAGAGGAAGAGGAATTCGGTTTTGAAAAGGGATTCGTTGATACTAAAAAGAACGCTTGAAACTTCGGCTGCAACTTCTTTACCGCAGGGGTATTCGTTGCTTCGGACGACGGAAATATGAATACCGCTAGCCCCTTGGACTGCCAGATCGATGGCGTATTTCAAGGCACGTATTGAGTCCTCTGTGGTTGAGATGAAGCATGTAGGGATCCTGTTGTGCAAGTTGTTGTGGTTCTCGAAGATTTTGGCAATCTCAAAGAGACCAATTTCTCTCCGATTTTGATCGCCGGATAGAAAGCCTCGTCGCGAATTTGTGCCGGCTGATGAACTGGACCATGTGCGGAAGAGGAGGCGAAATGGCGACTCTGGCTCCATGTTCTCGTGGTTAAAACCTGGGATAATACTATGCAGAAGGATTGATCACTTTTTGGTACAGACGCGTTGCGGAGGAAATGCAGAAAATGAGACGCGTCACACTTTAGTACGCGTTGCCATGTGACTCTGAAGTGAGGTTACACATATGCACGCGTTGTCAAGTCCTGCTGCAGCCTGCAGCTGATGGTCAACGACCCAGCCTTGTCCAGCCACCTCTCACCCTTCTCACCTCACTGGTCGTGATCCTCATCCTTCCCAGGCCACAAAATATCCCCCTTCAACACCGCTCTTATATGCATACCCCCAACAAAAAGCCAAATCACTACAAGCAACACAGTCATCACACTCCCCAGCCATAAAACACCCTCACTCATGAGTGCTGATCCCAATTCAATCGTGACAATTGTGAAACCAACGTTAGGAAAAACTATCGAATTAGTATAGGCTTTCCTGAATCTCAAGGGAGAGTTCAGAAGCTGAGGAGCCGAGCTCCCAACACTAATATGTAGGCAGGCTCCTATAGAGCTCCCGGGATCTGAGCTCTCAGAGGTAATAGCAGAAAACAACAGAATGGGATGAGAATATAGCTTACCAAAAGACCACCACACAAGATGAAAACTCATGCCTTGCATCCCCAGTGCTCCGGCAAGCGTACTAACCAGACTGATAGAGAAAAACCAGAAAGCTGTAGCCCAGAGGAAGACAGCCACCGCGACGGCAAGGATGCGGAACACGTCTGGAATAATAGCTGGATCGGAGACTCCTGATATGCTGGTGTAGGAGGGGTATATTCTCCCCAAGTCGTTCGAGATTCCCAGCAGGGCGAGGCCGGTGAAAGAGGGCGGCCCAACAGCAATGAACATTCCGGGGCGTGTGTTCGGGTTGGGGAGGCCAGATGTCATCAATCGGGAGATGTAGGGGCCGTACATAAATACTGCTATGAGCATTCCCAGACCCTGAAATGAGATCCCTGCTATGAGGATGGGCAGAGCTTGGGATGATGGTTGGGAGGGCGAGATTAGAGACGCCAGGGTGCCGCAGAGCATGATGGGGAAGATGGGAAGGATCCATTGAGGTGTCATGTTTTGTACTGTGAGAGGCTTGCCGGTGAAGAGGAAGTAGTATTGGCCGGTTGCTATGCAGAGAGTGAGGGCTGCATAGAGCCAAAATAGAACTCGAAGCGTGACGACGAGCCAGTAGCCGGTGTGAGGGACACCGTATTGTTGGATATTTGAGAAAATATTGACGATTGAGATCCAGAAAGTGGGAATGAATAGTGATTCCGTTGGGTGTGTGAGGCAGCTTCTCATGGTCTGCGGGAACAGTGTGAAGCGAGCGGCCAACAAGGAACAAAAGAGGAGGAAAAGGACAATGTCGAGGATGAGCACAATGTCACCGATAGCTTGGAGTCCATGAAATCGGTGAGGTGTTTGGGAAAGAAGCAGAGCAATTCCTCCTGTTGACATTGTACATGTGAACCATGCCAGTGTGAAGTGATGGATTCGATCCCGGACGCTAAGGTCACCATGAAGAGTCTCTTTCGTGGTCTGCAAGCTGCCCCTTTGTCCTTCCAAAGAATTGGATGAATGCCTCCTCCTCGTTGACTGTCGAGAGACAGGCATCATCGGGCCGTCCACCCTCGTCTGTACAGTTGGTAGAGGCATCGGATGACTTGTACAGCTTTCTGGCGGACTTGCCGATATAAGAATTCTCAAGGTCTGCTCAACTGAGAGCAACTATCGAGTTGATACGAATCCTCTCCATGTTTGAACTTGTAAGGCATTGCAAAGCAGAAAACAAAGCCGTTGAGAAAAATTTGGCTACATGTCGTCAAGGAGGCCGCCAAAAATGAGACGCCGTTGTGGAGATAAGAACCGGCCCGTCGAGACCCTTGCTAGCGTGAGCCCCCGGATTATCCATGCAGGTCCCCCCAACGTTGAAACATATTTTTTTGCGATAAGGGAGAACCGGAATGGTAGAAGGGTGCTGTGAGAAGAAAGCGTGTTGCAATGCAAAGGTAGTTGAATTCTCACTCGGAGTCTACCAGCTTGCCGGATTTTCGGCGGGTTAATCTCACACCAACTTCAGGGAGGCATTTGAGTAAACTACAACGACTTACTTGCTAGGATATCCGATATCAACGCCTCGGATATAGCAAGATGCCTCTCCAGAACATTCCATCAAAGCTCAGCAATCCTCAACACCGCCTTCCCAAAATTCTCCCCCTTCAACATCCCCACCAGCCCCTCAGCAGCACGATCAATCCCATCCGTAACCGCCATCTTAATCTTGATCTCTCCATCCTTAATCCACTTCTGCATATTCTTCTGATGCTCCTCGTTATACTTCCCTCCCATATCAGCATCAAACACCCGAAAACCTCTAATCGTCAATCCCTTGCCAACAACCAGCGGCATGTTCTGGATGCCGTGAGTCTCGCCTGGTTTTTTGCTGGTTTGCGAGACGCTGCCACAAGATACTGATCTCTATTAGCAACTCGCCTGTCTTACTTCAGGTGGGAAGTACTTGCCGACTCTCCCACCCGTGCTCAAAGCGAAAAGCGCAGCATCCAACTGCTCACCGCCTACATTGTCATAATAAATATTCAGTCCCTGCTCCCCGAGCTCTCCCAAAATCCTCTTCAACGCCTCTACCGGGTTCTCCTTCTTATAATTAAACCCCGCATCAAAACCGAGCTCTTGCGTAATGAACTTCAATTTCTCATCACTCCCCACGCTCCCGACAACCTTCAGCCCCTCCCTCTTCGCCAATTGCCCAACGATTTGCCCAACAGCGCCACTAGCAGCAGAAATAAAGATTACCTCTCCTCTTCTCGGCTTCCCAATCTCGTACAGACTCGAGTAAGCCGTCAACCCACTCATTCCCAGCGCGCCCAAAAATAATTTCGGGTCCAAGCCTAGCGGATTCTTCAACAGACTAACTCCAGCGTTCCCGCCACCAGGTGCTTGCTCAAGATCCGCTCTTTCTTTCGGGATGATTTGATACTCCGAGAATTCTGCGTCTCCAAGGATGACGTCGCCGGCTTTGAAGCGTGGGTTGGAGGACGAGATGACGGTCGAGATGGCGTTGTTGGTGACGGGTTCGTTGAGGGGGTATCCGGTTACGTAGAGGCCAGTTCCTGGGCGCATGCGGCCTCGTTGGTAGGGGTCGAAGGAGAGGTAGTTTGTTTTTACGATGAGGCTGCCGCGGGGGAGGGGCTGATTGAGGTCGAATTCGGAAGAGGTGATGGTTAAGTCAGAGCCAGGGATTGGGAAGCCAACTGGGTTCTTTGCCAGGACGAGAGATTTGTTTTGTACCATCGTGAAGGTTGGAGGGGTCGTAGAGAGGGAAAGGCGATCTGTAAGGGAAGTGAATGTGTCTTGTATGAATTGATGTGAGTTGAAGGTTCCGAATGGTGGATTTAAGCAGGAAGCAAGAATTTATGTGATTTTTTGATAAGATCTGAAGGTGGGCAAAATGGTTATAGTTGTCTCATACTTATGAGATTGGTGTTAATATGAATTGGATTTGTAAAGGCTGGGTTTGTAATCGAAGAGGTCCTTCTTAGACAGGGATCCTCAGAGCGGGGAAGAATCACCAAAATTGGGCATTGGTGATTACTGAACCCCACTTGATGCTCCAAGCACCATGCGGGCTTTGGCAGTGTGTCAAATGAATAGAGTAGAATAGAATAACGGCCGTTACTCTTATTTTATTCATATATTATTCAAGTTATTCATGAATAATCATGAATAATTTAAATGACGCACGTGATCTCTGCACGTGATTGAGCTAGCCTAATCGGGTAGGGCTTCCGGGAGGGCCCGCACCTAGCGCCACCTAGCGCCACCTCGCTACCCAATCAGGTGGTAGTGGCGCTTGGTAAGCGGATCGAACCTTAGCGATAATTAGTTTATATATTATAGAAAATCTGTATTTAAGTAGCATTATATAAGTATTAGCTTAGCTTATATAAGGCTACTTAATAAATACCTCAGTTTCTTTTTTTAAATTTAAATATATGTCAATTTACTATAATTAATTGACTTTCACGTGACTTTCACGTGGTTATTCATGGTTATTCATGTTATTCATGAATAATTATTCTATTTTACTCAAATTATTTAAGATATTCGTTACTCTTATTTTATTCAAGTTATTCATGAATTATTCATGAATAACTCGAATAACTTGAATAATCCTTTGACACACTGGGCTTTGGTATTCCGACCCTTCTAATGGCGTGATCAGTGATCGGGAAGCAGATGATATGATTTGGCATGAATTTAGCATTGGATTGCTCAAAATGGTCATTGCCCATTGTAGCCCCTGCTTGGACCCAGTTTGCTTGTTCGGTCGAAGTGCTGGCTTTATATCAAACAAAGAAAGTGATTCTATACAGCGACGGATGGTTAGAAGGAAAATACGTAAGGGGACGATGTGTTCACCCCAGTACCTTTTGGACTCGCTCGATGTACCAAGCACCTTCGAACGTTCAATGCTGCTCAAGAAAATCTTGAATCGGATTCATTATTGAGATTAACGGCTGGATGAAAGTCACCTTTCGTCCCAAGATCGGAGAAAAGCTTGCAATAGAGTATGACGGGCAGTTCTCCAATTCCAAGAAATCAGATGAAATCAAGGCACTTTCTGTCTGACATGAAAGGTCGAAGTTGAGTGGATATCTCAATGTACCAGAAAATTTGGTACAATTATGCGATGTGCAATAAAAGAGCTCCAGAGGATGATGATTCACCTTCAAGGCGAAGAGCTGTTGAAAGTGTGTGGATCTCCATCGACCTAACAATCTCAATGTTCCAGCACTTTTGGAACATTGAAGAGATATGCAACAAAATCTGATTTGTGTGATTCACTCTCTGCTCCCAGGACCATCTCATCGTCTTGAGTTTTCGGGACGCACGGAGCTGACGAGGCAAACCATGATCACTCCCCCAAATCAGCAGGATCAAGGACTACTTGGTATTAATGAAGAGATGTTTCCACGCATCATGCATGTACTTCAGCTCTCAAGCCTTGCGTACGGCCACTGGACTCCAATGTACCAAGATATGCCGTCTCATTTGCTAAGACAGCCACTTCTAGACCTCGAAAATATTGCGCACCACCGGGATAACATGCTGGATCATGAATTAATTGGATTCGCCAACTCAGCAGTGCCGCGCCGAGCTTACACTACATATACACCACCCTGCTATGCAACATCATAAGAGAGGCAGGACGTAGCCCAAACGAAAATATAACAGTCCTAGCCTCTCTTGACCGAGGACGAAAGAGTAGAGTGATATGCGCCATTTGTGACGGATGACGGAAGGTTTCGGTTTCGGAGTAATCGTTCAGTGAGCAAGTGCTGGGAAGCCAGTACCTCCGGTTTCTGATGGTGGGGGAGGAGGAGGTTGTGGTACCTGGGAAGAGATTAGTGAAAGTCTCAACAGGGAACTGGGGGCCATACTTCTAGTCGCGTATTCTCCGCCATCATCCTTTGGAATCCAATCCCAACACCCTCAATAACAGCCAGTAAACATGCGCATCCTATCGCTGAGTTCCTTGCAGCTTTGTATCCTCCTCTAATGGCCAACGCTCCTCCCGTGAAAAATCCTGCAATAACTACCCATCTGTCAGCACGAGCTACTCCGTCGCAGACTACCCTCTACCAATGGGCATCACATACTGGCATTATATGGGTCTTCCTTCTTCCTGACCCCCTTCACTGCACAATCAAATGTTGAAAACAGCCCTCCCCAGACACCAAAGTTACCCCCCAATACAGGTGCTCGCGCCTTGATAGCTGTGAGGGCACCAATCCGTCGTTCGCCATACGGTGAGTTTCGAAAACCTTTCACGCCGTGCCATACTGCACCTCCTATCGCCTATGTGGAAAGAAATGTCAGCGTGGGTTGGCAATTGCGAGGGATGCAAGGGCCGAGGCACCAGATCCCGAGTCTCGAGACTTAAAACACAAGGGAGTGGGGAAGAGGAAACCAACATACCCCCATACAGAAAGCTCCTCCAAAATCATTCAATGCCACCCAGGGGCATGGGTCTCGTGTATGATCCATCTTCTAGAATGTGCCCGTTCGGAAGACCTCACCCTCACCCTCCTGCCGTTCACCAGTGGCGCAATTTGTCGACAAGCTGTGTATGATAGATGGGCATCGACGGGACGAAGACGTCGGAGACAGCTTGAGATGTGCGGGTCCAAGATGGCGGTGACTGAATGGGATTCTTAACAACTTGACGTTGAACTTTCTCGTAGGCGAGGAAGTCGCGCTAAGGTTTTTTTCGACAGATCTCATCACGTGCACAAATCCTAACTTTAATCTTATCGCCGATAAGGTATGATTCAGGAAAACGCAAAACATCCTCCTTGTAAACCCAGCTCCGGGTCCTCCCTGTGAATCATGATTCACATTATTGCTTGAATTTGCTTCTCTCCTCGGATCAGCTCAAGCATCTCGCACCAAGCACGCAGTTTGTTTTGCACAGTCAAGCTTTGTCGGTCTTCGGCACCGTTCGAGACAGCTCCTCACATCCTTTGAGCTGCTCCTGGATGGAGATCCTCGACATCACTTGCCGGCGAAGACGAACGAAACTCCACGTCTCGAATCGTCCTCCTTCCCACCAGTCATTGGAACGGGATGCGTCGCTCGTAAGCAGCACCTGTTCTCCACAACCGAGGGGTCTCTTTTCATCTGATCAAACCCTGCACGAACTGCAAACTCCAAACTGTCTCGAGTCCTCGCCTACATCGCCTGAAGGGAGCCGCTGAAACTGGGCACCTGTGAAGGGAAATCAGATAAGCGCTGCGCCCGCCCGACCCCGAGAAACCAACCCATCTGAAGTTTGAACACACAGAGGAGCGTCAGCACTTTCCACTCTTCAGCGTCATGCGGAGATGTCGTCTCCATCGACACTTATATGATGTTTGCGAGCACAATGCGCATGATCTCCTGGTACAATGGCAAGCACATCGGATGTGGCAGTGTTCAATGGGGCTGGGAGGTAGCTCTGCCGCCAGGCAGGGAGGGTTCGCTTTGGCGTTTCGTCCCAACAGGGCCAATACCACTGCAGGTCCGGCTGGCGCCGTTAAGCGAATGCTGACCCCTGGGCAACTCTGTATCAGACCATCTCCCCTCCTGTTTTATCTGATCTTTTGCATAATCAGCTACTGATCTTGTCGCAGCCCGTTGCCCAAACGGCCGTGCTCCCATTATCTACCCTTAATCTTATCCACCTGACGCATGATTCCACATCTCTTTTCGTGGGACGAGCTCCCTCCTCGCTACGAGTTTACCAATCTTTGGTGTTCCCGCGACCTGGTCGTTGAAACTGAAACTACCCGTTTTCTGAACTTGAAGCAACGAGGCTGAGGCGCAGGTCAGCATCGCCGGCCTAGTTCGTTTTCCAATGTTTGAAAAACGCCTCCGTCGTGAGAACTTGACGCCAAGGGTGCCTTTGCTCATTTCCCCTCTGCTATGTGCCACTTGGCGTGTAAATTATAAGAGGTATGTGTTCCCGGAAAGTATATCCCTCTCTATCGATCTTTTCGACCTACATTCTTTGGTGTTGTTATATCACGTTCATTTAGTTGATTTATACGTTCATTCATTCATTCATTCACTTCACATCGACTGCGTCGCTCTTTTTTTGGTTCTCCTGCACAATTTTAAACAGGCCGGACCACTTGAACACTTTTGATTACATTATACTTTCTACAGAATAACACCAAAGCTCCAATCAATATGTTCACCCCCTCTCTCCTGGTTCTGCTCGCATCAGCTGGCCTCATTGAAGCCCGTTCGATTCATGAAGCTAGACATCTCCATGCACTCGTACATCAGCGGGCTGCGGGTGGTGGTGGCGATGCCACTGCTACGACTCTAGCTGCCGATGCCATCCAGAGTGGCTCATTCAACGACGGCTCACTCGAGACTGGTTCTGATGGGGCTACACAAGCTCTATCCTTGACCTCGAGAAACAATTTCATTAACCACTGCGCTGGAAAGACTTTGACCAATGGCCTCCAGTTCACCACTGGCTCCTGCAATGGAATCCGTAAGTTCTTGCTACCCAAGTTCAGCACATTCTAACATCTTCAGCCATGGGTGATATTCCAGCCAAGTCTCAAATGGTCTCCAGTATCATTACTTTCCCGTTGAGTGGATCGAAAACCATCGAGTCTGACGTCACGTTCAATATCACTGTTCAGACTCAGAACCTTGTCGCTGGCTCTTTCACCAACGCCGATGCAACCTACTATGCTGCCCCCCAAGCTCTCTCAGGAGGCAAGGTCGTTGGACACACGCACGTGACCGTTCAAGACTTAGGTCCCAACTTGAACCCCAAACAACCACTGGATGCCACCCAGTTCGCGTTTTTCAAGGGGATCAACGACGCTGGAGACGGCAAAGGTGGGCTTACGGCTGTTGTTACTGGCGGTCTCCCTGCTGGCAACTACCGTGTCTGCACGATGACATCCTCGTCCAACCACCAGCCCGTCCTTATGCCCGTTGCTCAACGTGGAACTCCTGATGATTGCACCAAGTTCACTGTCATTGGTACCGGAACCACCAAGAACATCGCTGCAAATGACGGCTCAAAGGGACTTGCGGCGGCTTCTCTGGCGGCCGCGGCCGTGGCTCTTGGCCCAAATGTCAACGTTGCCCAATCCAGCGGAGGAAACGCCGGTAGCACAACATCGACTTCCCAGGCTACCAGCACGAATTCCGCGGCGGGAGGAAAGGGAGGAAAAGGCGGAAAGGGTGTTGTCAAGGGCAGTGCAGGGAATAGCGGAAATGCCGCCACCACAACATCGACTTCCCAGGCTGCCATCACAACCTTGGCGGCGGGGAATGGAGGAAAAGGCGGAAAGGGTGGGAACGCCGGTAATTCTACGACAGCCGCAAAGACAACGACCTCTGCAAAGACTACCATCCGCGGAGGTGGAAAGGGTGTTGTCAAGGGTAGTGCAGGTAATGGCGGCAAAGGCACCAAGACTGCTTCAGCCGCTCAAGTCATCTCCACCACCGTTGTCCAGAAGGTAACGGTCATCGAGTCATTCTTCGAGTTCACCTTCGCTCTCGGAGGTCTCCCACCCTCCGTGTCCAAGAAGGGCAACCAATTCTTCGTCCTTGAGCAACTCTTCGAAGATATCACCATCGCCTGTGGAGCTGCTTGCGAGGAACAGTTCACCACCTGTACTGCGATCGAAGGACCAGGCTTCTCCTTCGAGAAATGCTCTACCCAAAAAGAGGCTTGCGGCGCTGCTGCCTCATCCCAATCTTCGAGTGTCGCTCCTGTAAAAATCACTGCTACTATCACGGTGCCTCCCACAGCCACTGTCACTGGCTCCGTTCTCTCGGAGACCACAATCAGCACAACTTACACCAGCAGCCTAGCAAGCCCTACAGCCGTCCTGGCCAGTGGAGCAGCAGCCATTGTGACCAGCGCCCCAGCTGTCGACAACGCGCAAGCCACTAGCTCAGCCTGCTCATTGACTACGAGTACAGTCTTCGTCGATACCCCAGCTGAAACCCAACCCGCGCTCGCAGTCGCTGCCCCCTTCTCCAACTCAACAATAGCAACCGGAACTGGGTCTGCTGCTCCCGCAATCAACACCGCAGCCCCCGCTTCCGGCTCCTCGGCCCTCGGCGGCATCGCAGCCCTTTGAGGTCAATGGTAACACTTTTGTCAACAAGTCCGCCGCCGTGCAACGGAGTTGCGATATCCAGTTTAATGCCTGCGCCAATGCTTTCAACGGCGGCAAGGCAACGGGATTCAATCTCTCTGATTGTCAGAACCAGCAGAATGCGTGTATTACTGCTGGAGGGTCGTAGAGATGGATTAAACGAAGGGTGGAGGGAGAGGGGGAGCGTTGTAAGATGATAGATTTGTTTTTGATGTGAAATGATTGATAGTTCTTTGTATATGTATAACTAGATACCCGAGAGGAGTTGTCAATGACACTATTCTTGGCGACGAGAAAATCTACCTTTTTTTTTGGTCACTTTCGCATCTTCTTCCGTCCGACATGAATGTCAACTGTCTTCTCCAAGCCAATCTCACTTGCCAATGTTCTGAAATGAATTGAATGTCCCGTCCTTCAAGCCAAGGTTACTCGCAGGCATTTCCGTACCCGGTTCGGGCCAGAGTGCAAGTCGGCCCCAGCAAAGCGAGGAATTGCCCACGGGTATGGACAAGATTTCCGACACTTCTCTCGTTTAATCTCCAGATCAGGGGCGTCAAATTTTCTCCTTCACGATTCACGTGATACCCCTTGAGATTTTATCATGCGGCATAAGTTTTCGCAGCCAGAGCAGGTGGTACCTATCGTTCGTGTCAAACCACGAGTTCATTGTCACAACATAGAAATATATTGGGTAAATGTTGATTTTTGAGTCACATAGTATTCAGTTCCGACTACCTAACCTTGACTTGTCATGTGAGAAAAACGCACACCTCACCGAATATCTTTCTCAAAACACGAAACAACAGTTACGACTCACAATACCTACTCTCGAAATTGAATTGCATTCAGACAATATTGAAATCAGACAATATTAACTATATTGAAATCAGATAATATGTTGAAATCAGATAATATTGAAATCAGACAATATTGAAATCAGATAATATTGAAATCAGATAATATTGAAATCAGACAATATTGAAATCAGGCAAAATCAGGCAAATCACCATCGCACTTCGTAAACCAGAGAGCATTAAGTCTCTTTAAGCCCTCCTCTTGCAGGAACACCCTGTGCAGTGAGGGCCGGCGTACTCGTCTCCTGCATTCCCTTGGCCATTTTGGGGACGCCGCTGAGGGGTTTGAGAGCTGACGGGCCCCGCGTCAGCATCCGACCGCCGGGCGGCGTCTCTCCTTGCCCTCTCTTTCCGAATGTGTTCTCTTCTTGCAGCCTCCTCGCGGAGAGAACGAGCGTGAGGCGACTCCCATGGGTACCAGGTTAGCACTGGAATAAAATTGATATCCAGTGGCAGTTCGTCTTGAATAGGTTCTTCTCTCGTAGCCTGCGAGGGACGCGAAGAAGAGGAATACCACTCTCGCGGGTAAATGGTTCGGTCTGGAACAAGAGAACTGGTTTGGGGCTGTGGAGCGTTGGACTGTTGATTCTTCTGTGGCTTTCGAGACAGGCCGGGAGTGGCTGCATCGTTGCGGGGGTTGTCCTTCTCACCACCACCACCACCGCGCATCCAAACATTGTTTGTGGTATTGGGGTTCGCTTCAGACATGTCTGAAGCGCCTTGATTGTTGTCAAAAAGTCCAGGCAGGTCACCAGGCTGAAGGAACTCATGTGGTGGGCCTGTCCGGTGTGTCTCTACTTCAAGATCACCCCCCCTAGCACGTACATGTCTCGCCCATTCGTGGAGACCTCCTCTTGGCCGAGGAAGATGGCTCAGATTTGAATCCTGGAGTGGCTGATTCTGCCGAGGCTGTTGTGGGTTTCGATTTCGAAGACCAAGACCTAAGCCGCCGAGACCTGAGTGACGACGGGTTAGCAATAGATTAAGAAGGGTAATCTCTGCCCACCAACGGGGCAAACGCACCTCCTCCAAGACCAGGGCGGATTGGATACTGATAGTGCATTGGTGGGCGTTGTTGATTGAACGCAAAGGTTGCCCAAGAGTCGTAGCCCGTTATCCAACCATCCTGAAAGCCTTGATCAAAGGCTTCTCTTCTGGCCTCTTCGAGGTTGTGCTGGAATTGATTCATATCATCGAGGGGACCCTGGGTCTCATCTTCAGCTTGTGGCACTCCGTTGGCCCTGATTCGGTTCTTTTCAAGGGCTTTGCCTGATAGGGTCACGGGAACTTCAACATCGACACGGAGACTCATATTGGCAAGAGTTGGAAGTTTGATGATCTATCTTCCGATGATCTTCTTGACTGATACTGCATCTGGGTTTCGACTAAAGAGCTCACTTAAATCCTTAGATCGAACCATGATTGTCCAATGTTGTCACTGCCAACAGTGGAGGTGTTTGGTGCTCTGCTCAGCTAACTCCTTAACTCATGATGACTGGGATAACTTCCAAGACATTGCCTTAGCCACGTAAATCGCCATCACAAATTTTTCTCCTATGCAAATGTACAACTCTGCACAAATTTCCAGCTCCGATAAACGGCGAGTGGCATGTACCCAGGTCGAGTGAAACCTGCATGAGGTCTGAACAAGCCAATGAGTTTGTGAGACAGCTGAAAGATATTTTCGCGATATGCAAGCAACGGACCAGAATAAAATCAGTGTTAGGCTCGAGTGGAATTGCTTGGTGGATCTAACACTTGACGGCGGTCTGCGCATCTGACTCTGGCAATGTCTTGGTCCAAGTCCAGCAGGATAAATACGCAGCGAAGGCGCCATCCAGGCCAGGTCTCACGCAATGCTCGTTAGCAGGGTATGACTCCGAGTGGAAAAATTCGCAATGAGTGGACACAAGACTTCTTCAATGGCCTTCTCAGGATTCGACATCGAGCGCTGGAACCGTCGTGCAAAGCGAAGACATCCGACGACGATGTGCCATGCTGGATCAATACTGAGGAGCAGCGAAGACGAAGACGAGGAGGAACCAGACATGTGGTCCAGCGACGAAGAAAACAGTACGAGGACAGCATGTAAGTAATCCACGATATCTTGATATTGAGGTTGTTCGTGCCCCCACGTGTTTGTGTGAAGGTGGGACAAAAGGTTGATTGATTGCGGCTGGATGGAAATCTGGGATGAGAGGAAGAATCGCGGGGGGCGCTACAGTAGTAGCTCCTCCCCGGGGCCAACGGAGCCCCTGAACTCAAACCACTTGCATCAATGGCATCCATTTTCGCAGCTCGAGAAGCTTCCTATTCGCAGAACCTTGCAACTCCTCTTGCTGACAGGCCTGCAGCCGACGCCAGCGACGATGAGACCTACGAGATTACGGATCGAACTGTGGACGAGAGCACGACGCGATTGAACGAGAAGCCCGAGCTGCTGCACCACCTCCAGAATGATTCCTCGATTCTCACGCTTGCGGTTGGAGACAAACTGCTGTATGCTGGCACACAAGATGGGGAGATTGTAGTTTGGTCGTTGGCTTCGTTTGAGCTGGTTCAGCGGATACAAGCACACACTCGCGCGGTGCTGTCTCTCTTCCTGTCGGCGGATGGGAAGCTCCTATTCTCCAGCGCGGGAGATGCCATTGTCAACGCATGGTGCCCGACCACTTTGAAGCGACTTTACCATGTCTATAGCACATACGATGTCGGTGACGTCTTCAGTGTTGCATATTCAGCGCAGTTCGAAACGGTGTATCTTGGGGCACAAAATACAAGCATACAATGGTGCAGTTTAAAGGACCAGACTGCGAGACGAACTCCAAATCCAGAAAACCATCCTGATCGCCGAAATCACCGATTCTTTGACTCCCTCGACCGTGGAGGGTCTTCTACCCCGAGACCACAAACAACTCGAACTGGCAACCATGAAGGGGAGGTTCTCGAGATTGACAAGGCTCATATGATGCATTATGCACATTTTGGATATGTGTACTGTATGCTTATGGTACATGGTGTAACCCGGCTGGTGGATTCAGATGAGGAATTTTTGATTTCCGGTGGAGGGGATGGTACAATCAAGATTTGGAAATTGTTCCATGATCAGAGTCAAGGAATTAAGGAGGTTGCTTGTCTTGGGGAGGACGACGCTGAATCGGTGTTGTCTTTGGCCATTGACGGCTCCTTCTTGTACAGCAGCAAACTTGAAGGAGTCATCGAATTGTGGGATCTGGATACCAAACAAAAGCTTCGTGTCATCAAGGCACACAAGGGAGATGTCACGACTTTGCAGATGGGCTGGGGATTTCTTTGGAGCGCTGGGTCTACTGGTTTCGCGAGAGTGAGTTTCAGCTTCTTTGTTACTGAAGGTCTGCTAACAAATCTGGACAGAAATACAGCACAGTACAATATGGAAAATATCAAGATAGGACCTCGTTCAGCCAAAAGTATCAATGCGTCAATCGATGGAGAGCACACGAAGGGCGGATCCTGGCTTCTGCAGTCACTACATACAACGACCAGCAATTATACGTCACTGGAGCCAATGATAATTCCGTCTCCATATGGAATATCACTGGCTGCAATTCGGGAACTTATGATAGGACGCAGATGTCTGATAGCCAGTTGATAAAGTCGCTTTATGAGTTTGTCTCGTTTAAGACCATATCTTCGAGACCAGATCATGCTGAGGACTGCCGACGTGGGGCCACTTTCCTCCGAACTCTGTTCAAGAAACATGGAGCACAAACTGAGATGCTGAATACGGACAATCATCACAACCCTGTTGTTTACGCTAAGTTTAAAGGCAACTCGACAACTTCCGGCAAGCGAAAGAAGATTTTGTTCTATGGTCACTGTAAGTTATCCTAAGAGGAAATTGAGTTTTTGTACTGATTGGTCTACTAGATGATGTAGTTCCTGCTGATAACAAGCAAAACAAATGGATCGTTGACCCTTTTGAAATGAAAGGTGTAAACGGGTATCTGTACGGCCGTGGTGTGACGGATAACAAGGGACCAATTATGGCTGCTTTGTATGGTGTGGTGGATCTCGTACACGAAAAGGAGCTGGAGTCTGATATCATGTTTCTCATCGAAGGAGAGGAAGAGTCCGGATCTCGAGGCTTCAAAGATGCTGTTCGACGGCACAAGGACCTGATTGGTGACATCGATTATATAATCCTTGCGAATAGTTATTGGCTGGATGACGATGTACCGTGCTTGACTTACGGACTTCGAGGTGTACTTCACGCCACCGTGAAGGTCGACAGCAATCATCCTGACGTGCATAGTGGAGTTGACGGAAGCTTCATGATGGACGAGCCGCTCTCTGACCTGACTTCGGTCCTGGCCAAGCTCAAGGGTCTACACAACCGCATTCAAATACCCGGCTTCTATGACAATATTTTGCCACTGACTCCTGTCGAAGAAGCCCGCTACGATGACATTGTGGAAACCTTGATTCGACGAAGCCCTGAAAATGGACCACCCGAAAGATTGAAAGCTTCCCTGATGGCACGATGGCGAGAGCCGAATTTGACAATCCATCGCTACAAAGTCTCCGGTCCAGACGGCTCCCTCGTCTCAGCTCACGCTAGTGCATCGATATCCCTCCGTCTCGTACCAAACCAAGAAGTCGACGACGTAATCAAACAACTCACCAGTTTCCTAAAAGACGCCTTTGCCCAACTCGACACGCACAACCACCTTACAATCACAATTGACAACCAAGCGGACGCCTGGCTCGGCGATCCAGACAACGAGATCTTCCAGACACTCGAGAAAGCAATCATGGACGTCTGGGGCCCCATCGGCGAGACTCGTCGCTCCAGCGTTCCTGGACCAAAACAAGTTAAGAAACCTGCTACCCCAACAATGAGCCCAAGTCTTAAGCCTACTCCTGCTACTACAACTACTCTCACAAACGGGAGCGATCATACGTCTCTTGCTGCTACGCCGCTTGAGATGCTGTCTGATTCTCCCGAAAATTCGTCGCCGGTTGATGGCACGAATGGCGCGAGAAGAGGGCGGAAACCGCTGTATATTAGGGAGGGGGGATCGATTCCTAGTATCCGGTTCTTGGAGAAGGAGTTTGATGCTCCGGCTGCGCATCTGCCATGTGGACAAGCGAGCGATAGCGCGCATTTGGATAATGAGAGACTGAGGCTGAGTAATTTGTATAAGAGTCGTGAGATCTTTAGGAGGGTGTTTAGGGAGTTGCCGAGGAAGTAGGAGTGGTGTGGGAAGGGGAGGGAGTGAGCTATTTTCGAGGCTTTAGCGTGGCGTTTGAGAGATGATATCCGGGACATTAAAAAAGCTGCTTGGAGATGATTCTCTTCATAGGGGGAGTTTAGATTGGCGGATTGTATGATAGAAAAGCTTGCATGGGAAATCAAAAGTTTAGAAGGTAGTTGGGAGTCCAACCATTCTGTCTGCATCGCAACCAGCCTAATGTCTTTGCTTTTAAGTATTTATTGCTTGCTCTCAAAAATCAATCTGTTTGCTTCCAAAGTCAGGCGCACATGACCAAGTGCAGCAGTCTCGAGGAAATCTATGTACAATACAGAAGAGAAGGAGTTGCCGTGCGAGCAGAGCTTCTGAGATCAAGTAACCTCTCAGTTTGCACTCCAAGACCCTTCGGGTATGAGCACATAGCCTATGCAATCTAGTCGGTGTCTTCTTTAGTCAAGCCAATGCGGTTTGCCTCAGGTAATCCAGATGCTGAATCAAGTACCAGGAATCTGTCCTTAACGAGGAATTGGGAGGTCTCCGCCATTTCGAATGGGAACATCCCTAGGACAGCCTTGCCAGCCCTTTAGTAGTGCTCAGTCATCTACAACTTCATTTTCCCATGCCTCGGGGTCTCTTGGTGTCGATAACAGGCAAGCTGAAATCCAAACATAACCCGGGCTCGTGCACGCTGTACGTTTTCGACGCTGGATTCTTTTTGGCTCTCAGTCTGCAGAGCTCCTCAATCCTCATGGCCCCAACTTCTGCCGTCGGCACTTGCTTTATCATCACATCTTTATCGAGCTTCATGAATGCCTCTACAGAAGTTCTCGCCATCTGCTCGCACCTTTCGTCGCCCATACAATCTCCCTCCGGCCAGAAGAATTTCATCCTCGATCCGTAACCACCATGCACACTTCGAGGTGACACGTACAGTACAATATCCGTTAACTCAGGATGATGCCAATTATAAATTGTGCCGGCCAGATCAAGAATGGTTGGATCTGTAAAATCAGAAGTGGTGCCGTTCACGAGAGGCACATTGGCATTGATGGCAAGTCGAGCAATCTTGTGAGCCACGATAGCCTCCTCAATTGCCGACCTGGAGAGAGCGTTGACAGGCCCGGTGAAGCACACCCGATCGGATTTGCGGTTGTAGTAGATTCTCAGCGGAGTTGAGAAGGCGAAGTCGTCCAAGTTAACCATCGTGCCGAAAGCGAGTGTGTAGTGATGGAGGGCCTCCACGCGAGATTCGGAATTGACATGAAAGATTGCTGGCGGAAACCACGCCTACTTCCAGATATTAAGGAGTATTTCTGGAGGAAGCTTCGGGAATAGTGTGAAGACCTCGCCTGATATGTCGGATGCCATCTTGCGGCACGTTATCTCGACGACTTTAGATGGTCTCGCTCTGGTCAGTAACCAGTTGCAAGGACAATGACGTAAACTTACAGACAAGTACAGGCAAATTTCCCACTCGAGAGTGGGCTCATCGACAGATTTTGGCGGCAGGTGCTGGCCAGCACCGAAAACGTTGTGATGTTGAAGGAAGGTGGTGGACCAGTTTTCGCCGAAGAGTTCGCCTCGCTTCCCGTTGAGGTCGCTATTCACCTGCTCCTTTCCTACGGACCATAAATTTCTCTGAATGCACTTCAAACGCCCGGAAAACACCTCTCTTTGGTTTTGTTGACGAAATTGCATCCCGCAAGGCTTGTCAACAAAAGCGAGGGCCTTCCCTCTTCGATTTCGCTCTCCTTCTGCATACTGATCTTCGCACGTTCTTGCAACCTCAACACCTCCCCGTTATTTGCCCAGTTTGGCTTTCTATTTGCATTCATACTTCTTGGCTACTTCAGCTCCATCTTTTGAAGTGGCTTGAAATTAGAGAAGCCATAAGCCAGAAGCCAGGCTAAGCAACTATCTTTTCACCTTTGGCAAACCTCAAGACCTTGATCGACTCCATCGCTGCTCCAGCTCCATAGTGCACCAGATCATCTTTGCATTCAAAGGCGAAGCTCTGATGTCCATTAAGACTGCTTTCTGGACAATGCGCAATGTGATTAATTCACTTGATGTAAGCTCTTCCTGGCATGTTTAGGAATCGATCTCCCACTTTACTCCTCGAAAGCTCATCTTCCAACCTCCGACAACATACAAGTTCTTATCGACTTCGTCTTCCTCTTGCTTCTTCTGGCTCTACATAGAGTCTAGGGCTTTGTACGACTCGAGAGTCGTTCTCTTTTGCTTCCACCCCTTCAACTCATCCCTCCCCTTCACCTCAACAGGACGAGGTCTCGTCACTTTGTGACCTTCAAGTGGAAGAACGTCTAGGCGACTTATCGTCTTGCAGATTTTGCTCCTCATACGTTGAGCTTGTCACTTTCATTGCGGTCTCTCTTCACAAAAGTTTTACTTCTCCAAGTTGTCCTTTTGCTTTTTGGTCACGCACGGCCAGAATGTCGTCGAAGGTGATCGTCGGGAGGACGGAGTGTCAAAATCTGGACGAGGCTAGCTTTCGGGAGCGATTCAAGAATGCATTCGAACTCGACGAGGCCCTTACCCCAGGTATGTTTAGATTCCAGTCTCGGGAATCTCATGGCTAACGAAGAGTTCGTAGAAATTTACTATCAAATTCTTCTTGATGTTGAATTTAATGAGCGGAAAGCTCTTTGGAGGGTGGTGAGCCGTATAAGAAAGCCAGACCAGTTTCTTATTCCCAACTTTTTGCACCGTCCAGTCTCGCCCTCGCCAATACGAGATGCATTTGCAACAATCCCCCAATTCGGGCATGCACCCTCAATTGGGCGTATCGACATGTTGGGATCAGGGAAGAAGAGATCGGCTCCTCACCATCATGCTATCGAGCATTCGGATGACGAGCGTCCATTGTCAAATGGCTCAGAAGCGAGCAGTGTGGATCGACCAATATTATCTCCGTCTAAGACGAGCCCACGCGCGGCTCCAAACGTTACTAAAAGTAGCTCCTTTGGGGGTAGTTTAGTGGTCATTGATGATGATGATGAGGACGAGGATGTTCAACCTATCAAAAAGCGTCGTGCTCATATACTTCCGGTTCGGAGTACTACACTCTTGCACTCATCAAGGTCTGCGAAGAAGCAAAGAAATCGGACTGGTCCCAAAATAGTCGCCCAACTCAAGTCAGCCAAACATTCTCAAAGCACGTCGACGTTGGGAAGTTCTGGGGAGGAAAGTGACTTGTTTTTGCCGACTTTGACAAAACGCAAGAGTCAAAGCTCTGAAGGCAGAATCGCAGAGACTCTTGGCGTCAGTCTCTCGAATACAATCGAGTCTGATAGCGAAGATTATGCAGCAACTTCAGATACTTCCGATGGTCAACCTGGCCCTAAACATAAGAAGAAACTTTCGCTACAAAGTCCAACGAGACGAGGCAATCAAAATGAGATGGTCTTAAAACATAGGATTAAGACTATGGCGACTCCTTGGTTGCATATGCTGGTATGTTCACTCACCTCCTCACTCACATTAAAAAAAAATTCTGATTATACGAGGCCCGTCCGTTCTTCCCAACAACTCTAGATGAAGCCCCGGCAGGAGGTTTGCAACCCATAGAAATAGAGGATAGGAACGATCTTGATCTGAACAGATATTTGGAAGGCATTAGAGTCAAAGTGTGGGATCACGAGCCCGCCAAAATTGATTTCAAAGGCTCGAGTATTTGGCAAAACGAGAATGGCAGACATGGCTATGCTGCCGTGGATATTGACGGTGTTACATATGAAACTGGAGACTGTGTTATCGTGCGATCAACTAGTAAGTTCATGGACACTGGAAACTTTCAATTTTGATCACTGTTACTAAAATTTCGTAGAGCCCCACAGCTCGAAGAAGAGTAGCAAAAAGAACGAAGCAAGTGATGGCGATGAGTTGCTCAACCCATGGTATGCTAGAATCATATATCTCTTTGAAGATGAGGTCTGTCACCCCGTCAATTCTTTCTTCCACACATAGGACTGACATTACAAATTCCCAGGACGGAGAGAAGATGGCTCACTTCCGGTGGTTCCATCATGGAGCGGAGACAGCCCTCGGGGAGATGGCCAGTCCCCGTGAACTTTTCCTCCTCACGCAATGCGATGATGCCCTTCTAGACTGCATTTACTGCAAGATCAAAGTTACTAACAAAAGAGCCGATGTCTTAGCTATCCAGAATGGCACCGGTATCGTGGAATTGGATCTTGCCGACAAAGAAGAATTCTTCTATCGCTTCCATTACCATGAAGAGAACAAGGAATTCACAGATGTTTCGATTCACGAAGATATCGACACTCATATTCGGCACAACGGACCACACTGTGACTGTTGTGATAGACTCGAAGAGATTTCTCGCAACCAGCAGACACGAATCATAGGAGGAACCCCAGACAATGGTTCTCATGATAAATTCGATGCATTTCACAGGCAAGGCGTCGACTACTACCTGAACGACTTCGTTTATATCTTTGACGATAGTTTCTCCCCATACAGGTACGTAAACATCGCCAAATTTGATATGAGCGTTCTTAATTCATACATACAGGATCGGACAAATCGAGCGAATTTATCTCGCACGTCAGTCTCGACATCCGATCACATCGAAGCCAAGAGTCACTGACCAGAATCTTATGGTTAAAGTAGCTCTCTACGAAAGATATGACAAGCTTCATGTGAAATACTACGATGAACTCATAAAGGGCAGAGCGCACAAGGTCCGAGACGAACGTCGGCTCTACAAATCGCATCTTACTGCGAAAATTCTGGTTGATCAAGTTGATGGCAAGTGTTACGTTCGCCACAGAAAGGATATTGAGAACATGGAACAATGGAAAGATGAAAATGATAGATGGTGGGTGAATGGGCAAGTATCTAATGATGTTCATCCCGGAGGAGTAATCAGGCAGCCAGACTTGTCACCTCTTCCATCCCTCAACTACGCAAAGCAGACTGAAAGATACTTGACAGATCAAGCAAACCGCAGGGATAACTTCTTGAGAAACTTCGAAAAGCTTCGAGGGTTGGACGTGTTTGCGGGCTGTGGTGGATTGAGTAATGGCATTCATCAAAGTGGGGTTGCTAAGACTTGCTGGGCTGTAGAGTTCAGCGAAGCAGGCTGCGTTACCCTGTCCAAGAATGCTCCAGACGCCAAGATCTACAACCTCGATGCCAATGTTTTTCTAGACCGTGCTATCCGGTTAGAAAATGGCGAGGAGCTTTCACCATTGCGGGATTGTCACGGGAACGTCATCCCTGATCCTCCGCGGAAAGGGGAAGTCGAATTTATCTGGGGCGGTATGTGATTTTCTAATTCCACCTTGTTGCGAGAAAGGTCTCGTTTGCATGGTTGTTTTACTAAGTATTGACCTTTTCCCAGGACCTCCTTGCCCAGGGTTTTCCATTGCAAACAGATGTCCGAAAGCTGAAGATATTCGCAATAGCTTGATTGTTTTGTTCCTCTCTTTGCTTGATTTCTATCGTCCAAAGTACTTCCTTCTTGAGAACGTTGAAGCCATTCTTACCTACCGTGTGAGTGTGGACACTAGGTCACCTTTGAGTTTCAACTAATGCTCCAATAGCTTGGTGCTAGTCAGGTATCGCAGCACAAAACCGAGGGTGGTATCCTCCAAGGCATGCTCAAGTATGTGTGAAAGCGATCTTCTACTATGATGGTATGAGTAATTTTCTAATTGATTATCAGATTTATCCTCCGAGCCATGACTGGCCTTGGCTATCAAGCACAGTTTAATGTTCACCAGTCCGCAGAATATCATACGCCTCAGTCTCGCACAAGAGCAATCTTCTGGGCTTCGCAAATGGGACATCGGCTACCAGCTTTCCCAGAACCTCAGAACATTGTTCAGCCTGGTCAGTGGCGTTCAAATTGGCACCGTTTAAGACGCGCTGCCCCCCATCCCACAGTGACGATTGGCGATGCTTTGAGCGATCTTCCAGCTTTCGACTGGGTGAATCCACACCGAGTCGTCAAACAAACTAGGGAGCAGCGCTTAGAACGCGAGGACCGTCGGCGTAGGATCACACAGTACAACTGTGAGGAGTACACAACATTTGTCGGTCGAGACCATCAATCGTATGCCTCTCAACCCATCTCGGAGTATCAACGCAAGTTGAGAGACGGTGTTCAAATGGACGAACTCTTCAATCATGTTACTCTTCGTTGGGACGAACGAAAGTCGATGGTAATCGAGCAGGTCTGCAACGTACCGCTTCGTCCTGATGCAGATCATCAAGACCTACCCACAGAACTAAAGCCTTGGGGTCTGAGCTCTCCACATTCTGCTGCGTCGCGCCATGGGTTTTATCCTGGCCGTATTGGTCGCCTCGACATGGAGGGCATCTCCGGGACATGTATGACAAGAATGGAGCCAAACGGAAAGAATGGAAAGGTGAGCACTTCTAATCAATGATCAGATATGAGCAAATCACCGAGACTGACTCGGATTATTTAGGTCCTTCATCCCACCCAGTATCGGGTAATTACTTTCAGAGAGTACGCCCGGATCATGAGCTTTCCAGACTCATTCATCTTCGATTTTTCTACAATGAGAGCAATAGATGTAGCGCGACAACTTGGCAATTCTGTGCCTCCTAACCTCGCTTGTGCGGTTGCTCGACAGCTTTTGGATGTCCTGATGGAGAGATATCAACAAGGATCTCGAGGTCTTCGGATTGCGGAGATTCGTCCCTCAATGCATCAGGCCTTCAGCCCGATCAACGAGAATACAACACCATACAGCATGGCACTGGGAAGTAACGGTAACCCTATTACTTTCGACTGATAATGAGAGGATTGGACATTGGTTGAGAGTGGAAATGGCTGAGTGGAACTGGCTGTTCTGTATTTCACAAGATTTTCCTTTCTTTTGCCCAGGAGAATTGGGGAAAATGGGTGGGGATTTGAGCTGGCGCTGGCGTTGATTTGCGGTGCAGGTCTTAGAGGTGCTTTCGATAGAGCGGTGCAGGAGAGACTAGAGGACCCCAAAAAGGGGTTGAGGTGGTGTGACCAGATTGGAATAAAAATCAAGCAAAAATCCTAGCCGTTCTTTTTCTTGGAGATATTGGAGACATTGAACACTTCGTAAGACGTCTTGTGAAGGAAATAAATAATGAAAAATTGAGAGAACATTAACCCCCGAATGAGGACTCCCGAAGTGATGGATCATTCATTTGTCGGCAAGTACAGCCCAAAGTTTCGAAACATCCGATGAAAATCTTGAAACAAGCCGACCTCCTGTTCATCTCAAGAAATAATTGCCATTTTAGACAGAGTGGCACCTGGGCGCCAGCTTGCGAAATAGATTGCGATAATAGGGGTACGTATACTCGCTTAGCCCGCTTGGCGTGGCTCGACTTCGTAATTCTGTGGGGTTGTTTGTTTCATGCCTTTGCAAATTTCACCAATAAGACACTGGCCTGCGTACTCTTTGTGGCGTTGCAGTGCAGTCCTACAAAGACGAGTCGATGGCAGGAACCTCTTTGACAGCTCATTTCCCCGCCGTTGACTCGTCAACCCGGCGGAGGAGCCCGCCCCACCCATTCTTGGCATAAGGCACCTTGAATAGATTAAGCTTTAGATGCCAAGGGCTGAGAGGACGCCGGATATTCTGAATGCGTGTATTTGACAGCGGGACCGCATTCGTAAGTCAAAAGGTAGAGGATATATTCAAGTGTTTCCACCACTATGTTTTCGTTTCACCGTCTCGTTCACTTCTTTTCAAGCATATCACTTAAGCTTCCATTGTATTTTTTTGCCAATTTTCCTATTCTTTCTCTTCTTTACCTGCATTGATTGCAGTCATTCATTATGAAACTTTCATTTGCCGTCATCAGCAGCTTGCTGCTAGCCACTTCCACCCTTGCTGCACCTCGATCGAAGAGAGGACTTGCTGGTCGACTGCAACGTCGAGGCCGCACGTTACAAGGTTCTAGCGTGAGATCGAAGGAGTCCAAGAACTCCAAGACGAGGTTCAACGCTACAACGGGAAACACGTCCGATGTCGCTTACAGCGAGAGCAGCCATCACATCACCGCCTTCTGGACAAACTTTCAACGCCGTATCTGGAAAGATCACAGCCCCAACACCATCTGCGCCTTCGGGGATTGCGTCAACTGATGGGGAGTACGCGGCATCTGCCTGGGTCGGCATCGATGGGAATACATACAGCAGCGCCATTCTCCTAACTGGTCTGGATTTCACCGTATCTACAAGCGGAGCAGTGTCATACGATGCTTGGTATGAATGGTATCCAGACTATGCTATGGATTTTGATCTGGCTATCTCTGCTGGCGATGTAAGTGCTCACCCCTCACTCTTAATCACCAAACTAACTTCACTGCAGGTCATCTCCATGTATGTCAACGCCACGACCACCACTTCCGGCTCCGCGACCATTGAGAACCTAACGACCGGGAAAACGGTCACAAAATCACTCACATCAACCTCAACCCTCGGGGGCGAGAATGCCGAGTGGATCGTCGAGGATTTCGAAGAAGGCGACAGCTTGATCGCTTTCGCTGATTTCGGGAACGTCACCTTCACAAACTGCGTAGCAGCCACCTCGGAATCATCAGAGGGTGTGAGCACAGCGGTGGTCATGGAAATTGAGAATACGGGTGGTGAGGTGCTAACAGATACCAGCGTGGTCGATGATTCGAGTTTCATAGTTTCTTATACGTCGAGCTCGAGGTCGGCGACGCCTTCGGGGACGAATGGTAGTGGGACTGGTTCTGGGACAGGGAATGGCAAGGGAAATAGAGGTGGGAAGGGTGGTGGACACAATGGTGGTAGAGGGAACAGTGTGGCCGCGGGAGCGTTTGGGTTCTTCAGGAGGTGGGTGATGTTAAGTGAGGAATGAATGAGAGTGATGATGAATAAGCAGACAATGCAAGGCTTGTGAGGACACTAAGAGAGCTTGGATACCCAACTTGAAGAGAAGCATTGAATGTTTTGGACATGGAAGATCAGATGAAAAGGACAAACCATTTCAAGATTATGTCAGTGGCAACCACGTGTGCACAGATCCCTTGCTCATCACTGTTCCTCCTTACTCCCATCAACAAGATGCTTCTCAAACCACTGCACAGCTTGAAAGAACGCCTGTTTCTTCGCATAAACTTCTGCTTTCGTTATGACAGCTCTTCTCACAGCAAAGCCATGCCGCAAATGAGAGTAGAGGCTGATCTTATACGGCCATCCGTTCTGCTTCAGAATATTCTCCGACTGAAATCTTCGATCCTGGGTCTGTATTGCATCATCGCCCGCAGAAGCGATACTTAAGGGACCTTGAACTCCTTGCAACAAGTTGGCGGTGACATCTGCTGTATGAGCGATAAATCCGGTGTTAACCCGTATAATACCGGGATTATTAGAGAGCCCTGATAACCCATGCTGCGCCGTTGTAGAACCCCACGGCTCCGACTTTCTTACAACCTCTATCTTTGCTCAAGTATCGAATGGTACCGTTGATGAGATCCAGTTTTTCTTACTCGGATTTGGGAGTTTCGACAGTGTCTTACCTTCGCATGAGTTCTAGATTTGGTTTGGAAATAGGGCTCGTGACTGACCTACCTGTTCTTTCCCCTCTACTCTCACCTTTCCTGCGTAATTCCATATCACGGTCAAATAACCCACCTTGGAGTCACTTAGTAATTTACGTGACAAGAGGAGGGCGGTGTAACCCACACCTGCAAATTGATCTGCTCTGCTCATACTGTCAGGAATGAAGTCCTGTGGAGTGCTGGTAATCTGATAGGATTCTGCTGTTATGCCAAATTCCTTCCACGTTAGTGAGGAAGACGATGCCGAAGTCCTCTTTGACATAATCTCCAAATGGTTCCGCGATGTAATAAGTCTTGCCATCAATGATTGTATCCTGGTACTCGACTACTCCTCTTTTAGAAACATGTATCAGTATCCTGGCGCATCATCGTGGAAGATTTGCGTACTCGCATTGGACGCCTTGCAGCCCGATTGCCAGTAAAATCGATAGACACTTGAGGCTATGAGGCCTTACCAGCATAGCAACAGGGTTGGAGAGGGTTTGCGGTCATGTTGAAATGAGTCAGGTGACTTGCTGAGATTGAACAAGGCTTTTAAGTTGGAGCCTTGAAAAAGAGAGAAGGATGGGATGCAATGAAGACAAGAAGAATTATTTCTGCTTCTCCTCTTTCTGGCGATCCAATAAGGCAACGCAAGGCGACCTGGATTGCTGCCAGGTACGGAGCGTACAATTCATTATCACGTGACACTATTCGAAAATTGAACTTTGAAAAGAGCTTCTCTTTTCCTCGCTTCTGTGCCGAGAAATTACTGACCGATAGGAATATGGTCATAGCAAGGTTGGAACACCTTTCATCTCGAGAGTAAATTGTTACTCGCAGTGTTGAAGTGAAGGAGAATAGGGTCGTGGCTGGAAGGACACTTGTTTTTGGCGCTAGCGACGGTTTAAATTTAGCGAGTGGCATCGGCTTTCCTTGCTTCAGATCCCGACTGATCTCTTCAACCTCAGCTCTCATCGAAAACCACCATAACTACCAAGAGATATGGAACGGAACCTCATTTATCGCCCGCTGGATATTTCGTAATGATCCCGTCCGTTGAGAATGGCTCTCAGAGCCTGGAGAATGGCAGACAGGTAGGGGTCGAGAAACCGACCTCTTGGCCAGAGAGCATCTCAGACCGGGACGGCCCCATGGACTCAGATATTGGGTCTTTAAATTCAACTTCAGAATTGAACGGTTACCTCCTGGCTGTGCAGGATATCAGACAACTTCCGTCGCCATCGCCTACGCCTTCACCTCGATCAACGTCTCCGGCATTGGTTGTGACAGACTTGTCGGCTGACAACACGGGGACTTTATCTAGTGTTCCAAATGGCCAGGGACGTTTGAAACCCTTTGAGAGCTCAGCACACTCAATTTCAGCTTCTCGAGAAAATGGACAGGCTGCTTTGACATCGCCGCATCCAATATCGAAGACTTTACCGCCCCATGAGCTTCACGACATTCCTGAAGAGAAAATTAGGAAACCACGGAAACTCTCAATGGCGAAAGCGAATGGAGAGGTTTTGAAGTTATCAGCTGCGGAGATGGAGGAATTGACTTCGGCCCCGGAATCTTTACCAGTCACTTCACCTGCTCGGCTCCCTTTGCCCAGCCCATCCCTCGCCCCGTCACCAGTTCTCGACGGACGTGGTTCAGCACCAGATACCCATGCTTCGGATTCTGATGAGCGCGTTGGCGGAGGCCGTAAAATCAGCGCTCCTGAACCGCTCAGAATGTTGCCAGATGTGCCTGTGGATCGCCGTCAGAGCGCTGAGACGAATTCAAATTACATGGGCAGGAGGCCTGGGTTCTCCTCCCGAGCGATCTCCACTCCACCTACAGCTAGCAATCGGATGTCCTCATACACAAAAGGAACAACTGGCCAAACCTCACCCAGGCGCAAATCGGTGCATCCAGGAACACGCCCAGAACCATTGGATCTGAACCATTCGAATGGCAAGCACCAAAATGGTGGAATCAAATCTTCAGGATTGGACCAGCCTTCGCCAATGCCACAATCAATTCCAATTCCACCCATGTCAATACCAACTTATTTACAGTTAGAGCTATCATCAGCCAGGCCCTCGCCATTGTACATCTACCGCACTGCTGCCAGCGAATACCCCTACGAATCTTCGAAGGTCAAATTTGAGCGCTTATTGAACTTTTTGATATTACCACCACAACTGGAGCAGGTTCTTTACTTTGGCTCTTTAGCATGTTTAGATGCTTGGTTACACACTTTCACCATCCTGCCACTGCGATTCTTCAAAGCGGCTTGGATCTTAATTCAATGGTGGGGACAAGTGCTTGCAAAGGAAGCACGCTTTATTTCGGGATTTATCTACCACGGCTCGGGACGGATGTGGCATCGGCAACGTGGAAGGCGTGGAAGTACTGATTCGACATCCCGATCTCGAAGTGTGTCGCGAGCAAGTCGACCTCCAGCGTCGACGACCTCGTCATATCAATCTCGTTCGGGAACAATTCTTGAAGTCCCAAATGGAGGTGTAGAAAATGTGAAACCTGAAGTGGAACGAAAACCGAGGCAAGGATGGGGTCGAAGGCATCGAAGAACGAAGTCCCATCCGTCGTCTTTGTCCTCCTACCACAAAGCAGATCTCCTGCAAGGCGCTGTTATCGTATGCAGTTGCCTTATTTTGATGAAGCTAGATGCGAGCAGAATGTACCACTATATCAGGGGACAATCGGCCATCAAGCTTTATGTTATTTTTAACGCCCTCGAGGTAAGAGTCTTGTTGATGATAACAGAATGCCGTTGACCTTATTTAGGTGGGCGATAAACTTCTCGCTGCCCTTGGGCAAGACATTCTGGAATGTTTGTTTTCGGACGAAACCTTAGAGCGCGGCACTGATGGTCGGAGCAAGATTGTGCGACCATTCGGGATGTTCGTTCTCGCGCTCATATACAATGTGGTCCACGCCACGGCGCTATTTTGCCAAGTCGTGACCTTGAACGTTGCCGTTAACTCCTACTCCAACGCCCTGCTAACACTTCTGTTGTCTAACCAATTCGTGGAGATCAAATCGACTGTATTTAAAAAGATCGAGAAAGACAACCTCTTTCAACTCACCTGCGCCGATATTGTGGAACGATTCCAACTATGGCTCATGCTAATGATCATTGCATCACGGAACATTGTGGAAGTCGGCGGATTGAGCATGCTTAGTGCCGCTACAGAAGGCGCCGCCGAGGTATTGAAGAACTCTACTGCTCCATTACGAAGTCATTCCATTATTCCGAATAGCTTTAATATCCTGCCTGCCTGGTCGGGCGAAGTCTTATCTCCTTTCCTCTTTGTTTTGGGGAGTGAAATGGTTGTAGATTGGATTAAGCACTCTTACATCAGCAAGTTCAACAACGTCAAGCCAGCCGTTTATGGCAGATATCTCGACGTGTTGGCGAAGGACTACTACACTAATGTAAGTACATCTGTTCTTTCGTGAGGGTGGTTCACTAACGGAGTAGGCTTTCGTCAACCAAAACCTTGTCAAGCGTTTGGGCTTGCCAGTCATCCCGCTGTCTTGCCTGTTTATCAGGTCTTCAGTTCAGACGTATCATATGTTTCTCGCCACCCATATACCGCCGCCGATCCCATCAACAGCAACAGCTCTATCTGTCGATGGTGCCACGACTTCGCCAGCGACAACGGCTGCCCTCGAACATTTCGACAATCTCATCCGCCGTGCATTGGGCCGATCAACATTCGGCAATTCGGATAATTTAATCAGTAATCCATGGTATTTGCCAAGCGCAGATGATGCGATTGCTGCTCTTACAATGCTTGTCTTCTTCCTCGGAGCTTTCCTCGTCCTTCTTGCCTGCAAGCTCGTGCTCGGCATGCTCCTCCTAAGATTCGCACGCAACCGATACCAAGACCTGAAGAAACGAGAAAACCAGAATTATAACACCGAAGGAAAACGTCTCGGAGTATGGGGAATCGTGGAGATGGATGAAGATAAAAAGCGTTGGCTGTACGATGATGACCCTGAGCATTTGAAGAAGCTCAAGGAGAAGGAGAGAGCTGCCAAAGAGAAGGCTGGTGCCGAGCAAGATTTCGGGAAGATCAGCAGATACGAGCTGGTGAAGAGGATATGGTAGCCCTTGATGCCTTTTAGGTGTGTGCGAACAATATGATCCCAGTCCAGATTCCATACCAGCCGCTGCTTTGATAGGTTGTCCTCTGCAGTAGGTAGCTCCTGATTTTTCTTCTATGTCGTGATGCCTTTGCACCCCCCACACCCAGACCGTCAATCCACAAGCGTGGAGTTTATATCATGTGCTATCTGCTTCTTATTTATAAATCCAGAACTTTTCATATCCTCTCAATGCCTGATCTTTCACGCTTGGCCCGTTTCCTTCAAAAAGGTCCTATCAACACACCTTCTGTCAAACTAATTCTATCCTCCATTCATTTCCTTTCATTGCCAGCACCCCACATCCCGAGAATTTTGAGTTCTGCGCATCTCCAATACTAGTTTCTATTGTTTCTTTTTGATTGGAACATTTAAACATTGGCAATGCCTCATACTAAATTGGAACATTCGAATACCTCAATATCCCTGACAACTTTCGAACAATTTTGAAGTCTATACCCTGCATTGACCGACGTTCGCGATGGTGAATGTGAGAAGTAGGGATGTGAGATGAAGGGATGAAAGAGACGATATAGATGTATGGGATGAAGCGGGGTCTAGGGTGAAAGGTGGGGAGTGAGACGAAACCGAGGAGTGAGATGAAAGGAGGCAGTGAGATTATTGGGAAATTGGGATGAAACCAGAGATATGAGATGAAGGTGTGTTGACGAAGACCCATATACCGGTCAAGCCCAACGCCACCCACCACTAACAGCAACTCAGAACCGAACATGAAACTTGTGCGAGTGTCAACGAGCAGAGTTTATCTGTGTGATATTATCCATCTATATATGCTTTTACCGAACCACGCCGAACCAAGACAAGCGAACACACTCAAGCCAAGCAATTCATTCACAACGCAGCAACATAAATGCAACCCCCACCTCCCTCCTCAAGCACCGCATCCACTTGCCCCTCCTGATACAAAACCCCGTACCCAAGTCCCTGGGCGTCATCACCCATGAACCCCATACAGAACCACTTCCCCAGCGTGCCATACTCTTTCACCGCACAGAAAAGCTGATTACTCTCCGGCATTTCTTCCTTCGCGTCACAAATCATACATGGCTCCAATGCGATATTGCTTCCTTGAAAAAGCGCAGAACTTGTTGAAGTCGTACTGTTTACCGTAGCTGTGAGACAGAGGCCGGATTGCTGGTGATACAGATATCCCCAACTCTCGCAAATCGAAGTTGTGGTTGTGTGATGAATGGGGTTCAGTTGGTAGTAGAGGATTGAATCCGTTGGTGGGGTACTTGGGTTTAGTTTTGCGTATGCTAGGGAGCCAGGACTGGTCTGGAGCCCGAAGGTTACGTCAAATGTGGTGTTGTGGAGGGCGTAGGAGAAGGGCCAGTTTGGTGGCGACGCGAGTGTGGCGAGTCCGAGGGTTATGGGGAGCCCGCCGTCGGAGATGTTGGAGAAGGTGGTGCAGGTTGGTTGGGAGGGTGTTAGTGTCGAGGATGAGGGCCGGCTGGTTTTTGTTCTTGTCTTCAAGTGTAGAGTAGTGGTGTGTTTTTCAGAAGACACTGTTTTTGTGTTCGAAAACGCGCGGCGGTCGTTTGCAATTGGCGGAATAGCGGAAGCCGTTTCCTTGGTGGGAGAAGAGCTTTGTATATGCGTGTGAGTCGGCTGTGCAGATGGAACGCCGTTGAGTGGCCCTCTTCTTGTTGTCGAGTGTTTCCGTGATGTCGTGGAACCGGCTTCAAGGGTCCTTTCACCAGTAGTAGATGTTCCGGAAAGGCTTGAGACGGGAGAGCGGTAGTTCCCAGCCCGCTTGAGTACCAAACCAACTCTCTTGACACCGCGTGGAACTTTCCCGTTGAAGATTGCCTTGACAATACCTTCTGGAGTTAGTGCAAAGATTGCTTGAGAATTGGCAAATATTTCGTGTTGCCATCGTAGCGTCGATCCGAGATCGAAAGATCCTGCAATGGAGCTCGGCGTGAGGGAAGAGTGAGGCTGTGACGCGAATGCAATCGATTCCACATTCACATTCGCGAAGTATGTACCTTCAGGAGCACCTTTGATGGTGTAGAGTCGCCCATCGGATTCGTAGATTTGCACGGCTTCCGAAGAATTGGTTGTAATGCTTCCATCGCCCTTGAGATAATAGACACTACTCGATTGACGTCTTTGGTTTGTGGTATCACTTATGATGATGTGGAAGGTGGGGATTTCGAGGTTGTTGGGCTTACTCGTGATGCTGGGCTATGTGAGCATTTCAGTACGAAAGGGATTGAGGTGGACCTACACAGAATAGCGCAGATTTCGTGAAGAAGTGGAGATAGAATTCTGTCTTAAGGTCTCGGTAATTGTTACCGTGGTGCTGAGTACCGTAGGGGCATTGGTGACTGTGATTTCGCATCCGCAGGCTGGATGGGTCAAGATTGTGTTGGATGGAACGAAAGTCTCAATTACAACCGGAGATTCGAGGAGGGTGTAAACTTGGCAGACTTGTGGGTGCTGCCGCTGTTCGAAAAAATTTGTACCCAAGTCGATACCATAGACAGAACAGAGAAGTGCACACAAGAAGTTAATTGAAAGGACTGTGGAGTGGCTTCGAGCCATGGCGAGTGCCTTTGTACGGCGGAAGCAAAGGATATCAAACAGAAGGACGGTCTGTTATCGGTGAAAGAGAGATAAGAGAACGATTACAATATTTACGAAGTACAAGGTTGTAGTATTGAGATATGACGCGCCAACGGACCGAGAATGCAATTGGCGTTGAGAGGAACCACGCCCCCATTCTTCGACTTCCGCTCGCGAGGGGCTCTTATCATGAAACTGTTTAGGATTGACTTGGGAATGAAAATTACAGACCAAGGTGAAGATCTGTCGCTCAATAGTGAGGTTTCTGACAAGGGATTTCTCTCACAAGGGGACTTGAGAAAGCCCCAGCTCTAGGATCGACACCTGAAAACCCAGCGTCCAACAGTGCAGTAAATTGGAAAGCGAACAAGAGGAGACTTAAATATAGATAATGAGTATGAGCCAAGGCAGTTGCTCAAGGAGTCCTACGTCATTGAAGTCGAACAACTGTTCCGCTTGGCGACTGCTCATTTCACCAGTAAGAAGCGTTCTTCGACTGCAAGCCTCAAGGCGGGGAGCACTTGCCCCACTAACCTCAGTTCCTCGACTGAGACCATTGCGGCTTCCTCACACCTTTGCCGTGAAATAGGAAAGGAAGTAACGTTGGATTTGAAGGTACGTAAATCGAAAATAGGAGTAGCCTGGACCCCCACAAGGGTGGGGTGTACGGTGGTCCGAATTCGGCTGCAACCCCTGCGCCGTGTTGCCAACGACCTTTCATCCCATCTTGTAACACCTCAACAGACTACGAGTCAACACAAGCACTTTACCCAAGATGCAGCCTCCCTTAGAAACCATCCAAGGAGGCAAAGCATGGTACAAGCCTCCCAACGGCCCCATGGTCCTGGGCGAGGCGCCCATCTACAGAGCCTCAGACAGCACACTTCACTGGGTCGACGCTCTTAAGGAGCCTTCTGAACTCCATATCCTAAAAGTTGATCCGGAGTCAGGTGACCCGATCGGCGAAGCTCGAGTCCTGATTCTGGAGGATAGTGTCTCAGTGCAATATTTCCGCCAGGGGGTGAAGGGGAGTTACATCTGCGCGTATTATTGCGGGGTGGCGTTTATGGATGAGGAGACGGGGAAGTTGGATGTTGTGAATGAAATTATTCCGAAGAGTATGAGGGCGGAGAAGAGGTTTAATGATGGGGGTGTTGATGCGAAGGGCAGATTTTGGTTGGCGGAGATTGATAAGCAGGTATATTTATCTTTCAAGGGGATGGAGAAGGGACTAACTGAAACAGGCTATGGCATTTGGTCTTGGTGGACCGCCTGAGAGTTATGGCGAGCCGAAGGGAAGGTTATGGAGGTATGATCCGGACGGGAGTTTGCATGAGATGGCGAATGGGTTTGTTTGTGGGAATGGGATTGATTGGAGTCCGGATAATAAGATCTGTGAGTTTTCTGTCCCTGAAGCCATGGAGGTGCTGATGGGGACAAGTTTATTTGAATGACTCTGTTGGCCAAAAGTCATATGCGTTTGACTTCGATCTCGAGACAGGGAGTATCTCGAACAAGCGATTGATAGTCGATATGAGAGGAACGGGAGGGGAACCAGATGGACTGGTTGTGGAGTATGGAACCCTCCTCGAAGCTTCCCACTTGCAGCACTGACAAAAACACAGTACCGATGGTAATATTTGGATGGGCGTGTATGGATCTAACAGAGTTAGTACGTTCTCCTTAAGCCAATCCCCGAACGTATATTTCCAGAGCTTACAGAACTGCAATAGTGATCTTTGACCCCAATGGAAAGCATCTGAAAGACATCGAATTCTCAGGGAAGAATCTCACCTGTCCAACATGGGGTGGGAAGAACTTAGACATCTTGTTCGTGACATCAGCAAAGGATCCCATTCTCGGCATCAAAGATGGCGATGAGGGCGGAAACATGTTTAAATACATGGTTAGAGCGGGTTCAAATCCAAAAGGGAAGCCCAAATTTGAATTTGCAGGATAGAATCATTAGCGTGAAGATTTCCAGTCAACCAGGAGAGATTATCGATGGTTTTCAGCGTCGGCACAATTTCAAAACGGTCTCGGAATGAAAGAGAAAGTCAAAAGATGTAAATCGGGGGAGATTAAAGGGGAAAGAAGTTACGACAGCTGGACCAAGACCCCGAGCCCTTTGCCTGTTGGAATCTCAATCCCTATTAGGCAACCCGAAGTCGGGGAAGCAACGTCCGAAAACAGGCCCTATCCCACCTTTGCCTCTCGCTGTAAGATTCTAAATCCCTGTGCAGCCCCACCAAAAACCATCATCCTTATCATCATTGGAAGGTTACATGGCTATTACTTGAAATTTTAAGCATAAGAACAAAATATTTATTCTTGCCTACTTCCCATTCCTCTTGGATCACACAATCTATATACTCTTACAAGACAAATCTGACAGAAAGTAACCAAGAAAATGAGTTCAATCAACGAGGCGGGCCTTCAGCCACCCTACCCTCTCCACTCTTCAATAAAAGACAAGCTTGACCCAGCATATGTATCATTCTACAACGCACACATATTCGACAAGCAACAAGTGCACCTACAACCCGTCTCTGCGTCTCGAACGAGCGGGATCCTAATTCCCGGCGGTGGTCCCAAACTCCCAGTTGGAAAAACAGAAGATATCCAAATCCAAAGGAAAGAAACTGAGGGTCCGGATGTCTCGATTCGCGTCTTTACTCCCGAGGGAGAGAGACCCGTAGACGGATGGCCGGTAATGGTGTATTATCATGGTGGGGGCTGGGTATTGGGCAACATTGAGACGGAGAATACGGTTTGTACGAATCTTTGCAAGAGAGCGGGATGTGTCGTGATTTCAGTAGATTATAGGTACTTTCCTCCTCCTCTTAACCCCGAGTCGAAAATCTCTGACCTGGTCCTGGAGGTTGGCTCCCGAAGACCCATATCCAGCAGCTATCCACGACTCCTGGGAAGCCCTCCTCTGGCTCCAAAGTACCGGATTCTCCCTCCTCAACCTCAACCCCTCGAAAGTCGCCATAGGTGGTTCCTCCGCAGGGGGTAACCTGGCTGCAATAATGTGCCATAAAGCCCTTTCTTCCCCATCCCTCGTCCCAAAATTCAAAACACAGCTTCTCATCGTTCCTGTCACTGATAACACCGCTTCCCCGTCCAGCACTCCTAGCTGGAAAGAGAATGAACTTTCTCCAGCGTTGCCGGCGGAGAAGATGATGTGGTATAGACGGCATTATTTACCGGATGAGAAGACGTGGGCGGAGCCGGAGGCGAGCCCGTTGTTGTATGAGGATGGTTGGGGAGAGCAACCGAAGGCGCTAGTTGTGGTGGGGGAATTGGATGTGTTGAGGAGTGAGGGGCAGGAGTATGCGGAGAAATTGAAGAGGAATGGGGTAGAGGCTGACTTGAAGGTTATGAAGGGTATGCCGCATCCGTTTTTGGCGATGGATGGGGTGTTGCAGCAGGGGAGAGATACGATTACGTTTATGGTTGAGGCGTTGAAGGAGGTTTTTGCCTGAGTTGGAGAGGGGGGTAGATGATAGAAAGAGTTGAAGCTAGGGGGTGGAACAGTTGACAGAATTGGAAATCAGAAAATGGGTAAGATTCATGATGTAATATTAACAAGTCTTAAAAGGGTCAACTAAGACTAAGATGCAACCACCACACAAATCGAGACACCTGGGCTGGAACTCTCTGTCGTCAAATCTCCGAATTTCAATCCCACGGTCTAGTAGTTGAAATCTTCGTAAGTCACCGTTTTCCCACTCATCCACCCAAGAACACTACTCTTGAGGCTCGGACCAGCACACATATACCACCGATCAGCATTATCACCCGTGATATCATCTTTGCCGAGCCTCCGGCGTTCCAGTGTTGCACCAGACAGGGTGAGCTTCTTCCAAGCATCAGTCATCTCTGGTTTCTTGCCAGTAACGAATAACTTCGTAGACTCTGCCAGTCCAGGAACACGCTCGAAGATCTCGTTGGCGAAAGCCAAATCATTTGCCCTGAGCGTCCAGTAGAAATTAAGCCGCTTCAAATCGAGATCATAGATCTGAGCCAATAAAGGTGTTATGCCAACACCGCCAGCGATGAATGAGACTTTCTCCCCTTCGCCCTGCTGAATAAAGAATTCCCCCCCGAAGCCTTGCAGAGGCACTTGTAACTCCGACCTGATATTATGTCTGAAAAGGAAATCTGTGACCGGTCCTACCCTGCGTATCGTGATCTCGAACTGATCATGGCCATCCAGGACATCCTGTCGGGACGAGACAGTAAAAGTACGAAGGAAATCATCGTTCAAGCTCTTCGGATCGTCGTCTCGCATATGGCTGTATCCAATATCCAGCTCATCCTCAAAACTGAGGGCCACGTATTGGCCTGGCTTCCATTTGCTTGCCTTTTCTGGGTCTGCAATGTGGAAGCGGAAGCGTCCGATTGTGGGGGTGATGAGCTTCTTGTCAATGAGCTTGGCCATGACTTGCTTGTTGTTCTTGGCGACTGCGTTCTTGTTTTCATTTGAAAGGAAGCGTACAGGAGGGTTGTATGGGGATCTCTCGCCCTCTTGGCCCCGGAAACCTAAACCTTCTGATATAAATCTGACCGCATCAACTCTAATCTTGACAGCGAGATTAGTGTGTGCTATCAAATCGGAAGCATCTTTGCCAGCCAGCACTTCTGTTGTGCCTGTGAGATAGAGCACATCACCAGTGTCGAAGTCGGGAAATGTTATGCCTGCTCGAGGAGTAGTCCTGAGATTCCCAAGCGTTTGGTAGAAGCGATTACCAGAGTATTCGGGATAGACTATGGTGACGCCACTCTCATCATTCGACAAGACTCTGACGAAACCTTGTGGTCCTCCCCTGTGATTTGTATCCATGTCTAATTCATGATTCGAGGAGGAGATGAAGAATAAATCTGACTTTTCGATGAGGTCGAGAGCTGCTTTAGGTAGAGGGAGGCTGTCGGAGACTAGAGTGGGATGTGGTAGATGAGGAATAATGTGTTTCTTGTTTATGTATTTTGGACAGTTTCCTGGGTAGATGTCAACTGTGTTTTCTTCAGTTGAAGATGGTGGAAGTACTTACCCAGACTTTGCTCGATCTTCACCACTAATTGAACGTCGCCGATGTCTGGCTCAGTTGCGGACAAAGCTCCAGCAATCATTCGGCCTGCCATCTTCACCCGGTTCCTGTATTCCAAATCAATGCCCAAACCACTGACCATCTTCCCCGGGCCTTCGGGCCTGACAACTTCCCCATCTGCTTTCTCGCCGAGTAGGGTTCGCAAGACCGGATCAAAAGTCCTATCGACTGTTGCTTTCATCCCAATGATTGACTGTGCGACGGGCTGCGAGAATCCAGCCTCCCCTCCCCAAATTGTAGTCCATGGCCTGTCTTCAGAGTCCAAGGTCCCAAGCGCTACCAGCGGCGAGCTGATCAACTGTCTTGCTGCGTGTCCGGAAAGGCCTGGCGTTGTTGGATTGTCAAGGTGCGGGACTCGAAGCCACTCTTGCATCTCCTCTTCTCCTTTGTGCCATTGTGTCTCTGCTTCGATGATAGCAGCCATGTTGAATGTGGTTGGGAGTTCGTTCAGTTGGAGAGCTCGGCTGACATTCAAGGTGGGTGTAAATAATCGTGGGACGCTGCGGTCAGACTGCTCGACATTCTTATACAGTAAGAAGTATGTGATGAAGAACATACATGAGGTGATTACTATTCCGAGGCTTCCAGACTGAAGCCAGCACTGGAAAAGGCAAACGTTGATGCAGAGAGCTGCCCGTGGTGCATGTCATGTCATACCAAAGGCGGGGATGACGGGCTACTTTACCGTTAGATTACCCCTGCAAAAACGTGGATTTCAAATCCCGCTGCATCCACCTTCCAAAACTTTCTCTCAACAACAGTCATCAGGATACCGATTTTGATGCAACATCATTAGATCTATCCATTATGTACTTCAATCGATGACGCAGACGGTAGAGAAAACGGAAAACAACTTTGGATCGTTTTTAGTCCGGCCTCGCGTATCAACGTTCAAATCGTACCGCCGAGCAATCACGCCTGGAATGGACACTCCGAGATTCCGAGGAGAAGTTGAATCCTTCTATGAAATGTCAGCGAAACAGATCCCAAGCGGTATCAAGTATTCATCACATTAAAATGGGCACACCAAGTGGTGTCAACATCAGCATCAATACCCGGTGGGCACACTTGGCCCAACTTGCTGTCGGAGCTGAAAGTGGCAGCCCAACGCCCAAAAGTCACTTGGATCGAGACGCAGCTCCAGGCGACAGCGTTTTCACAGTCCTGTACTTGTATAAGTGCAAGAAAATCCCTCAGATGCACAATCTCTTTCAGGATTGATAGCCAACCAACATCATCCGCTCCGATGCCTCACAGCAGTTTGATATTTTTACTACCCCTATCTCAAATATCGTGCCTTTCCTCGGGTATCTTCCAATCAAAAATGTGATGGGAGTGTAACTCAAGCAGCGATTGGCTCTTCGGGCTGACCGCCTGGAAAGACCGAGCCCCTTGCCAATGGCCCCTGCCCAACTCAAGGCTGATCTTTTGATACAACATTGTTCGACTCCTTTTGGTACCAACTCCTCTTTCACTCAGTCCAAGTCAAACCTCATATCCCAACTCATAAGTGCACTTCGTCCCGTTGCCAGCAACTTTAACCATCTTCCGGCCCCCATCTATCATGTCGCTGTCCCGCCGCGATGGAACGGCCAATCCACGCACGCCCAGAGTTCCCTTTGAGGTCACAGCCAGAGCTCCTTTCAAGGTCATGTACAGAATGTCGTCGGAGGAAGCAGAAGGTCAGACTACATGATTCTGGACCCGAGTTCTCCCCAAGGGTGCTGATTAATTCTTTCAGTGTAAGCCGAGCCTGATTCCAGAAGGCCCTTGTGCCAACTGTGCAAAACGCTACCCACCTGTGGCGTGTGTCAAAAGGTACGGTTCTTGCAATGGGAATAGAATTGTACAGTCAGTAACCTTAGTCATAGGTCTTGTTCATCCATTTAGCATCAAAGTTTGCTGCTAATACGACCTCGCAGCCAGTTGGACGGAAGGCTGAAATCAAATCGTCGCCCTTACAAAGATGTTCAGTACCAAGTTCAAGTTGTTATCAACAATGAACAACCATTAGAAAGCCCCAGAACATTTTTCGGACTAATAGCGGGCATCAATACGGCCGGAATTTCTCCCATCGATTCAAATGCACAGAATGCTCAGCTGCTTTACTATTGTAGGCTGCCCCCCCTAGCTTATAATGAATGCGGTACTCAGAGTTGTCCATAGATGTCCAGCGTGTGATCCCTTTGATAACATCTCTGGATGGGAAGAATCCACCACCTGAACTCAACAATTCTCTCTTACCTGGCGTCATCAACTCTCCTCTCCTCCCGAAGATCGCGATTCTTGAGGCAGCCATAATTAGAGAGCTTTTCCAGCCGTGCGACCTAGCAGAAAACCGAAGATTAATTCTTCTCAAAGGGGAGATAATCGCCCGTATCAACGAGTTCATCACCAAGGATTTCAGCAAGACATATCGGGAAGCAATCCAGTCTGTCCTACATATTGCTCTTCTTGAATACTATTGGGGTGAACGTGCAAGCGTGGTGGCTCACATGAATGGCCTCAAGAGTATGATCAAATTGAGGGGGGGCATTGAATCACTTGAAAGTGAACTCTTTACAAAACTCATCACTCTGTACGAAATTCGAATATTTTACATGCCCAGGGGCTAATTGTCTAGACTCGACTTGCAGATTGCGTGTGGCTACGAGAAAGTCCCATCCATCCTCACTTTCGACTTGCCTGTGATCACGGCATCTCAATGCCCCCAAACATTCGAAAACCCTTTCCACGAGTCAACAACTCCATTTTCTACTGTTCTCGAACAATTCTACGGTCTTTACGAATTGGCCACAATCCTCGACGATGTCCGCCTCCTTACTTCGTCCATCACAAGTATCGGAACCATCAAATGCGATCTAGAGGATCCTCTCTTACAACAACATAACACAATCACTATTACCGACCACGCCTTTCGGATCCTTCACGCCACACGCTGCCTCCCATCGACCCCTCTCACTCCGTCCTCACCCCCAGCCGACCTAATCCACGAAATCCTTCGCACAACAATCATCATCTACACAACAGCCATCTCCTCCCGCCTCCCCCTTTCCATCGTCTACACACCTGCATTAAGACGCCAAGTCTACCACTCTGCCATGGGCTTCCAACTCAGTAATTGGAAACAAATCCCTGGCCTGCAACTCTGGGTTCTTCTACTTGCATGTCCCGGGAGCGGGAAAGATCCGCTGGGAAGGTTGTTGAGGTCGCATAAGAGCCTTGCTACCATTTATATCGGGTTAAAGGACTTCGAGTTTACGGTTAGGTGCTTGAGGAGCTTCTTGGGGGTGCAAAGGTGGATTTCTGGGGGCATTCTGAATGAGGGGTTGGTCGAGAATTTGTATTCGGATATCATGTAGGATCAAATTTGATAATGAATGTTCATTGAATATACACATCTCCCTCTCCATTCAACAAACTCTCATATAACTCTTAGTTCTTTGCTTTGCAAGTCTTTTTCCTTTCCGAAGGTTTTCGTGCAGACTTCCTTCTAACAAGCACCTATGCCCTCCAATCACCACTATGAAGCAGCAACTGCTCGCTAATTCCACCAACTAAGTTTAGAAATGGGACATTTTGGCAAAGTATACGCCGAATCTTTGGGGACTCGTGGCAGCAGTTTTCAACGGTAAAAACGCTCCATGATTCATTTCAAAGGCTGTTGCGAACAATCACTGAGCGAAGTCAAAGTCTCGATAAAATTTCCCATGTCTCTCAAATCATCTTACCCCTTTCCCCGGATTCAAGGGTTTCGCTAAGAAAGCCTCCGAACAACATCGCCTAATTTCAACCCCGCAATCTCGGCTTGGCAAAGGCAGGGGCGGGGCTTGAAAACAATCTCATTTGGGGCGTGGAAAATCTTAAATATCTTGATAAAAACAGGTTAACTATCGCAATCACTCCCTGTCCTTATTTTCCAACTCAGGCATGCGTCTCGCTTGGCTTTCCGATGTAATTGAGCATGCGGAATCCAGCCCCCAAGCTGCGTATAGCAGGATAATGTATGTATTTGGTACAACGGAATCTCTGCTGGATCTATTGGATGGGGAATGATGTGGCTATTGGTGAAATTGTCAGGTGATTGAGCCCAAGGCATGACAGAAGAATGGACAAAGACAATGGGTATGAGGAAGCTCGCCAATATTGCGAGCGCATAGAAGGAAGTCATCTCTTGAGTGTTGTAGAGAAATTATCGAGACACTTCATAGCCAGAACTACGTAGAGGCAGCGCCAGTTTTATGCCAGAGGCAAGATCATGGCCTACTTTCAGGGATAACTAGTGGCCCTGTAAGTGTTGTGATAAACATATTGGCATGAGTTCAGAGCTGCTCTTCCTCGAGCTCCCTCATTCAACTGCGCCAATGATGAAGATTCTATAGACCAGGCTCGCGGTAATTGGGATCGGTGCGCCGAAACCACCATCAAAGTATCATGATAAGGAATGGCCACTGGCGTGCTTCGATGAGCTGGATTTGACGGTTCCCCAGCTTCCTCTTTGGAGTTGGTCGAGATCACAATGGCGTCTCGAAAGTAGGGGGTTATCAACCACGCGGAAGCTGTGAAGATAACCTCTTCTTTCCGCTGCTCTCTGGTTCATTGCAAAGGGTGGTCGGCGCAAGCGTCATGAAATAACTTTTATTGCATGTTCTGGAATATAAACCCTGCTAGGGATCCAATCATGCATCGAATCTCGGTGAAAGTGAAAGAAAACAAACTCCAAGTCAGTACGGGTTCATCCCATCTATCGCCACTGCAGTGCTGTAAATCTCGAGTACATGCTGAAGCCAACTGTAGGCATCAACCACCCCAGCGAAACACCATCCCCGTGTACAATGACCATCAAGTATGACCACGTAAGTGACTTCTGGTCTTCCTGACGCATCCCTCGAAAAGGACAAGAAAACAAAGGAAAGAAGAAAAACATGCAACCCCATGACAGCAACTCCATCAAGCTCAATGTCCACGAAGCTGAGAGGTGTGAGAGATGATTCCACAACTAGTCAAATAGCCGCGTATCGCTGATTTGATTTATTCCGAATCCAAAACGACCGATAGGCTGATGATTCAGAGCCGGGATCCGTCGTCGACAATCATAACGTCATCATCATCTTCAACCTCCGGGACGTCTGGCATGCCGTCGCCGGTGTAGTTCGAGTAGGTGGCAGGCTCGGACTGGCCGTGCTCGCTATTGTCGCCCTCCCGAATCTGTTCAACTAGGCGGGCTAGTCGTTCCGAAAAAGCAGTCAAACGGTGTTTCTCTTGCTTCAGTTCGCGACGCTTTCTTCCAGTTGTGGCGTCTTCTTCCATGAGATTGCGGCAGACCTCTTCGCCTATTTGATTTTCATTAGCAATCAAGCAATTACGAGAGGGAGAGATGTCTTACCATCCAGGGAACCAGCGATACCGAGCTGGGTCTCTAAGTAATAGAAAATTGACTGTGAGATACTGCGAAACAGCTTCCCATGGACACTCAAGCAAACAGAATCAACGAAACGCAGGGCAGCCGTCATATAATAACCTCGAACATAAGCTGCTACCTCGAGCTCGAGCTTGAAAGGATCAGGGCCAAGCTGTTCGTCTCTAATCTCGGCTGCTCTCTTATTCATCTCCTTGCTCCTCTCCTCCATAGTCATATCCGTTAGTCTCTTCTTTTGACCAAGTCTGATTTGCTTCTCGACAAAAGCTCGTGCTCGGACCGATCGGCGGATCTGTTGGAGGTTCCGAAGCTCGTTGGTGTTATTTTCCAAAATCGCAGCACGGTTAATGGTAAACGAACGGTAGGTTTCGAGTTCGAAGAGTTCCTTAAGACACTTACGCTGCTCCTCCATGTGGCCATCGAGAAACTTTTGAAGGTAAGTACCGGCCGTACGATAAAGCTGCGTCTGTTCGTAGACACCTAGGCGCTTCTTCAAGATATTCTCAAGTTGTTGGCGAAGCATGCGAAGTGTCTCGTTGATAAAGATCTCGAGCGGAAACTTCCACGAAGCAACGCTCTGAAGGCATAGGTCATTGTAAGTCTTTATATTCACAAGACCGGGAAGGCCTGGCCGCGTATTAGAGAGGATTGTTTTGCTAATCTCAGTGAGGTTGGTGAAGCCTTTTCCGAGATTCTCGACACTTTGGAAGGGCGTGCCGGCAAACTGGTTTCGATTTGAGGCTGGCAATCTCAATGGCGGAGCTTGCATGAGACCATTTTCACGCTTTATTCCTGTTGGCGGAGTCTGAATTACTCTGTATTGAGAATGGGGTGACTGAGAGGTTCTTTGCCGTTGCGCTGGCGGCGATTGTACCTGTTCAGCTGGGCGCTTGCGGATAGGAGTGCTAGGCCGGAAAGGCTCATCGTCGTCACTGATGAGCTCGATGACCTCCGCATGGTCTGACTCGTGAGAAACGGTAACTTTCGGCTTGATATGGAGAATTAAATCTCGAAATCGGTCACAGAGGGTAGTCCACTCGTTCTGAAAGCTCGTCGGCAAGTCATATAAATCGCCGTTGACCAGATTTTGAACGTCGTTACTAACTTGGGCCAGGAGACGGGTGACGATATTTAGCATATCCGATTCGGGCAGGTCAGGACAATCGCTAAGTTGCTGGTCGACATCTCGGGTTCTTTGCTGAACTTTCTCGGTAATATTGGGGATACTATAGAGAATCTGAGTGGCAAGTTGGGTCGATAAGAACTCCTGAATAGCACTAGTTCCACAGCGGTTACGGAAACTAGCCCAATCTTGAGTCCACAATTCGTGGGTATCGAAGAACTCCGTTTCCTCTTGCCGTGCAAGTGCGTGATAATTGGGGCCGTGCAAATTCGAGTTCTCAGCAGGCTGTTTTGTGACATAGTAGCCATGACGGACAATGTGGGCTTTCCCGAGCAAAATCTTTTCGTACTCAAGATGTCGGATCGAAACGTGGTCTGGATTCGTCAAAACACCAACACAGCGACTGGTTGCTTTGCAATCTTGAATGACCTTGCCCGTACTAGAATTGCTAGGATCAGTCTTCATCGCGAGAGTCCATATAATCAGAGCATTCGGCCTATCGATGTATTTGACAGCCAGATTTTCGATCACCTTAGCCAAGTATTGGTCCTTTGGGTCTGGGGCCACCCGGAAAATCCCAGGCAAATCGTAGAACGAGAGTGCAGGTAGACCGGGTCCGGAGATCTCGATGAATATAACGTTCGGAGAGAACTTTGCCTCTGTCGATTCGCGCTCTTGTTGGAAATCGCCGAGTGCACGTCGACCTGTTCCCGGGATAAAGATCCGGTAGTCTTCGTCATGATTGAGGAGCGCAATCTGGGCCCACTTAATCACCTCTTCGAGTTCAGACTTGTTGGTGATAGTCTTGAACTTCTTAACCTCGAGAACCTGCTCAACCCAAGGGGGGAAGGGGCGAGCCTTGGTCACGTGTCTCGATTCGACACCTCGTGGTCCAGGGGAGATGTACTTGTAGTACTGTTGGAGCGAAACCTGGCAGGTCCAAGTATCAGAGGGCGAGGTCTTTATGTTTGCTGGACACTTCGTACAAATGCCTTGGTCCTTCGGCAATTGCACTTCGGTTAAGGCGCTCATCAACGAGGACTTGCCAGCGCTTTGATCGCCAACAAGGACCAACTCGGGCAGCTGAACGACATGATCAAGGCCAAAATTGCGCAATTCGCTGATCGCGTCGACAAGAATCTTGACTTTCTGACCAACAAGTTCAAGGCCTTGTGTCTGTGCCGGTTCTTCTGCCATTGAGGCAGGGTGTGATTCGGGCTGAGGGTCGTGGGAGGATTTTACAGGTCGAGATGTACGGACGGACACTGACACGAGAGTGAATTAGTGATTTTCAAGCTGAATCTGAAATTGTGGGAACATACCTGAGCGACGTTGCTGCTCAACGACCGTACTCTGGTAACCTTCGTCCGCGGGCAAGCCGTCGTGTTGAGTCATTCCTTGAAATGGGTCTTCAAGAACGTCAGAGACGGATTCCAAATCAATCTCTTGTTTAGGAGTGTTGGTACCAGCACTGTACAACGATTCGTCCGGTGTGACTAGACCGCCATATGCGACCGTGGACTCACGTTTGACACGTCGAGCCCCTGGAGCCATTGCGATGTTTTAATAGAAGAACCAAAGAGCTTCCCCGCCTGTGGTCGTGTTAGCTTGAGTCGAAAGTAGTGGAAGGTGAAGGGAAGGGACGCACCTAGATTTTAATGCTTTGTGCAAAGACAACACTGCGCAAGGTCGGCAGTGACGATGGCAGAAGAGAAAGAGCGAGTCGTAATCGCAAGAGATAGAAGCAAAGACTCTCGAATATTCGAGAAACGAGGGCAATGGTGGTGGGGAAGGAAGACGACGACGGCGGAAGTGGAAGGAGGAGGTTGGAGTTGAATTGAGGTCGCCAGATAAAGTAAAGATACGCAAAAGCGAATTAAGCGAGGGGTGGGCAGACAAAGTGAGCCCGATTCGACAATGAGGGCAGGCGTAAAGTGAATCCGGTAGTGGGCTGATGTATGATAGGAAAGCAAACTCGGCAAGGAGTTGACTCGGTGGGAAGAGGAGAAAATGTGGTTGCTTAGTGAATATCGCAGCGAGTGCCTAACAAAAACCAAGGCATGTCACAGCGCAGCATCTTCTTCTTGAGGCCGGAACTTCACTTTATACTTGCCCCAGAAACGCGAGAGCCGGCTGGCAGATCATCGCGGCCAATTCATTGATTTCAACCCAATTAATTCCCTTTTTAATCAAGGAAGGCAAACGCGTAAAGTGCATGCATGAGAATGGGATGCGATACCCAATTGGAAACACGCGTGGTCTTCATCTGCGGTCCTGGCCCGTCGATCGGGAGATGCTTCTTCTCAATTTCTCGTTGCTTCCCTCGTGGCTCTCTACAAAGAACAAGCGAGGATGAGCCTTTGCCGGGAGGCCCAGCAAAAGCGCATCTGTAAACGTGAGCGCTCGGGAGAGATATGAGGAACCTTGATCGACCTGAAAATGAGACGGGGCAGCTAGGGCCTGCAGAAGAGGGGCGGTGTGTCGCAGAGGGCTTGCACCTCAAGTGAGCAAACTTTCACAACACCACCAGCCGACTGCACCCATTTTGTACGCAAGACTCACAACTCTACGTGAAAAACTTCACCACGACTGTAGGAGCAATGAAATGGCTGGCTTAGCCTGATTCTTAGACCCTCGCACGGTCGCCATCATTTGCCACACACATCTGAATAGGAAACAATTGACGGGGGCTGTCTCTGTGCAAACTCACTTGAGTCCTGGTCGTAAATGGGCCTCCCCTCGTGAATGGCTGGCACTCGCACAGCAAACTCCGTGATCTGTCCTTTTATCTAACTGAGTGCGTGACACACGACATATAAGGGCTCCAATCATGAACGCGATGTCCAGACCCGGGCCTTGCGCTCACATATCACATCAGGACGAAGAGCAGAATGAGAGCAAGAAGAAGATTGAAGCTTCATGGCCATTTCTGTCTTTCTCGCATTGGCCTTCACGTGATCGCTTCATTGGTGTGGAATCCCTGTCAGGAGAAATGCAATCTGGCGGCTTGTTCCGCGCCATGATCAAGAAGTTCACGAGGTCAAGTTGCCATTTGCATTTCCAGCCAGATCACACAAAACCACATCTCCAAACCTTATCGCAATGTCTCTCCAGATCCCTCACCGAGATAAGGCGAATGGCGCATCTGCTGCGACAAAGGCTGTTATTCTGGTGGGTTTCTGCAATGAAAACGTCTTAAAAGGGGCAACGTTGACTGGAGGAAACAGGTTGGTGGCCCCTCAAGAGGAACTCGATTCAGGCCATTGTCCCTGGATCTGCCAAAGGTGAGAGACTTCCTTAATCTGCCAAAGAGAGGCAATTTCTAACAACCTGCTTGCAGCCCCTCTTCGAAGTTGCTGGCCATCCCATCATCTGGCACTGCCTCACCGCCATCGCAAAGGTTCCCCACATTCAAGAAGTATGCATGATCGGATACTACGATGAATCTGTCTTCCGCGACTTCATCAAAGACGCCTCGACGGAATTTCCACAAATCAAGATTGTATACCTGCGCGAATACCAAGCGCTGGGCACTGCTGGAGGACTCTACCATTTCCGCGATGCCATTCTGAAAGGCAAGCCTGAACGCTTCTTCGTCCTCAATGCGGATGTCTGCTGCTCATTCCCACTGAATGATATGCTCAAGCTCTTTGAGGATAAGGATGCAGAGGCTGTCATCCTTGGCACGCGGGTCAGTGAGGATGCTGCCAGTAACTTTGGATGCATTGTCTCGGACGCCCACACCCGCCGAGTTCTCCACTACGTCGAAAAGCCCGAATCACATATTTCGAACCTCATTAACTGCGGTGTCTACCTCTTCTCTACCGAATGCATCTTCCCCTCCATTCGAAGCGCGATCAAGAAGCGGACCGACCGACCTCGACTCGTCTCTTACCCCTCCTCCGAGAATCTCGAATCCTCCTATTTCCAAGACGATGACGAAGAGACTAAGAACGAAGTGTTGCGGTTGGAACAGGACATATTGAGTGATTTGGCAGATAGCAAGCAATTCTTCGTCTACGAGACCAAGGATTTCTGGAGACAGATCAAGACAGCAGGTTCAGCCGTTCCAGCCAATGCTCTCTATCTGCAGAAGGCGATGCAAACTGGATCTAAGGAATTAGCCAAGCCATCTGCAAACATCCTCCCTCCTGTCTTCATCCACCCAACCGCACACGTCGATCCCACAGCTAAGCTTGGGCCGAATGTCTCAATTGGCCCTCGAGTCACAGTCGGCGCTGGTGTCAGAATTAAGGAAGCAATTGTGCTGGAGGATGTAGAGATCAAGCACGATGCTTGCATTCTGTATGCCATCATTGGCTGGAACAGCAGGGTCGGTGCTTGGGCTCGCGTTGAGGGCACACCCACACCTGTCAACAGTCACACAACAAGCATCGTGAAGAACGGAGTCAAAGTTCAGAGCATCACTATCCTTGGAAAGGAATGCGGTGTTGGTGATGAGGTTAGAGTGCAGAACTGCGTCTGCCTGCCATTCAAAGAATTGAAGAGGGTAAGATTTCCACACCTTATAGTTAACACTCTGTACTCTGCTGACAGAACTAGGATGTTGCCAATGAAGTGATCATGTAGTCACTCTTCCGGATATCGTGAGCGTGTATGGAGAGACCGTATTAATAATACGCGGTTGTTTTTGGGCAAGCTTTTGAGGGTTACTGGTCAGAAGCATATTTTGACAGGAAGCACACCTCCAAAAGTTTTTTCACATAGACGAATAGCATTCTAATGCGAATGCGGCTGCTCGTTCATCCACAGATCGTTATGTGCACTTCAAATTTTCCTGTGCAAGTGCATACTTTATTATTAAATTATCAATACTCTCATGACTCGACTTCACCGTTCGGACATTTCTCGGTTCGGGGATAAGGTAGGGATGCCCACTGTTTTCCAATTCAGGTTACACTGCCACGCCTTCCCGCGGGGCATGTCCTGGAATATCTCGACATTTTTCTTTTCAGCTTATAAATCGAGCTCGAAACTTAAGCTTGCATTGCGATTTAGGATTTCAAATCAGTCTATAAGTGTAGTTTCATGAGACTTCCTTCAAATTTGCCGAGTCTCTTTGAGCGTTGGTGAAATCAGCCATCTGCTATACTATTTTCCAGTGACGCCATCGGCCTGTAAGGTACTTATAGATTCAACCGGCCTGCAGCAACCGTTCACTTTTCACTTGTTCCCCTTCATCAATTGACGTTTCAGCACCTCGTCCTGCTTGCCATCTTTCAATTAACCTCAAAATGTCAACCCACCACGCCCTCCCCCAATCCAACGGGCAGACAACCCACCGTGAAGGAATACCCAACAAAGCCGCACCAGGTGTATGTCTCCTCCCCCTTCCCCCAATGGCTTCACTAATGCAATCCAGATTCCCTACTTCACGCCTGCCCAAGAGCCCCCCTCTGGTACTGCATCAGATCCTCAACCAGATGGCAAGCCTATCCCAAAACTCTTCCAACCTCTCAAAATCCGAGGTTTGACGCTCCAAAATCGCATCATGTTATCTCCATTATGCCAGTATTCAGCTCAAGATGGGCATTTGACGCCTTGGCATATGGCTCACCTCGGCGGTATCATCTCGCGGGGTCCGGGCCTAACGATGATCGAAGCTACTGCCATTCTTCCCGAAGGGAGGATCACGCCTCAGGACTCCGGTATCTGGAGCGACAAGCACGTAGAAGGCGAATATGGCCTCCGAAGAATCGTCGAGTTCGCCCATTCCCAGAACCAGAAGATTGCTATCCAGATCGCGCATGCGGGAAGGAAAGCGAGCACGGTCGCGCCTTGGCTGGGTATGGATGTTTTGGCGACGGAGGAGGTTGGAGGTTGGCCGAGCAATGTTAGGGGACCGAGTGCGGTTCCCTATAACGAGGAGCATGCCACGCCGAAAGAACTGTCGTTGGACGATATTGAGGAGCTGAAGAAGGCTTGGGGGGCAGCGGTTAAGAGGGCGGTTAAGGCAGGCTTTGATGTGATTGAAATCCACAACGCTCATGGTTATCTGCTGCATAGCTTCTTGAGTCCGGTCAGCAATAAACGGACTGATAGGTATGGAGGCAGTTTCGAAAATCGAGTGCGTCTTACACTGGAGATTGTGGAAGTTTCGAGGAAGGAGATGCCGGAGAGCATGCCATTGTTCTTGAGGCTCAGTGCGTCGGACTGGCTTGAGTATAGCGGGAAGGAGTCTTGGACTGTGGAAGAGTCGGCGAAGCTAGCCTCTCTGTTATCGGAGAAAGGTGTCGATTTACTCGACGTCTCGTCTGGTGGCAACAGCCCTGGACAGAAAATCAAGGGAGGCCCGGGATACCAAGCTGGATTTGCGAAGACGATCAAGAAGGCCGTGGGAGATAAGCTGCTTGTTAGTGCGGTGGGAACGATCACGAGTGGCAAGCAGGCACAGGCGATTATCAGTGGGGAGGGGGAGCAGAGTATGGGGAGCGAGGAACTGGATTTGATTGCAGCTGGACGCATGTTTCAGAAGAACCCCGGACTCGTTTGGGATTGGGCTGAGGATTTGGGCATCCAGATCAATGTTGCAAACCAGATAAGATGGGGGTTCGGAGGACGCCCGGGAGCGCCAAAGAAGTGACACGACAAGAGAAGAGACTTAGAGAAGAGAAAGATTTTCTAGAATGGGAGTACTTCCTTTTTTATAGAGACGAAATAGAATACTTGTTTACCATCAATCGTATCTTCTGCTGGGGAGTCATATGCCGAGAAGCAGGCGCCTTCCTACTGACTAGAGTCACTAGACTCACTGCCTGCTGGAACATTGATGTTGCTGAAATTTCTGTTTTGATGCGAAGGAGAAATATGAGCACCATTCCTTGACCTAATCAACCGGCCCCAAGTAAAATCATCACCATTGATGCATTTTTTGTTTACATATCAGGGAATTGATCTGACAGCACGTGATGCGTCCACCTCGCTCCTTCCCCCTTAATTCAGTACTCCACCCACATCACTTCCAAGAATGAAGGATCGCGACTTCCTCAAGGGCGGCAAAATTACCCATGCAACCCGCCAACAATTTTATCTCTTCTGTTCTCCAACTTTCTCTTCCTCTCGACATCCATCATCACTTTTCACGTCAACTCATCGACGGCGTATTTCTCTCATCAGCCAAACCCCACCCAAGTCAATGCCAGCCTCATCTCGAGCACCGCGTCACCTCATCCAAATCACACCCTGTCCTGCAGAGCATCGCCTCCTCAAAAGTCACATACTCATTCACGCTCCATCCCGAACACTCCACCTTCAATTTTGAGAGGTGTGAACCGCAGCCCTAACACGTCTTTCAAAGGCTGCGAAACGTGGAGTGGGAGACTTCTATTAGTACCTGTACTGAAACTGCGAGGGCCAGTGATGGTTTCTTGCTAAGTGGGGTGGTGTACGGCGGATTTGAGGTGCGTTGTGTGAGAGAGGAAGGAGAAGAGAGAGAGAGAGATGTTTGACAGGGAGAGAGAGATTTTTGACAGGGAGAGGGAGATGTTTGACAAGGAGAGAGAGATGTTTGACAAGGAGAGAGAGATGTTTGAGAAGGAGAGAGAGATGTTTGACAGGGAGAGAGGGAGAGAATTGGAAGTGAGGTATGTCCTTTTGGAAGGGTGTCCAGTGATCGAACTCGGCTGACAAGATTCCAGGCCAAATCTGATTGTACGCCTGATTCGACATACATTCGGGCTGCCACCTTCGCTCTGTGTGGTCACACACATAAGTACATTCCTCGGGGTTCCAAGATAAAGTACGGCACCCTTTTGAGGAAGATGCAATGCTCGGCGACCTGCAAGCCAGCAAGGACACTATCACCAGTGGACATCGGGCTCGGTGCAATTGAAAAGGACGAAGACGATGTGTCTGACAAAACACCAAGCCTCAAGCATCCATCTGGCCCTTTACTCGCCAACAGACTCCGCAGGCCTCGAACAAATTTTTCTTCTTCGAATTCCAGTTTATTGTCCTTTATCGCCTATTTAGCACGTAAGACACGACTATGTGCAACAATGCGACTTTATAGCAAAGTCGTACACAGCAATCCTCCCTTACATAGATGTGCCTTCCGTGTATAGTGACCAAACTGACCCCCATTTGGGAACATGCTCCGTCGGGCGTACTAACCCTGGTTTATACCCCAGAGCTAAGGAAAACCGCGGAAACCTTAGCTAGGCAGTTCCTATACTTAGCAACTGAGAACTACTCAGAGAGGTTCCATCTGTAGCTTGTGCCGAACACAGTTTCTTCTTCCTGTCCCCTTTACCCTCTTCCCAGTGGGGTGCAGCCTCCTCATAATCTCCTCTACTCCGGGAACCCTCCTCCGAGTCCTGCCTTTCCTCTCCGCTTGCCCGTATGTGACCGTAGGCTAGAACCTATTCCTGCCCCTCCGTGTTATAGCCGTGTTCGGAGGCCGACTCTGTGCGAGGCGCTCTTTGGAGGTTGTGTTTCGTATCTTGGTATCGATTCACTAAGCAGGGTACCGCTTTCTAACGTCGAGTGTGGGATGAGGTGCAATATTCGTCGTTACTCGAGGGGACGGGGCGCATGAAAAGCTTCGATGCCCAGAGGATCGATGGGTATGCTGTGTGCAAGGGGGTAGCAGGTCAATTTGACTCAATCCTGGCCCTGTGCTCCGGAGAGACACAGGTTAACAGCCTGCACCACGGGGAGGTGTTGAGTCTTCATAGGCTGCCCTCGAAGAATTTGAAGGGTAATGGAAAGGGATTTCTGTCGCAGAGGCGACGAATGCCAAACTGGCTCCGACTTTGAGAATTGAGAGCGGGTTCAGGTCAATTCATCAGTTCACCCCTGGTTGGAATCAGCAGAGTATGGTTGCATTAAATTTAATGATTTGATTAATTCAATAATGGTCTAGCCATAATTATATAATAACCATCAAGCCAAATTTTATATGCATAATTGATGTATAATTAGTACTTTTAATGCAAAACATAGTTACATGAGAGCAAAATCAGACAGCTTATAAAGCGTCAGAATATATATTTAGGCTTTCTCGACGTCTCCTTCAGTAGCTAGGATTTCTTTATTAAAAGCATTAATATCTGTCCAGTCTGCTTCGTTGTCGTCCTCGTTAACTATATTATTCTCAACCTAATCGTCCTTTTAATTAAGTAATAAGTTATGAGTATTGGTTAGGAAGGAGAGTATTAAAATTATGAGAATTTGCATGCTTATTAGGCCTGCTTCTGGTAATACTATTAGTTAGAATAAGAGGATAGCCTAAATGGGAACTGTACCCCGTAGAGCCATTTAATATAATGCATAATAGTCAATATGCCATTATATTTAGTTATATAATAATGGTCAAGTAAATCCTTAATTAAGCCATCCCTCCCTATGGCGGAGTAGCTCTACTGATATGGAGTGATCTTTTCATCCTCAACATAGCTGCCAACACCCTTCTGACGGCTCTGACTCCTTCCGATCGGACATTAAATTGCCAACATCCACGCTCTTGACACAAGAGTCTTAATCAACCGAATCCATTATCTTGGAAACCGAAAGTCCCAACACTTGAGAGACTGCTGGTTAAAACACACCCTCGTGTCAGATCACCCTCTCCCATATCAAAAGCGAGTCGCACACAGCAGAAACCTCAGTGTACTATTACCTCATCGCGAAAGTCAAAACCAAAGCCATCAAATTTCCTCCGTCTTCCACATACCCATTTAATCAACAGCACCAGGAACTACCGCTATACCAGCCACACATCGATCACCGGACACGGGCACCCACCCGGTTGAACCCAGAAATCTAGTGATCCTTATGTGTGTGGAAGCCTTCTAGTACGCCGAAAAGCGAACCCTAAAATTGTGGTCTGGTCATAAGTAGAAGGGGGTCGGACCAAAGATGCGCGCCAGGGCTTTCATAATGGTCATGAAATGTCTGAGAAGTATCCCACGGAAATGATTCAAGAGAGCCAGACGTTTACCACGAGCTTGAAGTAACTGGGGAGGCAGAAGAAGCCAGCGTAGAATCCGAGATTCCTCGAGACTGACCAGAGCCAAATCCTGCCTACAGACACGACGAACGAAAACTTGACACCGAACAGATCACTGAACTAACACGACCACTTTAGTGGCCCGAAGGAAAGATAAAATGTGGTATTCTCACCAGGGCACAAAAGTTACACAAAGCTCACCACACAATGCAGAGCTGCTCTTTACCTGTTTTCGCCGATCATTTCAAGTACAACTCTGTTCCACTACCGACTCTCTTTCCACAAATGGTTGACTGACATGCAGCAATTAAGGTACTCAGTGGTAACATTTTCCAAGGAAGATCCCGGCTTCTTTGTGGGAATTTGCCACTCCAGTCTGTGCAGAGAATTTAGTAGCCACCAGTTTCGCGTCATATCTCAAAACTCGGAAATCATCTGGAATTATCCATATTTAAGCTTTTAAGTTCGTTACACATCATTAAAGAGAAACAGAGGGAATCCTTTTTGGTCCAAGCCATGCCACAAGAACTGCTCCAAAGTATTCTCCTTCGCTCCTCCGAATACTTCTGCCCACCCAATGCGTTACGCCGTCATATTGAATTCAATTACCCCCAGTGTAAATGCTCAACCCTCTCGTGTCAGAGTGACGTGCAACAACGCCCAATTCTCCAAAAAACCAGCCCGCAAACATCCTGTCCACAACACCAATACTCTGGAAGCATGTTACAATGGTATCCGCACTTCAGGAACCATTTCTCTTGCTGCAACTCCATCTTTCCAAACATGTTTCGAGATGTAAAGATTGGCGAATTGCTTGTGTGGTCCCGTTTCATGCTTGTGGAGTTTTAACCTTGCTCCTTCGGGTATGAATCCGTTCACCATGCCTTCCTCTTCCTTCTGCATTATCCACATCACAATTTTCGCGGCTACCTCTGTATCATACCATGCTACGGGATTTGGGAATTGGTTCAACAGGCCGATAGCTAACCTGCGAACTTTTGGATCCCGGCATGCAGACGCAATATGAAAGATAGAAATGCCCAAGGTTATTTCGAAGTTGAAAATTGCTTTCTTTGGCGTGCTATTTGCGTTGTCGATCAGGTCGCGGGCAAGCCCGATCATGAGCATGTAGTCTCTTAAGAAGGTATCAGTGTGCATCTCGCTTTCGACCGGCCGTTGAGAGAGGTTAGAACGGCAGATTAACGCTCTGATCATGACGAGGTTGGCAAGCATGTATTCCTTCGTTCCCGGTCTCTGTCGAGAGTCTTTGAAAACGGGATCGAAATAGCGAAAGAACTGCTCCGATGCTGTCCTGAAGTTGTATTGCTCGATGGCCACAGGATTTGGGTGGACTTTCCCCTTTATTCGACTTGTAGTGGTATTGTCGTCTTCCGGATAAGGTTGCACCATGGCCCCGCCGACGGAGGAAAAGTATAGGATTCGGCGCATTACTAGATCCCAGAAGTCGCAGGCTTCGTGGACGGATGTAAACGGCTGGTAGGCGGAAGGATACGATTGAGGGTGATCCCGGCCAGGTTCAGCGCCTCTGCATAGTAGGACATGATAGTCAAGCCGTTGGAATGCACTTAGAAGACCCTCGTCTAGGTAAGGAGATCGAGCTGCCGCGCGCCGGATACGAGACCACTCATCCAACGAGTCGTTTTCAGGATCTTTTTGTTTAGTCCACTTGAGCAGGAGGTCTATGCCGACTTTCGCCTGCGCGATAGCTCCGTCTTGATCGCCGATGTAAGTTTCGAAGCATGTTGTAAGAAGGGCTGCGATCAAGGCGTGTCGAAGTCGAGGTTCTGATTGAAGTTGTTGTCCTGCGATGGTTCTTAATTGTCCCAGTGCCGTTCCGTACTGTTGCAGTGCGAAGAGGTAGTGACTCTTTCTCTCCCTCTCTCTCTCTCCAGGTCCACGAGCGGGCTCGGTGCTTAGTGTCCGATGGTGATGGAGTGCTCCGATAGCCACAACTACCTTCCTGGCCCATTGTTCCTCATGACAGGCCTGAAGGACGACGCGATCCCATACTGAAGACTCATAGTATCCTGATAGCTGGGAAGCGGCGTTTTCCTGGAAGACGAGGAAGCATCGATGCTCCATCTCGGACTCGAATCTTGGGCCTGCTGATGGTTGTACGATAAGTTCGGAGTTGCTAAGACTCTTTGCTCTTGGTATGGGGACACGCGGGTTCTTGATGTTGGCTCCAGCAGGTTGAAACGGATTCGATGAAGATTTTCGTGCAAGAGTGTTATAGCAATATCCATCACACTCATAGCCGGCGTTTGCACATCTGTCTGGAAGGTGGAACAGTCAGTATTCTCCCATTTCAGGGTGCCTTTTGGTGAAGTTGAAGAAAAAGGCCCCTTTGCGAGGTGTTTGGGGGGTGCTGAGCAGGAGAGAAGAGCATTTCAAGAGCAGGTAGATGAGAGAATCGGGGAGCTCGAACCGCAAACTGGTTTTTTTTCGTCGCACTTAACGTGTCTTATCCTGCAAGAGGTCGTCAGTCAAGGGGTAGATTGAAATTGGCCCCAGCTTCAATACGCACTTGCCTAGATATCGGTTAGCCTTTCCTGACAAGTACCGAGTGTCTGTTCAGATACAGAGAGGGAGACTCACATGTCACGCAGCCCGAGCGAACCCTCGATTTGACTGCCCGTGATCTCTGATACTTTGCGCGTTGTCTATGTACCAGGCTGGAGCCAGCAGTGGCCATTTTTTCATTGGAAACGTGGTGCCACAGAGTCTGATGCGACGAAGTTCGGCTCGAGGCTTGAGGCTCGAGATGAACACGCGCAACATCACCGGGCAGGACCAGGAGATTTAACTTCCGGTTGATTCACCACGGTGAAGAGCGATAGGGGCTTTACTGGTACGATGTTTACCTCAGCGAGCAGTCAATGGTCGTGGTGTTTCCCACTGATGTGGCCCACTGATGTGGCCCACTGATGTGGCCCACTGGTGTGGGTGAACCCAGGAGCACGCGTAAAGTCGGCAACGCATGCAGGGCAGGCAGCGCGGGCGGGCAGGCAGGCAGGCACGCACGCACGGCAGGGCAGGGCAGACATGGCGTGCGCCTCGGCGATTGCATACCGGGCGCATGCCTTGCCGACCGCTCTCACGTGGACGAACGGACGTCAATCTCCAAGCCAGCTTCCGAAGCCTACTGGCTGTTTGAACGGTTCCCCGCACTAGCGGCGCGTTGTGGCAACCGTCGGTCGGCCCGGCTGAGAGGTCGGCCCACTGGGAAAGGGGCCAAAGGGTCAACGGGCCCTTAGCCACAATCAGGGGAGAAGCGTTATCTTGTTTCTAGAAGTGGCCCAAAGAAGGCAAGCTAAACTCTAATCCGGCGTCGTTGATGACCAGGTATCTCCCTCAAAAGCTGGATTGTCGATCATTTACCGCTGTTGATTGGAAGCTGCTAATGCGCTGTAAATAGACGTGGGAGGATACGAAGTGGAAAATCGAAAAATTGACTGCTCGCAAGACGACCTGACACAATTCCAACTTAGAGTTCAAGAGGTATGCAGGTACGCAGCGTCAGGTGTTTCAAGTTGGCTCTATACGAACAACGTCTGGTTTTCAGCTGGTAATACAAATATAGAGTCATGTCCCGGCCGCGTGGAGTACATGGCAGTTTTAGCCGCGTTGCCTGGAAAGAAGCAAATCTTCCAACCCCGCCTACTGGTCGCCCGGGGCCCCGAGCCTGAGATTCTCGAAATGGAGTTCAGAGAAGGCATTTGGAATCGTGTAATTTCCGCTTGTCTCAAACCGCACCTTCCCTTCAAAATGACGAGGCCGGAGCTCTTCCCCGGCATCCCCGTGTTGAATGCAGAGCATCTTTGCATGAAAGCCTCTCTTCAATAATCACTTTGCATACTTTCTCTTAGACCTTCCTTGACTTCACGCCACCTCCACTGCCAAAATCGCGCGGCTTGGAAACTTGGTCGGCCTTTGTTTCCCGGGCCGTCGGGTTTCGCAGGACAGCAGTTTTCGGGCCACCGTCAAACTCCGAATCGGCGGTGATGGGACTCGGCATTGAGCAGCGCTTGGTACGTACTTCGTTCCGAGACCAATGAGGTTTTGGCGTAAGACTTCCCCCCACTCTCTCAATTGAGGTTCTTCAAGACGATGTAACCCTATGAACTTGCGTTGATGGTTGTTCAGTGAGCATTTCAAAATGATTTATGACTGCTTCCGATGACAAAGTACCTCAATCAATTTCATTCTCGAGGCACATGAAATGTGGACCTCCACTTGCTGCTTTTGACTCCCATTATTTTACAGATGGGTACTCGCGTCTTCCAGGAGATAGATCCGTGAGTGTACGGAGTATCTCTCTGTTTCTGTTCGCGATGTTTCATTTCAACTGCAAGTTAAGGCTGATGGGAGGAGCCACACCGATAAAACGCCTAGTCGCAGGCGCGTCTCTTGGCACCACTTATTAGCCACATCTCATACTCAGCCCTGTCATTTCCCAGCCCCCTGGGTCGTCGCGGCCCAAGAACACGTCGTCAAAAGACGTTGTCTGTGGAGTTAAAGTGCTGCGGCTTGGGTCGGCTTGGCGAGCCGACGCTCAATGACAATAATAGTTATTATTTTGTATTAATTTTTAACTTTTAATTTTTAATTTTTGGTATTCTATACTCTATCAGCTGCCAAAGGTTCTGTGTTGGGATCACAAAAGTACAACGAGCAGTTCAGTGGAGATCTCCGCTCCACAGGAAGGCGGACAGGTGTAGTGCGCTCTCCTCAGGAGAGTAGAGGAAATTAAAAGGCAACAAAATACCACTAGCAAAGGAAACAAACTCCCTGCCCCAGCTACTAATTAAGACCAAAAAGTCGTTGCCCTAAACTCAACGAGACTGGTTCCTACCTTTCCTGTATGGCATTAATGGCTTCTGAAAAGATGGCAACATTGCGAAGCCTACTATCCGTCCCGTCCATTGTTACGCCCTGGCGAATCTGTAGTGTGAAAATAGGTCGAGCAGGCCTGTGGCGAGGAACGCCTTGAGCGCCGAGCAACTTCACGAAAAATTAAGCGTGGTGTAACGTGATATTGCGCAACTACCAGTAGAAACCGACAATGTGGCGTTGATCATTGAATGGGGGAAGCGAGACAGTGGCGGTGAGTATATCCTCCTATCGATCAAAATTGCGCACCTTCAACGAGAAAAACAAACCCCGAAGACACTCGTATTCATTATTCTTGCACCGTTGGCTTTATGCAAGATCGCATAGTGCATATACGAAGAGCGCGGAAATTCGGAAAAGGGGGAGTTCTCGCTTACTTAACCTCAGCGGGGCTGCGGGATCTACCGTCTTGACTAACCAGAAAGGGAATAGCTGCGCTCTCCCCGAAGCATAAAAAAAAGAACTTAGATACGAGCGATACCCTGACCCACAGGATTGCGTGCTTGCTAAATGCCGACATATCGGACATATCAAGGTGGTCACTCAGGAGAAGCCGGCCCTGCAACGGCTCTTCGCATGAACGAGGAGTTGTTGGAATTTGCTTTGTGTGTGTGCTGGGAAAAGTCCGTCTTGGAAGGTGTTGACTTCGCAAGCCACAAAAATAAATCCCTCTTTCATGTTTGACGGGATCTCTTGTCTCTGAATCGTTTTTCCAAGCGGCAGTTTCCCATCCCGGCTCCTCCTGACTAAGACGAGATCGAAACTCCTTTCGAGAAAAAAAATGAAAGCTCGTCGGCTTCAAAATCTTTCGAAACTCTTGTTCAAAGCTACTACTTCGTACTTTTGGAAAGACTGCTCTTCATTCCTCAAAATTGTGACTCGATACAAAGCGACGGCGAAAGGCATTGAAATGTCGCCAGCGTCGAGAGAGACTTCACCCCAGGGGGTAAGTGAATTAGAGAATTATCCTAGGCAATGTTCAATTGCCTCTTTATAGGTAACAGTACCTTCTCTCTAGCATTTGCAATAAGTCTTAGCCTAACTTTCCCAGTCGAGGAGCATAGTTCTCTTGATACTCAGGACGAGATCACGAATATCACATCCTTATTCGAGCCATCAAACACTCAACATCTACAATCACGTCTACGAAATGAGGCTACGCTAGTCTAGAGTCGCTTGGAAGAATATTGCAGTGATGCAGCCTCCTTACCTTCTGACCGTCTAGGCCATTGGCGCAGCTCCTTTCCACACCACAACACTCATATCGCTTCGATACTTTGTCGAAACAGTGGGATTGCCAATTTTCCTGCCCAAGGAACAATTCTAAAAGGCCACACGATGCATACCTTCCCTTGGAAATACGGTAAGGCGTCTAGAAGGGTTCATGGAAGTTGCCGATCGTGGGGTTGACATCGACCCCATTGCACCAGCACGGCGGGAAGCACACGACCAGTCCCGAAATCTTGCAACACCGAGGCAACGAGGCACAGCGTAAGCGTACATGTTGGGAATGTCATATGAGTCTATGGCGGGCAGGCTTAGCTGTCTTATTTGTCCGGTCGCGTTTCTGAAGGCCTTCCTTCGGAGACCGAGAATTCCGAAATCAACAACAACATTCTGCAACCAGAATCAAGACCCAGTCGCAAGGCGCTGCACTCTCGAGAACTCAAATGTTTCTGGATGCAAGCGCCGATATTCTGTAGTAGGTATAAATGCGCTTGCAAAAATTACTAAAAGCTATGAAAAATGGCTTCAAGATCTTGTTTCGCCACGACGCTCAATTAATTGACGACTTCACCAAAGCGAAGACAAGCACTTCCAGGTTACTACAGTTTAAAAATCAAATCAAATCATGATGAATCCTCAACTCTCCACTTGGGACCCAAATTTTCCGAAATAGCCCTTGATGACAAAAACAGACCTCGCTCACCTACTCACGTCAAATCCCCCTCCAAAATAGCCATGAAAACACCTATTCTCGGTGTACCTAGGTACGAGCACGGACGCAGCTCAGCCTTATCCCATCCTCATAACCGTGCAAGCGGCCCCGAGGCTGAATCCGAACATTCCCAATCCATCAGACCCGAATTTACCCCATCCGCAGTCTCGTGGCGTAAATGCACGGTTGTGGTTGGGTTGGCGGGCTGCGCTCCTTGACTGCGGACCAGTGGCCCATGGTTGGTGGTGAGAATTCTCAGCCACGGCCGCATGCGGCGCGAGAGTGGAGGAGTTTACGAGAAGGATACTTAATCGCACATGCTTGCCTTTGAAATGATGAGAAAAGTCATGCGTATCTGTTTGACCATATTCCGCATCCAATTGTTTTCAAGATATATTTTGAATTCAAAGAGAAATTGTGGTGCTGTGGGTTGAAATTCGAATTGACTTTCAGCACAGACAGTGAGAGGAAATGGATCACTCGGTTAGCGACCCCTACCCCCGAAAATCTGGAGCGCTATATTAACAGTCAACAGTTACCGACGTTCCCACCGCCAGCGTACCATATTTCACAAGCACACTCGCATTCACACTCACAATCAAACCTCATCCTCGACCAACTACTCCCACACATCCCCGCACCACAACCACAATACCTCTCTGCCCCCACCCCAGAAGTGCCCGAGTCAAAATGGGCCCGCCGCTCTCTCTCCTCGCACTCAATCTACTACATGCCGCCACAATCTGACCTCCCCAAATCCGAATGGAACTACACCGAGTCCCGGCGAAACTACAAGAGCGAGAGCCGGCGGAAGTTCGTCCTGTTCGTGGTTGCGATATTGCTGATGCTGGCGGCGATGCTGGCTATTGTGGGCGCGACCACGCATTTCCGGTTGAGGAGCAATGGGGTGTACGACGGGGTCGTATAATGGGAGTTGGGTTTGTGTTTGAGGAGGGAGGGAGGAGGGAGCACGGAACCCTGAGGCAAGGAGGAGGGAGATTGGTCTTTTCACTCAGCATTGCGGTGGCGTTTGGGTCGGGCTGCATGGATCTTGCTGGGAGGGGAGGAAATACCCTTCCTTTTAAACCCCCCTCCCTATATTTGGTACGACTCGGCCACTTCTACTCTAATCTACTACCCTTTATCGAACGTGGCAAATTACTAGAGAGAACGAGACAATACCTATAAGCTTATATTCTCTCTAGTCTATTTATACCATGAATAGGACCCGCTTATTACTCCAGAACAGTCACGTGCTAGCAAATCCACCAGGTAGTCTCAAAGATACTATCACAGTGCCATCCACCAAATTAACATTACTGATGACACATAAACGGAGTGGAGCGAGCTTTGCATTGGGCTTTGCCGCTTTAAGAGCTTCGGCTTGTTCATGACACAAACAACCCGCACCGCAATGGTCTGTACAGCACCCAATCCTGACAAACAACCCTCTGAGGTGGCCGAAAATATGCCTGTCCCGAGCCGCTCTGACAACAACAACCCCATCTCTTATTCCTTGAATACGGTTAAAATGATCTCCTTCCCCTATTCTTCCCTCCTCCTGCCACCCCTCTCCTAAGACGCTCGCCTTCTATTCGATCGACCCCACTTTACGAAATCTGCCTCTGCATAACCTTCGATCAAAGCAAGGGAACCAGCTATATCGCAGTATTGAACAGTGCCCTTAGGGGCGAGTGCAGAAGTGACCTCCATTTGGTTCGTATTGAAACCCTCCATTAGCTTCTTTCCATTCAACAAGACCTTGCCATAGAGGATTTGCGTCTCCAAGCCCAATTCCCCCCAAAAGTTCATGACTATCTTATAAGTTGCTGTCTTAGTTCTGATTGTGTTGTATGTGTTTTTACTGGAGCAATACTGAGTATAACTCTGCCCGGATTGTCGACTACCAATGGCCCATTTCACAAGACTATTGGAAGGCACACATGCGACTTCGAAGGCATAGGAGCCTTTCTAACTTTTGACGAACGCTAGTTGTTTGCAATAAAAGCTAATATTGCAATAGGCTTGAACCCAGACCGATGGTGCACCGTCCAGCATATAATAAACTTTGTAGCTACAGTCTAATGCCCAATGGCACACTGCCATATCGGGTTTGTAGAATCCTATATCGGGGCCTTGTATCGTGCCATTACACCAACTCTCATTAGCGATAACAAACCTCTTGGTGCGGCTAGAGCTCTCAACGTTCGTGGCCAGAATACCTTCGAACTCGGTTTCGTTGATTGAAGACTTGTCATCTATTGCGATATCCTTTATAATAGCAGCTATAGAAAGAGCGACTTGCAGTAGTCCGAGACTAATAAGAAGCCGCATGTTGTGGAATTATTTTCTGGCTGACCAGAATATGTTAATAGTTGTATACCAAAATAGAGCAATGAATCGCATTCTAATAGATAGCTCTCTCTCTCTATATAAAGAGTGCATGAAATAACGCATGGAAGAATTCATAACTTCCGGCACTTCGCTTTTCGAGACTTAAATATTTAATACACTCTTTTTCTTACCTTATTTACAACTAATATATGAAATAATTTAAATGAATAATTTAAAGGCCCGAATTTAAATTTAATTAAGAAAAATACATTAAATTCTGGATTTTATTTAATAATTAGTTCGTTTTTTCTATTTGCTTTACTTATAATTAAAAAGTAAATATTGTAATGGCGGGACAAAGCTATGGACGTGGGCACAAAGATCTCCATTTCTAGTCTTATCCCTTCGTCTGGTGAGACATTGCCACATTAGCGGCCGCACATGAATATCTCTAATTCAGCCAGAACATAATCCGGAACATTTCCCATATCTCAGGTAGCTTCTTGCTCTTGGTCGAAGCCTCAACTTAGTTGCCTTGGGCAACCTCGTTGTCGGCGGCCTGATCCTCGTCCTGCATCGCTTGGCCCTGATCTATTGTCCTCCACTCGTAGAGGATTCTCCTACAGTTGTCATCTTACTAATTGAAGTTGTGCCTGGCAGCTGGAGTTATTGCAAACACGTAAATTTGAACATCCGCCTTCGTGGGTTGTTGACAAGGTTGTGGATGGTGCCGCTGAAAATGGTCTGATCGATCATGTAGTTGCGAGAATCACTAGTGTAACCTTCTTCATGGGAAAAGGACCTGCTCGCTAGGTGCACCAACGAGAATCGGATATATTTTGGTCAAAGTTCGGATCTTGCTCGATGAATCATGTCGCATTGTTACTTGTAAAAATGTCGACGCAGTTCGGAATTGGGCGGGGGGGAGGGGGGGGTTTCTCGCTAAAGCCCCTGAACCATGTCAAAACTATGGATGAAATTCAGGAAGCCAAGTTACGAACATGGCCCCTGCCCACTTTCGACAATCTATACAACCTGGGAGAATATTTGTAAGTGATTGGCTGCCATTTGAGTATTGGAACTGACGTACGGCATAGATTCATCTCCGTGGCTTTTGGAATTGTGCCGCTGTGCCTGCCGCAATTACAGGTTCCAATAACGAGGTTAGCCATTTGTTGCCGATTCTCACGTGGCTTGCAAACAGTGAAGGCGCTAGATTGGGAACTTGCAGTCCAGATTCAAGATTTTCTGAAACGCAGGAAAAAACCTCCAAATATCATCATTGAAGCTAAAACAATGACATGGGAATACTTGCAGTAGAGTCACGTGACCTTCTCCTTCTCCTTCACCGCCACCCTTCTTCTCTCTTAAGGTCCATCAGCCAGGGGCCCAATATTGTGCGAATTGCCTGCTTTTCGTATTCGTAGCTACCCTGGAAGCATGCGCTGTCAAAATCCTCTGATTCTTCCAGCGAGCCCCCAGGCTCTGCTCCGCGCGGCCTTCCGGTGGTCTCCACACTCCAGCCGCCGCTATTTTCTCACACGTTTACAAGGCAACTCGAGCCAGGTTAATTGGCATAACTTCCACTTTGGCAAGGGCGTCTCCCCAAGTGATGTCCTTCCCCCATTCGTTCTTCCCTAAATAATTACTAAGCACCACCTTAGGTACTAGAAGAAACGCCCATCACGTGATGCACTTTCCCGCTTTAAAAACTAGATCTCCAGACTAAATATACCCCGCAACCCCGCCACGCCAAAACATTGCAAGCTCGGTATTGACTCAAGAACGCCTCGTTTTTGACACGGATTATTTCCGCAGCTCCGCGAAGTAAATAATTTGGTCTGCACGTGAAGTAGTACAAGACACGTTTGCCGTGCTTTCCGTACAACCTCCCCTCCATTCTCTACTCCTCCTTTCACTTTCAACTTCCTTCACCTCCAAAAAATGGCATCCGCAGCCACGCAAAGCATGACCACCGACGCCATTCCTTCCTACCAACGAGTCGAACCCGGCTCAGTAAACATCGACGTCGAAGACCTCACCAAAATCCAAACCGCACAGCCCAAAGACATCGACAAAGCAACCGAAGAATGGGTCTCCGCATTCAATAAAGCCATCCAGTCCCATAACCATGCCGGCCTCACGGATCTCTTCCTTCCCAACGCTTTCTGGCGGGATCACCTTTGCCTGACTTGGGATTTCCATACCATGAAAGGCACGGACAAGATCAAGGAGTTTGTGGCGCAAGGTGGAAGGTGCAGATTGAAGAATATTGAAGTGGATAGGAGTAGTGATTTTAGGAAGCCGGTCATTGCGGGGTTTGATGGGCAGGGGAAGGTGCAGGGTGTGCAGACTTTCCTGACAACTGAGTCGGATGTGGGGAGAGGGATGGGAGTTGCACGATTGGTGCAGACGGAGGGGAAGTTGAAGGCATTCACGCTTTTCACTTCGATGAGAGAGCTGAAGGGTCATGAAGAGGCTACATTTGGAAGGCGACCAGAGGGGGTTTCTCATGGGGGGCAGCCGGGTAGAAAGAACTGGCAGGAGCGCCGCATTGCAGACGAGAACTTTGAGGATAGCGAGCCAACTGTCTTGATTCTTGGTATGTACTTGATTCTTGAGATGCCCACCACCAAGAAGTGAACGTTAGTGGTTCTAATTTTGCGCCTGCAGGTGCTGGTCAAGGAGGTCTCACTCCAGCTGCTAGATTAAAAATGCTCGGAGTCAATGCCCTCATCATCGACCGCAACGAGAGAGTTGGAGATAACTGGAGACAAAGATACCATCAACTCGTCTTGCACGATCCAGTTTGGTACGACCATTTGCCATATATCAACTTTCCTGCACATTGGCCAAGTGAGTATTGACCGAGAATCCTTTTCTCTTCTACTAGCCTCATAAGTTTCCCCTATATCGAGAATTTGCTGACTGTCTAAAGTTTTCACACCCAAGGATAAGCTTGCCGAATTCTTTGAGACCTATGCGAAGCTGCTGGAGCTAAATGTCTGGACAAGCACTGAGATCAAATCATCACACTGGGATAAATCCAAAGGCCAATGGACAGTCGTTCTTGAGCGGAGAAAGGAACCTGGCGTTGTCGAGACTCGCACACTTCACCCGAAGCATATCATTCAAGCCACCGGCCATTCCGGCGAGAAGAACTTCCCTTCACATATCCCAGGCATCTCGGGCTTCAAGGGTGATCATCTCTGCCACTCATCCGAATTTACTGGTGCCAAGATGGACGGAAAAGGCAAGAACGCCATTGTCGTGGGCTGTTGCAACTCAGGACACGACATCGCTCAAGACTTCTATGAGAAAGGATATGATGTGACCATGATTCAACGTTCATCCACCTGTGTCATCTCCTCCAAAGCCATCCTGGAGATCGGCCTTGCAGGGCTCTACGACGAGCAAGGACCTCCAGTCGAGGATGCCGACGTTGCTTTCTGGAGTATCCCAGCCTCAGTCCTCAAGTCAATCCACATCGACGTAACCGTGGCGCAGAACAAGCTTGATGAGAAAATCCTTCAAGGTCTTGAGAAAGCCGGATTCAAGCTCGACCAAGGACCAGATCGTGCTGGTCTCTTCATGAAATACTTCCAGCGGGGTGGTGGATATTATATCGACGTCGGTGCCTCGCAACTCATCGCCGACGGCAAAATCAAGATCAAGCAGGGCCAAGAAATCGCCGAAGTACTACCCCACGGAATGAAATTCGCAGATGGCACTGAGCTCCCCGCTGATGAGATCGTTTTCGCTACCGGATATAAGAACATGCGGACTCAGACGAGAAAGATCTTTGGAGATGAGTTGGCGGAGCAGGTCAACGATGTTTGGGGGTTCGATGAAGAGGGTGAGGTGAGGGCCATGTGGAGAAAGACCGGTCACCCTGGTTTCTGGTTCTTCGGTGGGAATCTAGCACTCTGTAGATATTGGTCGAGGATGGTTGCGTTGCAGATTAAGGCGCTGGAGGAGGGGATTTGCAAGTACGATGATAAATGAGAGGTGCCGGGCCTGGACGAGTCAGTGATGAGTTTGCGTTGCTGGTTGCGTTGAGCTTATTTAGAATTAATCGATGAGCGGTAGTCTATTTCCTTTCCATACCCTTTGTCGATTGTGTTCAATCGACAGGCCAAGCGGGCATACGAAGTTCAGGGCACGTCACCAGCGAGCGCCGTTGGAAAACCCTAAGGCGTCCAACATTTCAATAGAACAGACCATCAACAGTTCAAAAGCAGGAAATGGGCTGGAAGATTGACTCTGAGGTAGGATATCATCCGAGGAAAGCGTGGGTGGTAATCACTTGTTGCTTTCACAAGACAAATTTCAAATAACGCAGGCGGTTGTCACTTGATGCTTCACATCAAGAAAAATTTCGAGCGGAAAACGATGAGGGTGGAATTTATTACATCGAGCTAACCAAGATCAAGTCGGCTGGTACCAAAAGCATAACAATAATCCTTCAAATATGTCTCAGCAAATCTAGAGCTTGTTGATCTCATCGTTGACCATGTTGTTCATCTCGGGGTCGAGACCAGCTGGAAGGCCTTCCTTGGAGGCGAATTGGTCGATCGCTGCATCAACGTTGTCAGTTTGTATTCTCTCGAAGGAGATTGGAGATCGTGGAGAGAATGGGACTGCATACCAGAATCGACCATGGTGTCCTCAGTCTTGTCGTTGCTGCCGTTGCTACCGGGAGTTAGATGCGGAGTGGTGGCAGGGAGAGGCGGGGAGAGCGCACGCATTGTTGGCGTTGTTATCTCCGTCATTTCCGCCTTGTCCAGTGGCGTCCTGCTCAAGCTCCTGGAATTCGTTTTCGAGACCCATGGTGACTGATTGGTAGATGGACGGAACGGAACGGAACGGAATGGTCTGCGGACACATCACAGTGTTAACCAACGTCCAGATAAAGTTCCGCCAAGATCTGGGCACATATGCAACTCACGATTTGAATGGATGTGTGTGGATGTGTCTGGATTGGAAGAGTGAGATGCAGAGCCAAGACTTAAGGGGGGCGGGCCAAGACTTCTTATACCCCCCTCGTTTGCTGTGGGGTCCCAATTGAGAGCCTATAAAGCTTGTTTCTCGATCTTTCAAGGGTAAGCTGAGGATTCTTGGCCAATTGCGTCAAGTTTCTGCAGCGTGATGTCCTTTGCTTCTTATCTGGGCGTGGGAGACTGGCCCGTCCCTGATTCGGATCACAGCGCCGGCGGAGCGAGGGCGAATTGGGAGCTCCCATTCCAGGGTCCACTAGGCCCAAGTGAACCCTTTCAGATAAGCGCCTCATAATCTGCTGCAAGGCCGGCTGAATGCTGCCAAGCGGATACCTACAGTCGGTCCGATCCAAAAGCGACAAAACGGTCGCTCTTTTACGCCCATAATAACTTTTCAACCACAACCCCAATTAATTAATACTAAGTAATGCGATTATAGAGTAGAACCAGGCGAAAAATACCTATTAATCAGATTTTTGATACGATTTGTGGTTTATTAATAATCGAGGTTTAAAGTGCACGGACCCTTTTTACTTTTTTGATTTTTCACCATACAAAACGCGAATATATTTGCTCGCTAAGGTCACGTGAGCCCGTACTTCAAGGGAAGATCGCAGCATCTCACCAGCCTTATTATTAATATAATATTAATATTTAAGCCCTATAAGCTTAGAAAAACCTTCCTAAATATTAAATATAGCTTTCTCTGGTACTATACATATTATATATATAGTAGGGCCATAATTATATGGGATTCAAGCTAATTTTGGCCAAACTAAATCCATAAGCCTTACTTGAGATAAGAAACTTACTAGTCTGTTCTACAAGTCTCTGATCTCGCTTGCAAATATAGGCTTCTCCAAAATAATCGTCTTATTACCACTAATAAAAAGCTTCTGCTGAACCCAAAAGAGCATTGAATCTTCAAGCTCTACTTCATTACTTTGTGAAATATCAGAATTATCAGAATTATCCTCTATATTAGAGGGTTTCCCATGCCATTCGTCGATAGTTACTTGGATTGCAGCTTCTTTAGCTATGGTGAGAACTGTGATTGAATCAAGAATTGAATTAGCTCGCTTGCGTTTCTGAAGGCTCATAGAGGTAGCTATTGGAAGTATTCAAAAAGGGCACTTGATTGGGTTTGTGGTTATTGAGGTATTAATATAATCGTGGAAAAGCAGTTAACTTAGGGGGGTAGTCACGTGACAACCAAAGTAAAAAAACGACCATACAAAACGCGAATATATTTGCTCGCTTAATCACGTGAATTATATCTCCCTTAATAATAAAGATATTATAATTTTGAGAACATAGAATTAATTCCTAGAGTATATAGTATAGTTTTAATTAATACGATTTATATCAATTAGTATTGTGGTGGTTTTTTTTTTTTTTTTTGTCGCTTTTGGATCGGACCGACTGTAGATGAGGGGTAGATATGGGTCTCGAAGGCGCTGTGCCCTGCTGAACTACTGGATCCTGTTCAATCGGGTTTGGCATGGCAAGCTTGCAGCAAAAATGCAGCGAGCGTCATTATCCGCTGGATTCCTGGCCAATCAACCCTTAATGTGCGTCGAATAGACAGATCTGGCTCGTTTGCAAAGAGTTAAACTGGATACGGGAGGTAAACAAGCTTGAGGGGGAATATGCGAAGCACCAACTGGACGGACGGAAGAGGAATGGAGGGGGGCATTTCCTTATCTTTGGCTTTTCTCGAGTGGGGTGTGGGCTGAGAGGGGGCAGTCGAGGAGCGCTTGCCAGGGTTTCTGCGGCATTTACAATGATCGGCCGAGCCAGAAGAGCAAGGAGGATGATGAAGGGAGGCTCCAGCACCAGCACCCTCGAGCCGACTCCTATACGTGGTGACTGTGGAAGTGCAGCTAGGTTGATGGATCAGAAGGGCTCGAGCGAGTTAGATATACAGAAGGAATTTAGTATGAGGTTTTTCATCAAGCTCTGCGAGGAACATAAAGCATTGTGCGTTTTACGAACCTAGCCTGGGATCCAGACATTCTTATCATGATACAGATTTTCCCTACCCGCAAGAAGACGTGGGAACTGTATCTCTTCTGACACGGCAACTTCTCGATTCTCGAGCCCTGGCACAACTATATAACCCTTGTGAGAGAGCTCTATTTCAGGTGGATTATTGGTGTGTACCAGGGTAGGCGATCCAGATCGTGAGTACGGGATATCGGGGCTGGTGTTTTTTATTATGCAAATGGGAGAAACTGATCTCCCACATGCTAAATATCATGGGTTTTTTTTTTGGGGGGGGGGGAGGGGTGGTGGTTGAACTGACTTGTTAACTTCCAGAGAATGGTTGAGAAAGGCGACGGTGGATAAAAGTTATTGAACAAAATTAGCAGAGGCAGTCAAGTGGCCTCTGGTACTCACGAGATCAAATATGGTCAGATAGCGTAAGTCATTGTAAGAGAAATCGACTTGAATATCTCGCAACTTACTCAAAAAGAGCACACAAAATTGGAACTACATCCTGAATGCATTTTTGGCATACACCGCCTTGTAATTAAGTCTGCGATACTGCGATATGAGACGAATCCGCGCATCATAGCACGTCACGCAGAATTGTTACTGGATTCATTCATGTCCGATAGGGCCTCGAAGCAAAGTATGTTTACAGCAATTGTCGCTAGCCACGTTGCCACAACTCACATCATTCGATATTTCAAGTATTCAGCCGGCAAACAGAATAGCCAACCCAAGGCTGTAATTGGAAATTGGAAACATTCAAGACATTCGCGCGAGTGGAGAATCCGGTATAAACAAGTCCCCAGCTGCCTTCGTAGAGAAGCATTGAGTGTCCCTTGCATTGGTTGACAACAATGGCGATACATTGCCTTGCTTCACGGTGATTGTCCTTACAGATGAACGGCTTCCTTCATAATAGAATGTGGTTAAACCAGACTCTCCACCCTCCCTCTATGCTTGCGTTTGTCCACGCGATCGACAAAATAGTTTCACATGTTTGCAATTGTTGGCAGAACGTTCTGGATGGACTGGATGCAAAGCTTGGTTTCAACGTCTAAGAGCTACTTCCGAGTACGGCAACTCTATCGCATATTTTACACTACTATCGAGGAAATGATCCAAGATATAGTAGAGAACTAGGTACAAGTTCTCTCTTAAATGAATTATTGTTTCCATCAGCGAGCAGGTTTCGAAAGCGTCTTCAAAGCTTTGTCAACTGAGTGGGACAAACGTGATCAAATTGCCAAACTTTCTTCATCTGGTTCGAAAGAAAGATGAAGAAATGGTGAGTCTAGGCAATGGGTCAGTAGCCCTCCTGGTTCATATTTGTTCTTCAGCCAACATCCAGACAACTTTTCAATGCATCAACCGTGAGAGGAGCGCCTAAGAGCACTGAAATGGCTAGTATAAGCATCCGGCAAAATCAATGCATCTTCGTTTTCGCAGTAACAACCATAATTTATTTCCTGCTCGGCTTTGTCACAGTGATTACACCTTAATTTAAAGAACTGAACCTGCTAACTCGAGGTATGGAGTCCATCTTCGGCATGCACCTCTTCGATACCACAGACCCTGGGGTATCAGCATCCCAAAAGAAATTCTAGATCACTGTTTTTGTGCTTTCAGTAGCAACTTACGCCACAACATTTGTTGCATACTGGCTTGTCAGGAATCGCAAGGACGAACCAACTAAAGAAAACGTCCAATATAGAAAAGTAGAGAAAAGACGAGCACGGTGAAGAGCTGCCCGTAGAAGGAGCAGAGATAAAAGCCGTTTATGGAAAGTCGATCCTAAGCAAGGGTACGATTCTTGGCTTTTTTAAATGGCGGGTAAAAGGAAGAGGTCTCTAAGGCATAGGTGGCGGCCACTCCCGACGCATCAATATATTTCAGAGTCAAGAGGAAGTATCTGCAAGTGCAGTGTAGCCGTTGGCAAGTCCAAGCCAGACGCTAAGATCCACTAAATGCCCCAACTTGCCCCCACTTTCCAAAACTCATTAAAACTTCATGGGCACCTCCTTCATTCGTTATTTATTTTTTACCATTCTATACTGCTCATAAAAGTTTTGGCCATCTCACCCGAAGTGAGGCCACAACCTCACAATCATTTCGGTCCAGCCCAGCTATCACTATATTCAACCCACTCTTCAGACCATAGCATCGACTCTCAAAAATGATGACTGCGATCCAGTCCCCAACCCCGGCTCTCAAAACCAACCCCAAATTCATCTTCTTCACTGACTTCGATGGCACCGTTACGCAGCAAGACAGCAACGATTTCATGATCGAGAACTTTGGCACTGGCCCGGCTCGACGGAAGGAGATGTTCCAGGATGTTCTCTTCGTTCGCCGAACCTTCCGCGACGCCTTCAAAGAGATGTTGGACGGCATTACTCTCCCCTTAAACGAGTGTATTGAGGCGCTCCTACAGAATATCGCCTTGGACGAGGGGTTCAAGGAGTTCTATACTTGGGCACGGACGAATCATATCCCTGTGGTGGTCCTCAGCGGCGGAATGGAGCCCATCATTCGCGCCCTGCTCGCTCATCTCATTGGTGAGGATGAAGTGAAGACGTTGCCCATTATGAGTAACGATGTTGCACCGCGTCCCGGAAAGAGTCTCGAGGATGAAGGGGGTTGGGAGATAGCGTATCGTGATGATAGGTAAGTTGCCCTGAAGTCTACTTTAGAATTAGGTCTTGACAATAGTGAGCCAGCTCCTTTGGACATGATAAGGCTCTCGCAATCCGGCCATACGCCACCCTTCCTGACGACAAGAGACCCATCTTGTTCTACGCCGGTGATGGTGTATCGGACCTTTCGGCGGCTAAGGAGACGGATTTGCTCTTTGCAAAGTCAGGCCATGGTAGGTGGCAACAAATCCCCTTGTGTGCGCAAATGCTAACCAATGTCAGATCTCGTCACTTACTGCAAAAATGAAAAGGTTCCATTCAAGACATTTGAGAACTTCTCGGAGATTCTAGGCATACTGAAGGACATTGTTGCAGGCAAGACGAGTGTAAAAGATGTTGCTGCTGGCGGAGCATGAGTCAGAATTCATAGAGTCCGCTCTTTCTCACAGATTTTCGTTGATGAAGAGTACCAATAGACTTTTAGAAAAGCTTCAGTTTTAGTAAGGTTAAGTTGAATGATTGGATCAAGAGCCTGATTGCCGAGGCCCTCCACTGAACCCCTGCATGCGGGATTTTGCACTTTCAACCCCCCCTTGAAACATCCTTGCAGAAGTGCAACCAGAAGCGCGAGCCACTTAGAGAGTGGTTCGCTTGTTCATCGTGTCACTCAGCTTGAACCCTGAACTTCTGTTAGTTTGGTGATTGGTGGCGTTTCATCCCCTGAATAAATTCCACCCTCAGTGGCCACCAGACCATCTTCACTCGTTGATAAACTCGATCACCTCTGAGGAATTTCCCTTCCATTCTTCGCCACTTTCTCTTCTTTTGACGCGTTCTTTAATTCACGGTGCATCTGATCATGAACCTCCAGAACATTGTGGAACCTGTGACGACAAAAGCATCGCGACACTCGCAAGGCTCCAGGTTGTCACGTAGCGGCACTTGGAACTCTTGCAAAGATGAAATCTACAGAGTATATATGACGGAGAGGAACACGTTACCAATGACCATGGAATTGTTTCAGACACAATATGGCCTCAAAGCATGGTGCGTACTATTTCCTTCCAAGAAGCTTGAGTTTTTTCATGTCTCCAGGTGTGTCCGAAACATGCTGATCTTAATTCTAGTGCACGGACATGGAAGTCGAAGCTCAAGGAATGGAAGTTCGACAAGTATTTGGTTGATAGAGAGAAGGATGTCTCAATCGCGAAGGTAGCTAAAAGGAGAAGGGAGGGTAAGACGACGGCTCTCCTTCGTGAGGACCGACAGATCAGTCCCGGAAGGCTTGCCGATTTTAAGCGGAGGAAAAGGGAGAGTAGTGTTGTGGTAGTATCTCCAAGTACTGGTGAGTTGTTTCCATTGGGAAGGACGCGGGTTCCTTGGTTGACACTCGAGTGTAGAAACCGCAGAAGACTTGGCATGCCATTCCCCATTGAACGGAGAGGAAGCCACTACGCACGGAGTCATAAATCAGAGGCCGTCTAGTCAGCATCAAGATTCCGATTCAACATTGGTTGGCATATCACGTGCAGCTTCTCTCAACTGGTTCAAGACAGTGGCGAACGATAGTAGCCTGTTCTTATCGGCTCGCGCCGCTGGTCTGGTGCGGATTTTAGTCAAAGATCTTGAGGACGAGCTCGAAAGAACAGAGCAGAATGGGGAACCCATCAATGCCTCTCTTTGGTGGAATTTCGGTACGTCAGGAATCAATGTTTGGTGTGATTATTGCCTGAAGATAATTGGTGATCAAGTATTGTATGGTGAGCAGTTCTGTCGGTATCTTTCTTTTCAGAAAAGTCGTTACTTATGGACTGATAGATTGCCATACATGCCCAGACCTTACCGGAGGTAACTGGGTAATATCGTACTGTTTTGAGTGTAACTACAGCAAGAAAACTCTTTGTCAGGCCGAAAACCACCAATTAGTGCGCGATGACTGTTTTAAATCCTCCAGATGTCTCGATGCAGCATATCCGGACCTGGAAAGATGGTGCGATGCGGTAGATTGCGGAAAGAAGATCTCGGGGCTTTACTTTCGTGAGTGGACCACGGACACGTGTCAAGTAACAAATTGCTTACTTTCACTTTAGACTGTTGTATATGCGACAGTGACAATTTTGATCTCTGCTTACAATGCGTTATGGGAGGCCGCGTATGTCAGGATATGGGTCACGTTCTTTCACCTGGTGTGAGACCAATAGAGAGAGAGATAGGCTGTGAAGAAGCTTGCACTCAGATATAGTCATGAGACCATTTACTTCTAGCTTGAGGATTTTTCTGAGAGCTGCTTCAAGTCACCGAAGTTGAATTTATGTCTCTACTTTATAATTTTTACCAACTGTACGAAACCATCTCCAAGTAGACCGTCTAAGTCTCAAGCTCTAATTGGTGCTTGGCTTTCGGAATAAAAACCTTTTTTGCCCTCTTAAATCGCAAGCTAAGCCCCAATCTAAATTCCAGTCACCAATTCTTAGTGCTAAGGATATATCATCGTTCCACCTTGGCCTGAGAGCAATATGAACATGATCCCCATTGTGTCCCTTGCTTTAAACAATAGGTTCTGGTTTCCACGTCTCCAACGCCACTATTGATGACCAGTTTCTTGTGACCTTCAATACGTGAAGAGCCACGTCACAAATACCAGTAAAACTGGTATTGTTCCAATCATTCCGAAGATCGTGCCAATAATCTCTACTGCGAAAAAATTGTTGTGACTTGCGGCTGGCGCAGCCGTAGATGTAGGGTTGGATACAGTGCTGAGGGTGCTACTACGCCTGAGGTCGTCGTCCATGAATAGAGCTTCCTGGGCAGAGTGTAAGGTGAGGGAGGTTAGCAACTAGATAAGAGCCAAAAACCTCCTAACCAAATACAGAGCACAAGAGGTAGAAGTTGACTGATACTGCGGGTGATTTCGTGCCTCCACCTTGGTTTGGAACTTAACGCCTCTGAGCCCATATTCCTCGCGTAGTTTTCGACAAAATGCATTCAACGAAGAGCGTACACTGTGTAATTATCCGCCTGACCTTCGTAATACTTCCACCCCACCTCAGATTCGACATAAGATTCGCCAACCAATATACATTTCTTGATCGGCAAATTTTCCATGTCACAAGCCAGCCTGGCGCCTCTTCTAGGATCATCTTGAACACCCTTTTTCGCTTCGAAAGCGGTCTTAATTTCACGCTTGAGATCTTCAGTTGGATCTTCGGGATCTGGTCGCAGGACGACCGAGACATAGGATCCAGCTAGAAAAACGACCATATCTCCAACTCTGGCCTTCTTTGGCACAATTCCAACGTTACCTGACTTGGTGATTGCAAGTCTTCTTCCCGTCAAGACTGCTGGATAATCCCCAATTCTCAAATATAGCCACATGAGAGATTCCATACCATCACTGTCACTTCCTACCATGATATGACCTTCTTTCGCACGACCCTCGAGCCAATTTCTGAGCTGAGGGAGAAATCGCTTGTGTGTCTCTACTTCATCCACCTCCGCGTCTTTCTGGGAGCGGAGGAAATCACTGCCCATGACTTGCAGCCACTCATCTGCAAGACTCAGACACAGTTCCTCATGCCGTGCTTCCTTTCCACGCAGACTGACGTGGCGATGCTGCCCAGTCTCGTCGCCTGACCACCATGCACCTGCTCCGTAGAGAGTTTCCAGTTCGTCCGCAGCTTTCTGATACCTTTCTCTGGCAGCGATATTCATTTCGGACGGGTTTGGTAATACAAAACTCAAGTCACTCACAACGTCGACTTGATAGCCTACATATGCAAGAACGAGGGGGCGGCTGACGAAGGCGTAATGGTATTTTGGGTTAAGCTGAAGACGTCTGGTGAGGTTTTCGCAGTACATAGATACGAGACCTGAAGATGAGAGACTCCAATCTGGAGCCCACGATGCAAGGCCTTCAATCTTGCTTAGTTGGTCCCTGCTTGCATCGGGGAAAAACTTCACAGGTCCTTCAGGTCCAACTTCCTCAAGAAGAAACCGAGCAGCATCTTCAAAGACTTCAGCGCAGCTTTTCGTATAGTCAACTTTAACATAACGAACCAGGGTGTCTGTATCCGCGGCCAAAAACATGTGAGCAAATATGAAGTCGCGCGGGTCGGTTGCTCCCAGCCCTCTCCTTGCCGTCAAGTGCACAATCATTTTCTGATTCAAACCTCGAGCATAATTCATGTCTGCAAGCACTTGAAGCTCTCTAGGTCGACCTTTTTGGTAGCTTCCTGAACCGGGAACGACTAAGAGGTTGCATAGGTCCGTCCATCTGGCTCGAAGGTTCCCACATTGAACCCACGGATCTCGGGATAAAACCAGTTCCTGAAAGATCCAAACTCGACTGAACCAGGGCAACCTGAGAAGGCCATTTGCAGCGAGGTTTTCAAGATCACCAGTAGTTGTGGGTCTGCTCACAACGCCAGTTGTGTTGGATGGAGCAGCTTGCAGGATTATCTCGTAGCAATCTGTTAAGGAACCAAGATGAATGACAGTATGGTGCGCAGTGGAGTATATCTGATCCATGAGTCCAACTTGGCTACTTCGCTCTGCCAGATTAGATTGTTCGATGCAAAGAGCATCAGCCCAGATGCGCAAGACTCGGGACGGATCCCGGAGATCCCGAAGAGCAGCTTCCAAGGTCGCTGTTATGGTGAAGCGATGCCCATCAACGTAGATTGAGCCAGTTTGAGTCGGATCTCCCCAGACGTACGATAACGCCGTGTAGTGATCAATGATATCGCGGTCGCAATGAGAGAGTCTAGTGTGAAATAGAGTGCATCGTAGGTCAGCGGTGTGTGACGAGGAAGGCTCAAGTAGAATGAGTCTAAAAGAGTCCGGTTCGATAAGGCTTCTGTACTTGAAGGGCTCTGATTCCACTGCGAAAGCCATTATAAGTGAGATAGATAATGATGGTTGCAGATTTTGTCGGCGGTGATGAAAAGAAATATTTTCAGCTGAATGATCAGCGCTGTCATGCCCCGCACCTCGCGTGTTTTAGCAGCGTGCCCCCTAACTAGCGAACTACCCCCTATGTTAACTCGAACCAAGAATAATTCAGCAACTATTAGCCCCCAGGACAAGGTACATCGGCTTTTTCTAGAGGATACAATCGGAGAGGGAGAATAATTACAATTATGGTGACACTCGTTCTCATTGTGACTCTGATCTACCCAATTCCGTCAATCAGCAGGAGATGCGAACCACTTTCATCTGCAATTCCCTTTACAAATCAGCCTCAGCGCTTAGCATTATTTTTCATGCAGAGCCTATTCACGAATCTTTGATGGATGCCCAAAAGGTTAGCTGAGTGGGATCAGGTGACTTTGTACGAAGTCGTGAAAATAGAGTCCAAAGATTTACACGAAGGATGAGGCTGTGCAACGCCCGAAAAATATCAGCCTCCACGTTGGATGGCGACATGCAGTGCACCCACAACTCAAACAGAGCAGCCTCAGCACGGCAGAAGCAACAAGGCTTACCACAGGCCTTTCTCAGTCATAACTTTAAAATTAGCCCCGAACCAAGCCGCTCAAGCAACGTGGCTCCTTCAACACTTGACCGATTCTACGCACGCGGAAGGCCCAGTCTTGTGCACCCACATTTTTCAAAGCCACACGGAAAGGATTTTCAATTGTGCAAAAAAACCTTCAGACCACCTTATAATTTGCTGATTTGGCCCGGCGGCTGCAGCATAAACCTTCAGCGACATTCTGGCTGCGGTTGTGAGGTTGCCTTCCCCAGCACTCCACCTTCTAATCTTGCTAATGACCATTCAAGCAAGGCACGATCGTGAGTTCGAGGCACTGCGGGATGAACAAGCCGAGGTTTTTACAAAGGCACTTCTTACTTCATAGTCATGCGGGTGCAACTTACCTGAAATCACATTCAAGTATAAGGAAGTAAGTCTCTTTGCTGACTTCCATTTTGGGCCAAAGCACTCAAGTGTCTCAAAAGCATTATACATAGTCATCATCAATACAAGGGTTCTTTTTAAAAATTATCCGTATATTGACCTTCTGTCTGCAATGTACTCCCACAGATTTCCCCTTGTAGCCCTCTCTTTTTTTTTTGCAAATGTACCCGCAGTTCTCGCCTCTCATGGTGGTGAAGCTCTTGTACCCATTTAGGATGACAACTGGGATCCAACCAGTCAGCTCAGATTCAAGAAGAGGAGTTTAGATCCTGCAAGAATAACCCTTCAGGAAATCGAGCATTTTTATGGGCACCAAATGAAGGCATGCCAGTCACCGATCCCCAGGAAATTGAAAAAAATGCTGACTTTATTCTTGAACTTAGGAAGCAGCCAAAACGACTTTTCCAACTTGACCTTAGGCACTGGGGAGGAGGAGCTTGTTTTGTCAACAGAAAGATTTTCCGGCAAGCTGAAAAGCATGGACTGCAATGCCAATAGCAGCATCGCCATGTCCTTCATCTCAAACTCCACTTACAAAAGCGCGATGGCTTTTTGGAATTGGGTTCACTTCAGCGAAGAGCGAAGCTTCATCCTGATCACAAACTTTGATGGCTGCAGTATGGACAAGGTTCGACAGCCATGGATTGTTAGCAATGTCGACTACGACCCCGCACAGCTTATGGTACACCTGAACGCTACGCAAAATTTTTGGCCTGAGATTGCGCAGACATTCAGTCTAGACTTCGGAAAATACATGCCCTCACCTCAGCCGGGCCAAAAACGTTCAATCATCGATGTCACCCAGAGTTTCTCCATTAACCTCAACCATCCACTACCACAAGCCTTCTACCAGACACAGCAATGTCCGACTACCTTCCCGATAGCTTCCTCGCTTCGAAATTGATTGCAACATTTGCAGAAGTAAAGGCACCCTCGAACTCCAAGGCCACATCGAGTCCGACATTTTCAGCGGGATTTTAGACTTCACACTCACCTACATTCTACGCTCCATCTCAGCCGTCCTCGACCTGAAAGTGATCGCCACCGGCACCGCGCCAACTTCAAAATGCGGTCACTAATGGGACCTCTTCACCATTGGCATTCCCGCTCTTTCTATCCCCGATGTTTTGAAGCTCGGACTAAACCTAGATGTCAGCGTAGGTTTTGATGTGACAAAGCTTTCGGGGAGTATGAGCCTTGAAACCGGGGTGACGGGTGCAATCTCTAACTCGGCGAGAGCGGAGGTTGATTTGGTGAAGAAGACGAAGTTGGATATAAAAGGGTGAACACCGCCGTCACAGAAGTCACATGTCTCAAATAACAGGTAATTATTATATTAATTTTTACTAGTATAACAATTAACATGAGGAGAGTTTTAAATAATAAAAAAAGGGAAAAAAGGAAGGAAAAGTAATGAAGAGAGATATGTAACAAAATGAACTACGTGATAAGGTACTTAAACTACTTGAGTATTCTACTCTACTTAACTCAAGCTTAGTCAGGGAAGTTCTGCTTATACTCTACTCACTACTCAATGAGTATGTACTTGAGTAACTTAAGTAGTTTGAGTATTTCTTTGACACACTGGACTGGGAGCTATAGTAAGCAATTTAAACTCTTCTGTTACACTCTTTCTAGCCAAAGCTAACATCTTCAAGACAAACAAGGTGTTTGTCCAGAGAGCAAGCATCCGTTTGGAGTCAATATTGATGCAGAGGCTGGAACTCAGCTTACATACCAAGCGTATGGTGAAGTTAATGGGGCGAAGTCTTACTTCTGCATGACCGGCTATTCACGGACTTGAATGCTTTTGTTTTCGCACCACATTGTTGGTCATTTGGAATTGGGCCCAAATAGATTGGCTTATTTCCATCCCAAACTTTTGGTTTATGGATGGTAGATTTTACACTTCGTAAATATTTTCAATTGCGGTGAGGGGCTTGAGCGAACCACCCTTGTAGTATGCAGCGGTTTCACCTTTCGCTTTGGCTTGCTGACGTACAGTGCGGTCAGTGGCTGTTCTAGAACTACAAGCTAAAGAAAAAGACAAAGACTGCCTGGCTCTTTCCTTTACTCAAAATAAGGGTCTCTTCTTTGCGGTCCATGTTTGACGAGCTTGGCAGCAATTGGCCGGTAATCTGGTAACAAACTCTCAAAGGCAGCCCGATAATAACAACTTTCATACAGACGGTAGCTTTCCATCTTATCGTCGCAGAAATTTCCATTTTCGTTAATGTACTCTCATCGCAAAGTTTATGGCAATTGTCTAGCTGTTCGAATAAAAAATTTCACGTCCAGGGCAACGCCACTTGAAGTCATCGACACAGTGGATGGCAACCGTGTGATCAGGATTGGCACGCAATTTCATACTTGACGAATCGCTTCTCCTCAAGGAAGAAGGGCTCCTTGGCCCCATGTAATCGTGTTTACTTGGGTCGTTGATGAACTTGCTCTCGCAGCAGTCGAGAATGGCGCTTTATAGTTGTAAGCGAATCGGCTGCCGACTGCCCGGGTAGAAAAAGGGAACAGGTCGCGTGATATTCCTCATCGGAGTTCGGAAATAAGAGCTACTGGGGCCATACTCTCTTGAGCCCAATTACCTTTTCGTTTTGATAGAGACATCTACGTTGAGTCTCCAAAACAAAAGCCCAAGGAAAGGGCCAAGTTGCCTCAGGTTTGTATCACGTGATATCAATTGCAACAAGCCCAGGCGGAGGGCTGGGGAAATCAGTACGAAAGCCCATTCTTACTCCAAACACCCATAGACAGCAATCTCAATTCCCACTGGAAGCTTCTAAACAACGAACGGCATCCTTGAGAATGCGGAAAACCTAAAGTCGCGTGACGAAGAAAAAGTGAAGCTCCCAATGCGATGTCTTGCATCCCCGTTGCGAACTTACTCTTCACTTCCTTGAGCATAAGTTTCCAAAGTCGATCACCTACCAACGAAGTCGATCTCACGACCCAATCCATTTTAAACAAGCCACACTTAACAGGCCTGGCTGGGGCCGCGTCACTCGCCACATATGGCTGAAACTGGAGAAAATTTCGACCAGCCTCGCCCGTTGACAGGCTGAGAAGGACCCCTGTCCAGCTGCACTCGGTGAGCCCGCGGTCAAATCAGGCATGGCCAGCAGATCACGATGCTCCACTTATCTGCTTCATGGGATCCAGAAATGGCTGTGAGGCTATTTTATCACTGCACCGGATTGCTTCCACGACAAGATTCTCTTTGGAATTCTGGGTACCTTTGCAGTAGTTGGGTATTGGCGGTAAACTTGGTGCCAGTTAAACACAGCCAGATTGCCTTGCTTGGGCCAGAGGGGCTGCCGATCCGCCGGAACAGCGCCAATCGCGACAAGGAGTTGGCGCTTTCGCCTCGTCCTTCCCGGTAAACGGAGCAGGAGTCACCTGCTCCTCCTCTTCATATCCCCTCCTCTCCTCTTTGCTTTCAGTACAGAGGGACTGAAGGAGATTGCCGACAGAGATTTGCCTTTGGCTTGCTTTCACTTTTGTTCTGTTTGCTGCAGCGACCCACGAAATCCCTCACGACTCACCGCATTTTCAGCGAACGAATTCCACGACCAAAACAATACACCCATTGAAGCTGGCCTTCGACTGCCAATACCCTTATAAATACCGCTAAAATGCCTCTCATGGAGACGGTCACTATAATCAACAAGTCCGGGAAAGTTGTTTCTACCGTATGTTCTCCGCGCTTCCCCACCTTGAAGCTCGACTAACTCTTTCAGGGTAAACACCTCGTCAACATCTTCAAAGAAGCCAAAGAGGCATACGAGGAGAAGAAAGCAGAGATAAAGTCCCAGCACTACGCACGATTGAAGCACAAGAATACGCAGAAGCTCATCCAAGTCCGCGAAGAGACACGGTCCAATGCTTCCTCTCGACATTCTCACCGCTCTCGCTCGCACTCCCACCGCCCAAGAGACAACGGCGAAGGGCCCTCTCGACCACCTCTCACCACACAAAACCTGACCCAAATATCTGAAGGCAGCGTAACCTCCTCCCGGCGGAGTCGCAGCTTGCACCATGGCTCTCGCAGAGCCCGATCACCACATTCCCCACGCTCCGTGCAGGGCTACAAAGCACCATACTTCGAGAACGCAGATATCACTCATCACCCCGGCATAATAAGACGACACACCGATATCCCCCCAGGCCCAACAGTCAGCGCCCTCTCCCGCGGGACCCTTCCTCCCCCATACGAATCCCAACTCGCCGCCCGACCCATTCACCGCGCTCACTCCAACCCCGATTTGCGGCACGAAAACATCGACATGAACCTCGCATACGGAGCCCTCCCCCACGATCTCCAAATGGGCGCCGTGACGGAAGAACAACAAGAGGCAGAGCTGAAAGCCACAATGACGAAGCTGGATCATCTGTTGTTGGAGGCGCACTGCTTACAGCATTCCGCAACGGCGATAATTGCGAATCTGCAAGCCAACCCCGAAGCGATGGCTGCTGTAGCTTTGACGCTTGCTGAGCTGTCTACCCTGTTGAGCAAAATGTCGCCGGGTATACTCGGTGCTCTCAAAGCCTCCAGCCCAGCGGTCTTCGCGCTTCTCGCTTCACCCCAATTCTTGATTGCTGGCGGTGTCGCGATTGGTGTTACAGTTGTGATGTTTGGGGGGTTCAAGATTATTAAGAAGATTCAGGCAAGCAACGAGGCGCGAAAGGAGGCGAATAGGGTCGATGAGGCGATGGTGTTTGATGGGCTTGAGATGGGGAGTATTGAGAGTTGGAGGAGAGGCATTGCGGAGGTGGAGGCGCAGAGTGTCTCGACGAGTGTGGATGGAGAGTTCATTACCCCTGAGGCGGCGAGACAGAGGAAGGAAAGAATTAGGGAGAGGAAGAAGGAGGAGAGGGATCATCATGCCAGGGCGGAAAGTGTGACGAGTGAGAGTACCATGAAAACTGCGAGGAAAACTGGGAGCGGGTCGACGGTTTGGAGAAAGAATTTCCCGAAGAGTTCATCGAGTAGAGTTGCTCCTTCTGAGAGTGGAAGGAGTGAGAGGAGTCGAAGAGAAGGGGAAGGCAAAGAGGTTATGGTTGTCAAGGAGAAGGAGAAAAAGAAGAAGAGCGCCTTGTCAGTGATCTTCAAAAAGAAAGATAAGGGGAAGGACAAAGATGGAAGCGAGAGCGGAAGTCATCGACCTAAGCTGGTTGAGCTGCGATGAAAAGAGTCTTGAATGAGAAAAGGGACGGAAAACACATCCACTCCTACGATTTATGAACGTACCTTTATTTCTTTCCTTTCTGCATAATATACTGGGCAGCAATGCACAACCATCTCATATTTTGCTCGCAATATATATCCTCAAGAATATATCAAATAATTTCCAGATCACATGAGAGAAAAAACATCGCCCCAGGAGAAACACTTTTGTCTCTCGCCCAGAGAAAGTCTCGGAGATTGAACCCTCCTTCCTCACTGTGATAAAACTCTCTTGCAACCATGTGCCAACGTGCCTGCCAACGTTATGTCTCACGCGCATCCCACTCCCCAAGCCCGCCGAGCCATGCCCAAGAATCCCTTCTCACCAATCACCCTTCCTTACTCACCAATCATTCATTCTGTGGATCCTCTCTACCCAATCCTCTCCCAGAGATCCAGAGCAGAAGAAATTTGTTGCACATCTGCTGAAATCTTGGTAAGTTCTTGGTCACCGCGTGTGTAAGCTCTCCGTAATTGCTCGACAAGGCGGGTACGGCGTTTGAGATCCACGGCAACGTGGCTTGTCAACCAGTCGTTCCCTTCCCCACCTCTTTGTCTCTGACTCTTACCCAAATAAGAGAACTTTGAGTTTGTTGCATGTTGAGATTTTTACTCTTTTGGACACGGCTTGGTTTGCTTGTTTTCAATTTCATTTCCATTTTTCGAGGGGAGTGTTTAGGTCACGTGCAGAGGAAGAGGTGATGTTCACGTGAAAGAGAAAAAGGATCGTCATCCCGCCACGCGCAACGGATCTCCACTCTTCGGCCTTTGAGCGGGGGTCAACGAAGTCGAAAATGGGGTGCGAGTCCGGGAGAGAACAGGTTTCGTATGGGTTGCCAAGGTCTTCCTGTTCACGACAAGAGGACGTTGGCCGTGATGCAGATGCGGATTCTGCTTATCGGACGAAGTGGACCTCTTTTTCATCAGATATCGGCTTGTACTCGGCGTATTGAGATTGTTGTGATAAGAGAAAAGAGGAGTGGGATTGATAGAAGAGCAGTCCTCCTGTGAGCTGAGGGTTGAAGCCATCGCCCTCCCATCCCCTCAACCTCTGCTCTGGCATCTTCAGCCGCCACCATGACCTTCAAACGTATCCGGGAGTACGTCTCCCACCCCTACGAACACCCTGGGGAAGGCAAATTGGTGCGAAAGATTGGTACATCTTGACATTCTCATTTTGTGATGATGGAGAGCTAACTGAAGGCAGATTTCTTCATCTTGACATTCTGCTGTTTGATGTATTTCACGAATTACCTGGATCGTTCGAACTTGGCAAATGCGTATGTGAGTGGGATGAAAGAGGAGTTGGGGTTCAAGGGGAATCAGTATAATCAGATTAATACTGTGTTTACTGTTGGGTATGTGTCGACGTCTCTTTTTGATTCGCACCTCTCGGATTTGATACATGTTTTCATTCACAACACAGAGCACCATGTTGACATTCAAAAGCTATGTGGTCGGCCAAGTGCCATCAAACCTCGCCCTCTACCACCTCAAACCCCGCATTTTCTTCCCAAGCATGATGATCATCTGGGGCGCGCTCACCATGCTCACTGCCGCCGTCCACAACCCGCGAGACATAATGGCAATCCGCTTCTTCCAAGGCATCGCCGAATCGTCCACTTTCGTCGGAACTCATTATATCCTCGGTTCTTGGTATACCGCTCGTGAGCTGGGCAAACGCAGTGGCATCTTCACCTCGTCCGGTCTGGCAGGGACAATGTTCGGAGGATTTCTACAGACCGCTATCAACAGCTCTCTGAACGGAGCAAGAGGTATGAGTGGATGGAGATGGCTCTTCATCATTGACGGACTCATCACCATCCCGATTGCAATTTACGGCCTGGTGCTCTTCCCCGACACACCATCCACAACCTCAGCCTTTTATCTCTCCTCCTCCGAACGAGCCCTCGCCATCTCCCGCGTCCCAGAAGTGCCCGAACGCCGACCATGGAACCTAGATTTCGTGAAAAGGGTCTTCAGTAGCTGGTATTGGTACGGTTTCGTCATGCTCTGGATCATCGCCGGCGAGACGGAATCATTCTCCTCCAATTCTCTGCTGGCACTGTACATGAAGTCTACAAAGCGGTACTCTGTTGCTCAGCTGAACAACTATCCGACCGGTGTCCTAGCTGTGGGAATCGTATCGACTCTCTTCTGGGCCACGTTGACTGACTTTCTGGGTGGGAAGAGATATCTGGTCGGATATTGGATCGGTATCACGGGCGTCGTGACAGCAGCTATGATACTTAATCCGCACGCTAGCACTGGCAGTATCTTTGGAGCTTATTACTGGGCTGGCACAGTCTATGCATGCCAGGCCACGTTCTTTGCATGGGCGAACGATGCCATGAGGTGGGAAGAAGACAGTCTCAGGGCGGTGGTTATTGCGAGCATGTAGGTGTTGGGGGGGGGGGAAACCCTTTCCTATTACGGCTGTTTCATGAGATTTTCTTAAGTTAATGTCCTCCCGAAACAATCTCAATTGAGCAATTGCTGACTCTCCCCCGTTACATAGGAATTGTGGGAGTAATGCTGTTAATGCGTGGTGGAGTATCTTGTTTTATTCAGCCAACCTTGCACCTAGATTTACGGTATGTGCCACTTCATTCCTCCTGTCGACCGTCAAGAAGCTGCACACGAAGGGGGAATATCTGGGTATCACGTGATGACATTGCTGACTTTCTGTACAGAAAGGTATGTGGGCTATGATTGGAACAAGTATTGCATTGGTGATTTGGACAAGTGGATTGTTGTATATGGCCACCAATGCCGAGAAGAAAAGAGTCACTAAAGCGCAGGTTGGGGATGGCAAAGAGGAGAACTTCAAGGCTGATGCGACCGGGGATATCAATGTATGAGTGTTGGCACGCCCTCAAGTCGGAGTTTGGAACGGAAAGACAGCCGGCAAAGGGTGCCATATGGTAATCAGTAGGACAATTAATCCGGAATCTCGAATACAACGACTCGGCATTCAACAACAATGATACTCCTCACGTGACAATTCCCACCCTTCCAATCTAGTTAGGTATCAAGCCCAAATGGGATCACCAACAGACTATTTCAAGTATCCTCAAATCAGCGTTTCCTTTATCAAAATATCGTCCCTTCTTAAAAATTTCCGAGGCATTTTCACATCGTTCCTGTCTGTGATTGGATTTCCATCATCTCGCAATCTTTCGCGTCTCTGTTCGCAACAAGTCGCATAGTTCGAAAGCTTCTCGTAAAAGAGACAAAAAGCGAACTGCCAGACGTCATCCAGTTCTCAAAGTACAGAGGTATTTTTCGCAATCTTGATCTGTTCTCTTCTTTCACTGTCCTTTGGAGTTCCATCCTCCCAATCGTTCAGTCCCAGACCTCGGCCACACTCTAAAAAAGAACAATCCTCCGAAGATCAGACCCTACCCTCTTGGTAAACTTTGACACTCTGCAATGCAGTCATTGCCTTCGGGATGTAACCGGTACGAAACCAGGGTCTCCATGCCACAGATCTGGCTTCTGGGCTAAGCAACGTTTCAGGGGACTCCAAACGATCGTCTGGGTTGTCAAGGTCGAAACATCGTTCCAATCGGTCGGGGATTTGGTGCAGGAAACCGAATACGATGCCAATCGTATCTTTGTGTGGGAGGATGTGCCGATGGACAAGGCAGAGGGGATCGACGGTAGGATGGAGGCGCTAATCGCATGAAGGGTGTAGGATGGAGAGCCAAGGTGTGTTGTCTTTTGGAATCCGAAGATCTGGATGGTTTGCATTGAGTTAATTCTTGGGAGGGCAAGGCATGCAGCTAAATGGTAGTTGAGGCTGTGCCCAGCGCTTCCATATATAAGAATATGACGCGCTCTCGAGTGCGGGTCTCTCTAGCATCAAACTTTCCTTTCTGGAGGCTGTACCGTCATCATTGGACTCTAAGTTACTACTATATATTCTTAAATATATCTCCTTTCTTTGAACAGGATTGGGTCCCTCAACGCATATCAGCAATGAAGTTCTCACGAGCCTTCTCCCTCTCCACTCTCCTCGCGCTCACTACCTCCACACTCATCCTCCAACCCCACCAATCAGCATCCGTCAACACACAACCCATGGCCTCAGCCGAAGCCGCCGCCTCTTCCAACGGTTTCTCGACTGAGTTGTTGTTGGGGAGGATGGGTGGCTTATGTACTGAATTCCTTGTGAGTAGGAACACCAAGGCATTGTAGCGATTTGAGCAAGGCTGCACACAACATATTCCCATCCTTCGCTGAACTATTTTTCTCATTTGCCAATGGGTATCATAGTATCTTGATGATAGACCTTCCGGCCGAAACCGCCTTAGAAGTCAAGAACTTGACCATGATGCACGCTATCCTACGACGACATAATGTGCTACCTACGAGAAGACGAAGGTTCTGGGTCTCGCCAGTCATACTCATACTCGCCCTGAGACAAACTATATCTCCCCCATTGATTACAGCGCGTATCCCATGCCCATTCACTCCAAGCCGATGTAGATGGGGTAGATGTACCAGCTTCGCTTGGTATATTTGTCCCCCAAGAGCATAACCAAAATTTACATCGTCCAAAAATCTGACATTTCTGCTCAGGCTTTACAAGCATGATCCAATACTTTTGTTATTATTCCCTGTCTTGACAGTATCGTAAAACCCTGGCCTGCCTTAATAGCGACTTTTCCAGCTACAGGGCCATTATCGCAGATCAAGATGGCGCAAATTTTTGTCTATAGTCTGGCCGTCGAGTGGCCCCGTAAGAAATTCTTGAGACAAAGCGAGACTTGAGGGAATCGAGACATTATAGGGTACGGCATAAACAGATATTAGCACCATATGCCACACTGGTTTTTCTTGGAGGAAAAGACCTACCAATTGTCGGATCTCGGCTTCCACAGCCGCCCAGAAGTCCACTGCTTGAGTCAAATTGTTTGTGATATCCTTCTTCATCTGTTATTAGGCCCGCGAAGAGACTTTGAGGTATTGCGCTGCAGATAAGACCAACCCGTGTGAGGGTTTGGGGGTTGTTGTGGGTGACAGTTGTGACAGCTTGCAACAATTCAATTTTTATTCGGGGATTCATGCAGCAATACCTATTTGGAAAGGCCACCGAGCGAAGGTGCCAGTCGCCAGTAGAATAGCTCCTGGACTATTTGGTTGGATTGAAGGGCCCAATTTTGTGTAAAGTCATTGTACTATTGTGCGTACAACTATTACCCTAGAAAAGATGTATTCTCGGCCTACTGTTTTTTATGCGTTTTAGGCCGTTTGACTTTTCAAACCTAGAATGCTCTCTAGAATTTGCTATAGAACGTGATTAATTGATCTGTGCTAGCCTGGCAGAGTATTAAAGCAGTATCTATTTCACTGATACAGAGTTACCCTCAAGGTATAATTTTACTAGGGTAATAGCTGTATTTCGGGTGTGAAGACTGAATGTTGAGAGCTTTCGGTGAAAATTAGAAATTGCGGTTTTCTTTGAAACTGCCAAGATTACGAATTTGTACGGAAAGCCGTAAGGATCAGAAGACCAAGCGGACTTCAAACTCCGCACCACGCACGCTTTACCCACCAAAAAAACATACTATGTTCCTCCCCCCTCCTCTTTTCCTAAGCCTCTACTACTACTTAAAATATGTACTCTCTCTCTCTCTCTTTAATCTCTCTTTTTATGTATATAAGTATAGGGGTAGGAGAGGAGGGATGTTGGGGGGAGGGGAGAGGGTGGGCGAGTAAGTTAAAAGTGAAAAGTGCTTCGAGACACGTGAGTCGCGAGGAAAAGGAAACCCTATAATTATAGGCTTCTCATTGCTAAATTTTAGGGCGATAGTCGCTAAATTATAGGCTACGGGTGCTAAAAAATTAGTACCTAACTTTTTGCTAGGGTGCGTTACAAATTTTCAGTGGGTACCCCTCGCGGTGGCCCCCGCCCATATCGCCCCTCTCCTACCACTATACTTATATATAGAGATAGAGAAGAATTAAAGAGAGTAAATATTTTAAGTAGCAATAGAGGCATATGGAGGGGGGGGGGGGGGCGTGGGCGTGGGCGTGGGCGTGGGCGATTTTTGATGGGGTAAAGCATGCACGTGCCTAGTGCGAAGCTCGAAGTTTGCTTGGTCTTCTGATCCTTACGGCTTTCCGTACCAAGATTTTCTGGCGAAGACTCACACTCGGCAGACTTTGCAAACACTTCTCGCCCTTTACAAATGAAGACAATGCAGGATTCTAGGAAACTATAGCTCGACTCCCAAATACTTTTCAGCCTTGTGAATCAAAGGAAGTTGTCCGTTCTCTCCCAGCCAAGAACGAGGTACAGCGCCAAGAGATTGCGAACACGGCAAGGTATCTTGTGCAATAACTGAAGCGGCCAACCAAGACGCTGGAGAATGAAATCCCACAGGGGTACAGATAGCGCTGCTGCCGCTGAAAGATAAGGATTGCGGGGTAATGCGTGAGTCTTAAATCTTATTTCAACTTCAAGTGAAGACTTCCTCCTTCATAGTTTTCTCAAGGTATATCCTCACTTATTTTTTTTTGGCTCTAAGCCAAGGAATCTACCGTTCCATCGCTCGTAGAGAAGTTCGATGAGGTGCAGACTTTTGCGCATGACGATACAATATGCTCAGCGAAGCAATCGACCAATCGCTCATGCACAAGGCCTGCGCCAGCGACGGGTCCCCCGTTAGGCTGCCTTGCAGGGCGATTCTCAAGCGCTTACCATCCAAGCCGAATGTGCTGCACGGGATGGATCGGCTGATCACTCGAGGTCCTCTTTGAAGCAACTGCTTTTGTGAAAGGGCGGTTCGGATTGCTGCCGCGCTGCGTGTCTCAGGCATCTATTCACGATGAATGCTGGAGCCATTCGAGGTGTGTGGACGGGAAAAACCGAGACCAACGACTTCAGGTGCCAATGCCAAATTTTTCCTGTACTGTCACGTTGCAGTGTTGCAGCGTGGCTTCTACCGAGAACAAATGTGGTGGACCGAGTGGCCTTTCCTGTTGCTATTTATGCATCTTGAGTTGTTTGGCGAGTCAGCCTCAGCCATGTTGTACCACATAAGCAATGCACAGGGCTTTCTTTGCCGCTCGACGGAACTTTCCTGTGCAGTGAGCAAGTTCAGCTCTTTCCGGCACCCGAAAAGTTATCCGATTTCCCGAATCGGCTCTTCTTGGCGCATTGTTGCTTCCCGTTTTGCTCATTCTGTTCCGTTGGATTGGTTCTGTTCGATGGTAAGCACAAGAATATATTGTTCGTTTTTGTTTGGCTAATGCTTTCCATCTAGCATGAAGTTGGGCTGCTGTGCTCAGAATGGTCGATGAATTAGGCAAATTTGACAGAATCAATGAATTGATGAGCGGAGAAAGTATTGGCAACAAAAGTAGTAAATTTGGTATTCCTTGACGCAACTTCTGCATTATGTTGCTCTAGCTTTCATCACCAGTTTGAGAAAGAGATTGAGACTTTAATGCGAAAAAAGTCAAAAATATGATATTTTTCTCTGATGTTATGAGGTTCTGCCGTTCAATTCCTTCTTTCCAAACCCGTCCATTTCTACCTTGTGTCTCACAATCTCATCACAGGTTGATATTGATTGTCACCGGCCCAGTGAAGTCAATCTCTCCAGCACAGATCTGCATCTAAAAACAAAAAAGAATTCATGTCAGTTATGAGATCATTCTAGTCATGAGGGCCAACTTACCCCATTGGTATTGATACAGCAGATTGTTGTAGAGCTACAAGATGTGGAGCTGGCAGGTCCGCAAACTTGCGAAGCCCCACTGCCGCTGCAGCAGTATGGAGAACCAGAATTGCAAAGATTCTGGGCAATGGGCTTCTGCTTAGGACAGTTTGGATTGGGAGGTGGTGGAGGTGGAGAAGGAGGGCCTCGAGGCTCCGGATTTGGGTGAGGCTCACGGCTTTCAAGCTTAGGACCGTCGGCGATTGGCGAGCTGTTTGTATCCGGCTCTGCCAAAGGTATGGCCAGACCAGTGGTCAGGCACAGAGTGAAGAGAGCAAGGAGAGTTCTGCTTTGGAGACGCATGGTGACTTGAGAGACTTGCAAGCGTTGGCTGTTTTTGAAATTGAAAAGCAGATGAAGGAGTTTGGGTAAAATTGATTCTTGATTCTTGCAAGAGTTATGGGTGGCAGCAGTTGAAGTAATACCAAACGCCAGCTATTGACGGAGGGGAACATATGATCTAAAGTTAGATACGAGACCGGCATCAAAAGGTGACGGTGGCTTTCATCCAACTTCTTAGCTCGGTCAACTGTTCCACAGTAAAATCAGATCCAGCGAAGTTCTTCACAAGCACGAGGTCTGGATTTCTTTTCGTGATGTTCTGATGTGGGCTGATGGATTTGTGGCTCTCAAGCAACATAAACGATCAAACCTGTCGCTACTACTCAGCCTCGCTTCCACTCAACTGAAATTGGATTCCGAGTTCAGTTGAGCGGGAAGAAGCCAATACACACCCTCCACTTGATTGGCCTGACGTAAAAGAAATCATACTCGATGCAGTGACTCGTCTAGTTTGGGATTGCATTCAATAGATCCGCATTAGCGGGACGGTTTCAAGATTCAAGAAGAATCGACAGGTACAGCTACCCCGCGGTCCCCGCAGGGAAACCCTGTCTCGTTCCCAAGCTTCCCGCTAATCTGCGATTGGCCCGGATTGTCTATGAACACGTCCCGAAGGGCTGGGCGGCCCTTGCGGCAACACGTGAAATGACGACCACTTGCTAGGATACTTCGGATGGACGGCATTTTTCGGGAAAACAACCACCTTCGGCACCCTCTGCTTCGTTAAGACTTTCAGTGGCTTTGAAGTCAATGACTGAACTAGTCAAGCAGCCTGTAGGAGAGTCAATATGACACATCAAGAATGAATAAATAACCTCTTTAATTGACATCAGCGGCTTGTTGCAAGTCAGATCTAAGGTCAGAGCCTTTTTTGTTCCTCCCCAACTTAGTCACTGGGAACAGGGCAAACTAGTAGAGCGAGAGTCTTAGAATGAGGCTCGCAGAGCTGTTAATGCCACCAAGACGCGCTAAGCAAAACCTATTCCTGAGTTCGGAACTTTTACTCCTGTGATTATCTGCTTCCAACTATAATGGCGCCAACAAGCATTCTCGGGATTTTATCCGGAGGGAACTGCCTCTAGCCGGCTTGGTATCTCGAGCGTTACCAGACTGCAAAAGCAACGGCCTCCTCCGCAGCTCCCTACATCATCTTCACCCTATCACCTAAAGAAATCCGATCATACCATTTCAGCCGCGCATGTGAAAGCATGCACGGCAGGGCTGGCGTCGCGGCCATCCATGCGAAGCGAAGCTGGACTGCTCGCTCCTTTGGATGAAGATTATCTAATAAGTCTGTGGCTCTAGACTCGCTGGTTCAACCAGCCTGGTTGAATCATAGCATTGTGAGGAGTAATAAAATACCGCAATTTCAGGTTCGCTTCGCCTCTCTTTGCCAATAGAATTCAGAAGGCTTTCGTCAGGCACGAATGAATATGTGGGTTGTGAGACCAACAATGCGGGATACGACTTCAACAGACGCGGGAAGTCTCCGATGGACTGAGATTCATTTGATTCTTCTAAGCCATCCTTCGCGATGGCTTGCTGGTAGCGGCAGCAATCTCATGACACGAAGAAGCTGAATTCGAAACCATGGACCACGATGCAAAGGGTTGGAAGACAAGATTGGAGGAAATATCCGTGGCTTTCCACATCACTCTGTAGGCAGATGAGAACACCCTCCACCATGCACGCTCTATCCAATATTGGACCGTTCGCATCATGACATCTCAGGGCTGAGAGCGGGGAAGAAGACGACAGCTCATGAGACCAACATATCGACGGCACCTTCCAAACGCCATCCTGTCCACGTCCTCGATCGTGGTGACGAGACATGAGCTGAATCTGCAGACCACAACACGGACAGCGGGGTCTGAGCATGAGGAGGTGTTGGAGGGAAAGTATCAGGCGATTTCAGTTTTGAAATCCGAGAGGCTAGGAATTTTGTCTATAAAAGGGCAGCTTCCCCTGCTTTGATCACCATCAGCAAGCATCAAGCACAGCAACCAGCAACACAATCAAACAGAACCAACCACTTTCCAAAACTTCAAACAATCTTTCAAAATGCAACTCACCAGCGTCTTCACCTTCATTGCTCTGGCCATCGCTGGCGTCTCAGCCATGCCTGGCAACAGCCACCCACCCCCAAAGCCACCCCCACCTCCCCCATCTCCTCCTGTGATCAATCATCAAGTCGTAAGCATATGTTTGCAACTGTATTTCAGCATCATCAAGGCTCCATCTAATTGTCAATACCCTTTTAGAACTACTGCTCCTCGGGAGACCCTTACTGCTGCGCCCCGTCGAGCACGGATGGCAGCAAGTCAGGCACCACCTGTGTTAAGTCCACCACGCAATGCAACTCCGTTTCCATCTGCTGCAACAACGCTGCTACTGGTGGATCCAACGCCGTAAGTAACTCTTCACCCACACCAATACTTCTCCACTTGTTTTGTATTACGTTCCCCTCATACCCATGAAGAATTCTTCGTCCGCCAACACCGCCCCAGGTCTGCAGTGCAGCCATATCCTATTCCACATACATAGCCACAACCATCTCCAATTTCCCCCCCTTCCGCACAACTACCACTGAAGCAGCAGCAACAATATCAACGATTTCAAGTAAAACGGAAGCAGCTAACACTTCCTCGACATCTAGGCCCAGTCCTGCACCTCCACCAGCTCTCTCCTGCAGCCCGTCATCTTCATCTAAGCGGCTACTGCTTCTGGCATCGCTGTTCATCCTCTTCGTTTGACAGCCACTTGCTGCAGTCTTGAGTGCTCCCGTAATCCTGTAGCCCAAACGAAAATTCAATGTATGAGGATAACGCAATATCTGGGTTCGGACTTTGGTTATGATTGGTGCCATGATGAATGAATTCTGTGGAGGAAACACGCTCTTTAGGATTTGTTTCTAATTTATCGGATTTGGATGTGATAAGTCTGTGGTCGTTGAACTTGCTTAGCTGGTCAAGGTGCACTTTAAAGGAGCTTGACTGGATTGTGAAGTTTGATAAGCAATATTATACCTGTGGAGAAAATTCATCTTTCATGCCTTTGACGTGACCCTACGTTCTGATGCACGAATTTTGCCTTGAAATTCTGCACCGATTTCTCCGTGGAGGCGCAAGAAACAGCGCCGATGCAAATTCGCACGAGATGCACAGCCGAGGAGAAACAGGGTTTGGGGAAAGGGAGTTCACTGATGTCGCCTTCTCAATTATACTATGTATCAAATATCTTAGACCTACCCAGACTCTTTCTGGTTTGTGAGGTCACTTGGCCGCCTTCGATGGTTCCACCGAGATATTTTAGTCTATAACCTTGCCATGGCTGATGTCTCTTTACCTAGACAGCCTTGTGTGCTAACTTCTTATCAATTCTTAGGCACTTGTCCCTTCAAGTGTGCGACTTACCGCTTACTGTTGACCAACTATGGCACCAGGCTGCAATTGCCCACCACTCCCTCGCGATGCCACTGAACCGGGAGTTTGAGCATCACCATCTCAACGTCCAAAGCGCTACCGCCACATTTAGACATGAATACCTTGACTTTGATCGTCTCGTGAACCTTAAGTTACGTTCGATATCGAACGTGCAACCATACTCGCCCAGGAGGGTTTCGTCACGTGATACATCCCTTTTGCGTCCGCTTTCGCATTCACTTTTCCATTTATCAATGTTGGGGACGGCGGAGGCTTCATGTCCATCACTGGCGACGCAACTCGCTTTGTTGCTGTCGGGCTACCAGGCGAGGTACTTCGTATCGTCGAGGACGCGACTGAGCTCGCCGAATCGTTCGTTTTCTCACTTCTCTGTGAGAAGGTCGAATGTACAGAGCTGATCAGAGTGCTGGAACTGCTACCAGGGTCTCTGTTAATAGTCGGCCGTATCGGTGTAGAAGGTCTAACAGGAAGAGGTACTCGACTCGGGCGTCTTTGGAAGTTACCAACAGCAGTGTCGAGACCTAGATTTTGCTGTGATCTGCCGTTGGGGTTAGGCATCGGGTTGGCATTGCTAGTGGGATGCAAAAGTCCATAGTTCCTTCCTCTGCCTCTGTTTTGAGAACGCGGTCGATTTTTCGATCTCACTTCCATAGCTCTTAGTGTCTCTTCGAGTCCTTTCCGTATTTCGACCTCTCGGCTGTACTTTTCTTGCAAGGCTCTGTATTGATCGCCGGCATGTTTTCGTTCCTTGTCTATCCGCATTTGCCAGGTAGAGTTGCTCAATTCAAGCTCGTCTATCCTTTTTTGCTTCTCACTGGTTTCGGCTTTTAATTGTGCAATCGTGGCCGCCGAGTTGACATTGCCTTCGCAAACAGATATGAATTTATTGTCTGGATGATCTGTCAGCATTTAGATAATTCAGGAGACTTCCAACTTACGTATAACCTTGGAAAGATAATCGTTCTTTTTATGGCAACAGGAGAGATGATAAATCTGATCTAGCCCCCCAAGCTCTGAAAGCCGTTCGTTCACTTGGCCTGCAGTCGGTCGCTCGCCTGGCTTGTATTTGAGCATACTGTCAATGAGTCCGATGAGATGTTTTGCATTGAAAGAGGGGTCTTCTTGATTCTCGAGGGCCGCGGCCGTGGCGTTCTTCTGAAGGTCGAGCAAGTATCTGCGTAACATCTCATATTTTCGGTCCCAGTCACGTTCCCTCATTATTCTCTCAAATTCATCCAACGACTGGCTATAAAGTACTGCAGCGACGTCGAGGAAGATGAACCCTAGCGACCAAACGTCTGCTGGGGACATATGGTGATCTTCTTCGTCATGGACTTCGGGGGCCAGCCATGATAACGTCCCTTGTCTGGTACAAGTTATGCTGTCTTCAGTTTCCTTTACATCTCGAGCAATGCCGAAGTCTGCCAAGTATACTCGTCCAGGGCTCAGCAGTATATTTTTCGGCTTCAAATCCCTATGCCGTATACCCTGCTGGTGGACGTACGCGACCGCTTCCGTTATGCAACCAAGTGTTTGTTGTAGGAAACCTAGGGCTGTAGCAGATCTGGGAACAGCATTCGGTTGCTGAGAGAGGTTTCGAAGAAGAGCAAGGTCCTCAATTGAACCAATTTCCTTCAGCCCCAACCCCGCCAGCCTTAGGAAAGCATCTTCTTGATCCGCACATGTACCTGATCGAAATTCATCGATGTCCTCAATGAACTTGCTTAAATCGCATACGGCTACCGGGTACAAGAGAATGTATAAGTCGTTGCGCTTGACCGTGTATGTCCCAACCAATTTCAGTATGTGATTGTGTGCGAGCCGTTCCATGGCATGGGCTTCCTCCCGGAGCTTCTCCATCGGTATCCCGCGTTTTGGCTTGACACTGCAGTATAATCAGCAATAAAATGGGGACTAGGGGAGACAGTTGCTCACAGTTTCCGAGCCATCGTAACTGTCTTATAAGTTACCCGCTCCACAACTCCATAGGAACCACTCCCCAACACTCTATCCTGCGCTCGAATCGTTTTGTGATCTGCCCATTGTACCGGATGCTTTCCAACACCGGACCAGTGGCCCTTCGATCGTTCCCATTCTTCAATCTGCTTCTCTTCGCGGATGGCAGTTGCGGGGTGGTGGGTCGCAACGAGGTGCCAGCCGTCGTCAACTCCAATCTCCGCCATTGCCGAGACGATCCGCAGCACGGTCCAACGATGGAATTTAAATTTATATCAACTTCAACTAATTATTGTCTTCGTCGTCGGAAAAGAAGTTTAGTCAAGGAGCAAGCCTGTTGTTCTGGATTCAAGAGGTTAAGAAGCTGAAAGAAGGTTTCATCTGCACAGCCCCATTTTACCGCTGATTCTTCGTAATTGAGGCGGAGTCGTGCGTGGTGGCTGACCCCATGCATCCCCACTAATCGTTCAGCGCTTCCCACCTAGTCTCGTTTAGTGACACTCACTAGGTAAGGGCCACCAATAGGCAAAGCACACCAATACGATTAATTATTTAGGAGTTATCAAGTGCTCAAGAAGGGTAGTCAAGAGGAGAGGCATGTAATATCGGATACAATCTATCCGCAACATGAACTCGTCGCTTCAGTTAACAGGAAATAGTGTCAAGCACAGGCAATTGATCGTTAAACAGCACCTAGCGGGGCTTTAAACAGTGCACAATGCTTTGTGGAGAAATACTTGTCGATATAGGCGAACGTTCCCACGAGAGAGCCTTAGCTACTTTACAAATGGACGGGCATTCTTGTAGATTAATCACCACTCAACTATATAGATAGCTTTCCATTGAGACCACCGTTGCATCCTAGAAGCTTTCCATCGTTTGTGACATGAAAGAAGCTGATACCGCTTCTGATGTTGTCTACTTTCGCCCCTTTTCTCCTCGCTTACGTCGGTGCTGGGTAGGGATGGCATAAGTATGGTTTTAGGAAGACCAATATTATATATGTATAAAATATGGGTTCTAGACCAATATTATTTATTATATTGGGTATTTTTAGATATTTTTACTAATTAGGCTAGAACCTGCTCCCAACTAATAAAATTAGCTGAAACGTGTCACGTGCAGACAGAATTTCGTACGATGGTTCAAACTTCTCTTTCTTAATATTATTAATTAATCAGGAAGCCATCCACAACAATGCAACCATGCCACCTTTAACTAATCGGAATGCCTCGCACGCTGATCGCTATACGTCTAAGCAATTCACGATAATTTATCCTACAGCTGGTTGCGGGTTTCGAACGCCTAAGGGCCAGTGCAAGCACTGCACCAGTAAACCCAAGTCCTGGAATCCAATACTCCATCAAGCACCTCATTTACTCGATTGCAAGGGATATAAATAATGGCTAAAGGATAATGGTACAGATTCGGTATCTGCGACCAAGAAGCAGCCTACTTTGAACGATTGGTTTGCCACGACAGACTCCACTGCAGAGGAGCTTTTTGCACTCGCAATCTATACTTCAACTTGTAGCTTCTCCACCTTCGAAACTCCTGAATGGAAAGCCTTCTTTACAAAGCTTAATTTCAAAGCTCCTGGACGTAAAGCTCTTGCTGGGAACCTCCTTACTCGTTGCTACGAAAAACTCAAAGCAGTCGTTTACGGTATGGCCGATACGGCATCCCACATTCAAATTATTACCGATGGCTCGTCGAATATTGGAAAACAACGCGTCGAAAATACATCCTTCTTGGTTAGTGGCATATCATATTATTAGAGTTCAGTAGCTATTGGAGCAGTCAAAGCAGGAGCGGACTGGATAGTGGATAATGTGATCAAGGGTGCCAATGAGATTACTAGAAACTCGCTCCATTAATAGACGTCTTTCTCATCTAATACTTATAATATATAGCGGAAAGTATGGAAGGTCTTAAGCGTACGCCCTGTTTGTAAATACGTTCTCTCTATACCATACGATTCCCATAGTATTTAACTTATCTTTAAAGATCTTCTCTTCCCCGGTAAAGCCGACGATGGTTCGCAAATTATTACTGTAATTAGTAAGTTCTTTAAAGACTTCTCTAATAAGATCGTCTCCTTCTTCTCCTCCTCCGACAAATAACTAGCCTATTTACGAGAAGCTATGGTTATATATGGTGGAATCGTTACTTTAATTACTACGGTACCAACTCGCTAGGGCACTCAAGTACATTAAATCGCATCTATTAACAAGTCCTCCGAAGCCCTCAAATCATACGCCGAACGCCCTAATAACGATAAATCAAAGCCTATTTCGATTAAGCCTCTGCTCCATAAGACAAACAAAGCATGGCAGCAGAGTCGAGCTTTGGAGGTTCTCCTTGAGCCTATTTATACATGGCAAAAGATGTCCGAATCGAATAACTCCACGCTTGGGAAGGTCTATATACGGTGGCTATAATTGAATAAGCATCTCCAGAGGTTCAGAAGACAGGGTACTGGCATATGGGCGGAGGAAATCAATAATTACTGCTCTCGCAAAGGCAGAGGTAGATGGAACGATCGAATCAATCAACAAGTTCTTCCCATCCATCTAGCGGCCTATATACTCCTTCCGGCGAACCACAATGCCTTCCTGACGCCCGAAATTCAGAAGTAAGCGGACGATTGGATAATAGAGAAGACAGGTCCAAAAGGGTTCCATTAATGGTATTAATATCGCAAGAAGCAAGGGAGCTTTGGGCCATTAAATAATTATTGGGTATACTTTGCAGAAAATCCGATCGCTTTTTGGGAAATCTCAGTAAGATATTTTAAATATATCTACATCTTTTACTAATTTTTTACAGGTTACCCTTTCTCCAGAGCTTTCCAAGCTAGCCCTCGATTTATACCATACCACTGCAAATTCAGTAGCCTCTAAACGAGCCTTTTCTACTATGAACTTCCTATAATCGAAGATGCGAAATCAACTATTAATCGAGATAATAAATATGCTCTGCTTTATTTATATTAATATACGATTAATTCGTTCAGCAATAAAGCATAAGGATATAGACAAGGAAGCGGCATTACTTACGGAGTTAATGGCGGAGATACTATTGAATCAGGAGGACGATATAGTAGTAATAGATAATATTAATGGAGAGGAGGATGAGACTAATATATGGGTTAATATTAATATAATAGATACTTAAATATCTGGAGTTTTATTCCTCTCTTCAAGCTTTTTTCCCTTAATTTCTTGCACTAATATTACATAAACACCATAATATTAGTATAAAAATTATGCATATAATATTGGGTATTTTTTTCCAACCCTAGTGCTGGGAAACCATAAACGAGCGCCTCTTTGTCCTAGTCTGGGCTCAGCGCAGCTCGACTTTAAAAAACCACTGACTTGTGCTTCGCAACACCTCTGGATTCCTCGATAGATACACGGAAGTGGCTTGCAGACGCGCGAAATGGCCTAATGTTCTGAAGTCCCTTCTCCGCGAGGAATTCGCTTCCAGCACTATCGTGAACGAAACATAAATTCTATACTCCTTGATTGTGTTATTTATACTTCCGAGTACATTTAGTCAGCCTTTCCCCCCTCGATATGGCAGGGGCATTCTCGAGAATTTTGGAAGTAGTAGCTAAAAATTGTAATTCCTCGTGAAATAAGCGAAAATACAGAACTTAACTCAGGTTGATTGAGAAAAGGGGCTGGAAGTGTTTACTACCAAACCTCCATGCCCGAAACCCTACCAGAGGGCCTGATTGCTTCCTATAGCACTTAATTCCTGCTTGAATATCATAGTCTCACTGATATTGCCGTAATCTATATCGTGTTCTATGCCAATGCTATTACTCTCAGTTGAAACTTCATGGCTTGCGCAATGAGGAAAGTGGGGTTGCGGGATTACCCTGCAGATCGGGCACGCAATCTCACGCCATCGACGATATCATCGATGACAGAAAATTCCCTCACACCGTGTTACACGTCTTCACTCATAAACAACTCATGATTATATGACCATTGTTGTTTGAAAGTTTATCAAGAGCGTCATGGGAGCCACTCTCACTCAAACGCAACCAGACATCTCCTACCATCCCGACTTCGAGAAATATCAGATACGCACTGAGCGGCTGAAAGCCGTCCGAGCACCCAACTCTGATCTCCCGGCTGGGTTTCCAGAGCAATTAACAGGGCCATTGGTGTGGGAAAAGAAAGATTTCTTGGACGAAAGAGAATGGACATTCTCATTAAACGAGTCGCATCTCGAAGAGATCCAGAACGCCTTACAGCATTTCAAGTGCAGGTTCCCTTAGGCCCCAGCACCACATACTCTCTCAGGGATAGCATATACTGATTTCAATTACAGCACTAAACAAGCTAATTGGTTATGTGTCCCAAACGACCTTCCCCCTGCCCACTCTCTCCCCCATCCTCCGTCAGCAAGCACACGCTCTCTCCTCTGGCCGAGGTTTCTTTGTTCTACGAGGTCTCCCGGTCGATAACTATACCACTGAAGAAAGCATCATAATTTACGCCGGCACCTCTTCTCACATTGCTTCCAACCGGGGCCGGCAGGACAATAAAATCATTGACGGACGCAAACAATCCTCAATGTTGAATCACATTAAAGATCTGTCCAAGACGAAAGAAGCCGGAAATATCGGTGCTCCCGCTTATACGACCGATAAGCAGGTATTTCATACGGATGCAGGAGATATTGTGAGTTTGTTTTGTTTGCAGACCGCGGAGAGGGGAGGCGAGAGTAAGCTGGCGAGTAGTTGGAGGGTTTATAATGAGTTGGCGAGGACGAGGCCGGATTTGATTAAGACTTTGGCTGAAGATTGGGCTTTTGATGGGTGAGTCACAAATTTTCTCAAGACTCGGAGAATTCTTGTTATTAAAAAGATGTAAGGTATGGGAACAAGGAACAACCATACACAGTCAGGCCTCTCCTTCACTACACGCCTGCGACAGAGAAGAATCCGGAGAGGGTAGTGATTCAGTACGCTCGTCGCGGCTTCACGGGGTTCCTGCATCTGCCGAGAAGTTCAAATATCCCGCCGATTACGGAAGCGCAAGCTGAAGCTCTTGATGCATTGCACTACCTTGCTGAAAAATTCAGTGTTTCGCTCGATTTTCAGAGGGGAGATGTGCAGTATATAAATAATTTGAGTATATTTCACGCCAGAGATGGATTTGTTGATGCTCCTGGGGGAGAGTAAGTTGTCGTAGTTCAAATGGGAGAGGAGACAGCTGACGTTTTCTCAGGAGACACTTGCTGAGACTTTGGTTGAGGGATCCGGAGCTTGCGTGGGAGACGCCAGCTGCGCTGAAAACTCGCTGGGATGAGCTTTATAAAAATGTGACGGAGGAAGAACAAGTGTTTCCGCTTGAGCCGAGGATTCGAGGTGGTGCCGGGAAAGCATGATTGTATGATTTGGAAGTGTTGATATTTCTATTATGAATACTCTGGGTACCCTGTCCCAAGACTTATCTAAATCTATTCTATCCCATTCACTCATTCTTCACATTGACAAGTCTTGTAATACTCGTCCCATCACTCAACACCTCGACTTCTTCCTCAACTCTATATCCGTACCATTTCGGAATGGCAACAAAAACCAAGTACCAGTACAACACTCCAAACAATAGTCTATTTCATGTCAGCACCAACTTTCTCATAACCATAAAGCGCGCAGAACTCACATCCCAATCCCAACAATGGCATAAGTAGCATAAAAGAACCCCACATCAGCCCTCCCATCTTTAGGCGGGAAAAATGGCGCCGCAATCAGCGCCAAGCAAATCACAATTCTCAACCACACAGCAGGTAACCAAGCCTTGAATGGTCTCTTCAAATCACTTCTCTTCCTCCTCAGCCAAAGAAGACCCAAGGCGGTTGCAAAGGCCATAAACTGTCCGGGATATCCTTCCACGTCTAATATGAAGTTGTACACGTCTCCTCGTGGCGGGATGGCGATGACGAGGAAAGAAGGGATGTAGTGTACGATCAAGCCGCCAAGTGGTGCACCGAAGGGCTTTGAGGAGGAGAGGAGCCGGGAGTAGGGGAGGAAGCCTTGGCGGGCGATTTCTTGGTTGACTCGAGCCTGTGCGAACTCTGGTCAGAATGTACCTTACAAGAAAAGGGGTGCAGGAGCAATAATTTTCAAGTACCAAGGTGAAAGTCACAACCATTACATTCCCTGCTGCGGAAACCGCGATCGCAAGTGGTAAGACGATTCTGCCGAAATCCTTTCCAAACACATAGTCGAAGAACAGGGCGGCGATGAGTTCACCGCCTTCCTTCACTTGATCGAGTGGGACGACGACGAAGTAGGCGAAGTTGACGAGGAGGTAAAGGAGGCATGCGGTGGCCAGAGAAGCGAGCGTAACCGTTTTTAATGTCCGAACTGGATCCTTGACTTCGTTGAGGACGTTGTTGATGTTGCCAAGACCGGCATAAGAATATGAGACTTTGAAGATTGCCGTGGACAAGGTTCCCCATCCCCAGTTCGATTCTTTCCACAATCCATCCCAGGAAAGTTGCGATGAAAGATTCTTGACATCTCCTCCAGTATTTACTCGGAACAGCACGACGTATATCCCCGTCAACGCCATAAACAAGATCAGTCCCACCTTAATCCACCCCAAGAAGTTCTGAATCCGAATACCAGCCTGCAGGAAGCAGCCATGCACAACCGTGATCACCGTCAGTAACCCGAGAGCTAGACTCTTCTGTGAGAACTCCGTGACTTCATACTCAAAAGCATAGAGAATATACTCTCCGAACACAATACAATTACTCGCCGTGAACCCCAACAACACAGCCTGTACCGCCACCAATGTGCTTGCAAAAAATCGCGGATGTTGATACGTAAATTCGAGATAAACCTTATCACCCCCCGATCTTGGAAGCATGCACCCATATTCGAGAGTTATCATCATGCTACATCCTGCGAGCAATGCTCCCACCACCCAGAGGAGGAGGGCAAGACCAACGGATCCGGTGGTTTTCACGATCGAGCCGGGCGTTGCGAAGATTCCTGACCCGATGACGCGCGAGATGACGAGGATGTAGGCGCTGGACTTGGAGAGGTTGCGTCCTAGGACTGCGGTTTCCGGCAGCACAGCATCTTCAACATATCGACTGGGCTTGGTGGTTTGCGTTCCTGACTCTGAATCGAATGGGGTCGAGGAGGATGAAAGAAGTGGCTGTTCTGCTGAAGCATCAGGATCGTATATGGGGGTCATTTCGGAACTATCTCCCGGTTTATTTCTATCGTTTGAAGCCACTGGAATTTGCTCGATATCAACAATTATATCTCGATACTAGGGTTTTTGCTTGGAGTCTGTACTTACGTGTGGAGATAGTACCACGCGACGTGAGATGGATGAGCAAGTGACCAGAAAGGGCGAAATATCATGAAGTGAGAGCGCAGTCCGAAACTCCACATGTCTCTGCTTATCAAAGAAAGCTGCTTATTAAATCCGCATAGAGTCCGCAATACTTTGTGCATATGATGCGTATCTCGAAGTGTGGTTGAAGTTGTGCATCACATCTGTAATCAGGACGAAACTTACACCTCATCCCGAAATCTCCATAATAGTTCGCCATCACCGCGCCACAAAATCCCAGCAAATCAGAAACATATTACCAAGCGTGCGATGATGCAATCACTCTCGTTGCAACAGAAGAGGGAAAATGGTGGCGTCTTCATTGGTAGAGCATCACGAATGTGTTCTCACCAATTGCGTGCTTGCCCCACAACTCCAACCACGAGAGTGCGGGGATCGACCACGAGGCTTAAAATGACTGTTGCTTTGAAATCAGTGATTACATTTCACTGTTCCGAGGTGTAGATATGGGTTGATATAGAACTTCGAGCTCTGCCTCGAAAGTGAGACATTCAGAATTCAGAGAGAAATAACGAAGTCATCAGATAAAAGCCCATACTTCTTCAAGCGAGAACAAAATGGCTTCGGCAGCAGTTCAACACCCTCTTGGCTCCGAGCATTTCGGAACTACCAACGACCACTACGGTCAACCTACTACAGCGGTGAACTCCAACCCGAAGAAAATCTCATACAAACCCCGTGATGTCACCACAATTTTCAACTACTTCAAAGACAATGAAGACGGAAGTCCTCCTCACCCATCCTACGTCGGCCAACCAGAAACCTACTACAGGCCCACCGTCCCATTGCAAACCACAGTTCACGACATCCGTGGATCAGAAGACAAGTACACACTCGATACAACTGGTTTCCAAGTCGTGAAGCATGAAAGTGACGAAAAAGATTTTGCGGATGATGGACATATCAAAAGCGTCTATTATCCCGAGATTGAAGATATTTTGAAGAAAGCGTGAGCACTCATCTCCACTCTCAAAAACTGCAAGAACAGAAAGCTTACGAGAACCAGAACCGGCGCCTCCAAAATCTTCATCTTCGACCGTAGGTGTTGGGGAGAAGTCCTTTCCCATTTTCGACTGTTTCATGAGATTCTCCTAAGACAATACCCTCTCCCAAAACAACCCTAATTGAGCAATTGCTGACTTTCCCGTTACCCAGATACCATCCGGCGCGAATCCGCTGATTCCCGCGCCAGCACGCAAGATGAGGCCAAGAAAGTCACACTCCGAGGTCCAGTCCAACGCGTGCATATCGACCAATCCTACGCCGCCGCCCCTCAGCGCGTAGTCCACCACATCCCATCCGAAGCCCTCGAACTCCTAAAAGGCCGCTACCAAATCATCAACGTATGGCGGCCCATCAAAACAATCCTGAAAGATCCCCTCGGAGTCGCAGAAGCAAATTCGGTGAAAGATGAGGATTTGGTGCCGGTTAAGTTGATATATCCCGATCGCGAGGGGGAGACATATAGTGTGAGACCCAGTGAGGGGCATACGTGGCATTATTTGAATCAGCAGACGCCGGGGGAGGTGCTGCTAATTAAGTGTTTTGATAGTAAGACGGATGGCAAGGCGCGACGGGTGCCGCATAGTGCGTTTATTGACGAGGAGAGGGAGAATGAGGTGACGAGGGAGAGTATTGAGGTTAGGGCTTTGGTTTTTAATGAGAATGATAGGGAGTAGGATGTTGGATGTGCAAGGGGAACCTGGGATGGACGGGTTTGTTTGTGAGGCTGGGACGCTATGTGTGAAATCGAACTTGGTACCATTCATTAATTGAGCTTCTGATCGTTATGTTAAAATGATAGTGTGGCGCACCGGGACCCGTTCCACAAGACGCATTCCGGCCGGTCTGAGAATAAAATCTGACATTCCAAAGCAAGGAAACCAACAGCAACGCGGGTATAGAACGCTCACACTCCCTCAACACTTCTACTCAATAATGAACCTCGCCTTCCCCTTCCCGTTCGCATCAGGGTTCAACGTCGACTTGTTCCAGTTCGAACCACCCTCATCAGCCGCGCCATCCACCCTGCCCCCGATCGTCTGCCCCGGCTGATGCGCATAGCTAGCTGGCCGATTCATCTCCGTCGTATCCCTCGCCGTATTGTAATTCTCAATCACCTGCTGTATAACATGGTCCAACTCCTCGCTCGTAAATGCATCCTTCGGCATAACCGCCAGCCTGATGTCTGTCTCCTCGATGAAATCCTGAACTTTGCGCAGTTGGTATTCGTCCTTCCTCAAGCGATCCGGAAGTCCTTGTCCTTTGAGCAACGCAAGCACACCTGCAGTGCTGGTGTTCACAATACCCAAGACTGTGATGGCCGTAGGGTGCAGTTTCGATGAGGGTCCGAGACCTGCGAGTGTCGCGCCGATCACGACGTTGGCCCCGATTGCGAGGTAGTAGAGCCCTTCTACAATGTGGTATTGGCGGCTCTTCATCGTTGCATTCTTGATGACTTCCGCGTAGAGACCGTGGGCACTCTTTCGGGCGGCCTCGAGGTCTTGCGGGCCGCTTACGCCTTTGTTGATCCCGATCGCATTGCGAAATCTCGTGAGGTTGGTCTCTTCGGCCGGGTTTGTTGAGGGGTGTCCGACGTCGACGAGGAGAGGCGTTTGTTCGTTTGTCATCGTGAGTGATGAGGGGAGATTGAAAGCAAGGAGATGCTGTTGAGGGAGGAGATGCTGTTGTGAAGGGAAGGGGTGCTGTTGTTGACGAGAGGTGAAGGTGACGATGGTGAAGGTCGGGTCAGGCTTCAGCCTTGTTTGGGTTCAGCCGCACTCAGCCACATTTGTTGGTCGAGGGACGGCGATGTGTGGCGAAGTGCGGCTCATGATTGGCCATGTTCGAAGGGGTGCGGCCACATGCGGCCACATGCGAGCCCCTTTTCTCCTCGGCAAACATCAGCTATGATTCGTCTTTCGTCCATCATCACATGCCTGACATAGACGTACCTCTCTGATCAGGTCGCAGCGGTTCCTTCTCGGAGTGCAAGTGCAAGAAGTCATTCGCCCTTGGCACACCGCTTGCCGAACCTTCCCAATTCGTGCTTAACCCGGTGTGTATGCCGATCGCTAGGCGCGGTAGGTCCCAGGAACACTCACCGGCCCCTTGACATCTGCATATCATTGGTGGAGTCAAACTTCCTCCAGCAACGACGGGGCCCATGAACAAAATAATTGGGCCAAACCAGAAATGAGGTATTTTGGATAACCTCAACCCCGCGTCGGATTAGAGGCAAGTGCTTCGATCTGGTGACATACTAAATAATCTCCTCACACAAAAGCTTGAATCTCTCTCTTTCAACCTTCATCACCTTTGTACATATTGTCAACCTTTTCTATAAAATGAAACTCTTCTCGACTTTGGCGGCAACTATCGCATTTGCCACAGTTGGCCATGCGCAGACACAGTACACTTCCACGGCTGTATCAGCAGTAGAAGCGGCAAGAGCGACAGCCCTAACTTTAAGTCCAACCAGCTCAATCAAAGGCAAAACGTTTGATCGGTTTGTATCCATATGGCTCGAAAATCAAGATTACGACATCGCAGCAGCGGATCGTATGTCTGCTCCCTCCCATCTCATCCCTCAAACTGACGAGAAAAGCTTCACTCAATTGGATCGCAAGCCAAGGCATCACATTAACTAATTACAAAGCAATCACGCACCCCAGCCAACCCAACTACGTCGCAGCCGTAGGAGGAAATACGCATTGGGTCTGGGAAGACTGGACCTTCCGCATCGACAGCTCCGTGAAAACAATCGCTGATCTACTGGAGGTTGCAGGGGTCAGCTGGAGTGTGTATCAGGAGGATATGCCGTATTCTGGATTTGAGGGGGATTGGGTCAATCAGCAGAATGGCGCGAATATGTATGTGCGGAAGCATAAGTAAGTATCGCGTGCCTTAAATCTCTAGCAGCTGCTAACGAGAGGGTAAAGCCCTTTCATGAGTTATGACTCTGTCACTTCAAATACAGAGAGACTTGCGAAATGCAAGAATTTCACCTTGTTCTATAGCGATCTCAAGGCGAATACTCTCCCGCAGTGGATGTTCATCACCCCGAATATGAGTTCGTCTTCCCCTTCTTCCTCATTTTGCTCGCCATTAATGTATTCAGCAAACGACGGCCACGACACCTCCGTCACCACCGCGGGCGCTTTCGCAAAAAATTTCCTTACTCCCCTGCTTTCAAACCAGAACTTCATGAAAAATACTCTCATCCAACTTAGTTCGTCTCTCCATGTTTTTTCTTTTTTCTTTCGAGGGCCGGAATTGACAAGAGAACAGCATTCGATGAATCTGAAAATTATTTTAATGATAACAAGGTCTTTACCGTGCTGTTAGGAGATGCAATTCCAGAAGCGTTGAAGGGGACGACGAATGATACTGCCTTCAATCACTATAGTATCCTTGCTACGGCGGAGAGGAATTGGGCGTTGGAGAATTTGGGGGAGGGAGATGTTGGGGCGAATGCTTTTTGGTGATTTGGACAGAGATAGGGAGGGGGAGAGGGGGAGAGGTGGGGCAGTAAAATGTTTAATGAAAAGGAACCTTGTTTCGGACGCAGTCGTGGGATCTTTTCTTCGAGAAGCGATAAGAAATTGACAGGCGCGTTGTGGCTCTGCAAACGCAGAGATGAGGTTGAGGTATATAAGAGGCGCGGCTCGACATCAAGTTAACTGATTCTGGATATTATTTCCAAATTCCAAATCGCCATCGTCTTTCAACAGGCGACTATTTTATCCTATCTCATTGTACGAATCTTGATATTGATGTATGTCTCGAATACTCCATACTCCCTTGAGTATTTGGAAGTGTCATCATATTGCCATTGAGTAAGCAAACAATCGTACTGTCCTTCACATGGCAACAACTTGGAATTTGACAGCAGAGACCGAGGTTTGACTCGACACTACGCAGTGAAAGGCAAGGTTCAACAGAAGCATGGGTCCAGGGGTAAGTGAGGGTTCCCTCCGTGGCATATGAATATCTAAACTAAAGAGCAAGGGAGTACATAATAGACTTTAGAGAGAGGAAGGGAGTATACAAGTTGTAGAAAGATGCAAGAGAATACGAAGATCACGGCATAAAGTGACAGGATTACAGGGAGGGCATTTATACTTTGACAGCACTTCAGTGTCTGTTTCTAGCGCCCTCGGGCACTAAATTGCCCTGTAATTCTGGGCCATTGCCTTACGAGCCTGGTATCAAAAGTCCGTGTTTTTAGCGATATATTTAGGCCTTGCAAAACCAAAGTCGCCCACTTCACTTCACAGTTTCACTATAACTATAGATTAAAACTTTATTTAATCCAAGCGCATACGATAAAAGAAGTTAGAATGGGTTTAGGAGGCTTTTAAACCTAATTCCAAAATATAATAAAAACGTTTAAAATAGTTATGGTTCGTTTCTTAGCGGAATGCCCTGAAAACACAGACTTTTTAAAAATACGACAAGGCGGGGGGGCAAGGGGTACTACACCTTTTTAAGGCTGCTTCCCTGTACTTACAAGGGATACCTCGCTAAAGAGCCCTACAGTAACTACCTATTTAGCGTCCAAGCGCTATCGTTGCTCTGCTAGTAGCGCTATTTACCCTGAAGATCTTGTTATACCTTGCGAATATCTCACAGTGCCTCTTGAGATCTGCTTAGGGCATATGGCTTGAGGTCGTAGGACCTTACTGCGGGCTCAACCCCCTAAATTATGTCCTGGGGGATGCCAAGGGCCTAAATGGTCTGTAATCCCGTCACTTTATGCCGTGATATTTGTACAAAATTCTCTTTCTAAGTTAGATTCAAATTTGATTCGACTTCCGATTTGACTAAGGAAACTCGATTATTAATGAAAAAAGCGTCTATTTCCGACTATTCATTGCATTATGACTGACTTCTAACAGTATTGAGGGTTTGGTTTTTATATAGAGCCGTAGTTGTGCAGCCCGAGTGATTTATTGACTTCGGTGGAGAGGGCCGACCTTTCCGGGATGCTTTATTCTAGCCAAAGATTGGAGCTCAGAAAATCATACCAAAGTAAGAACTACTCCCCCACCCCCTAAATAATTGCTAGTGTGTATGTCTTGAGCATAGGTGCGGGTAGGAATCCAGGGTGTTAGGCCGGTGAGGAAGTCCCTTTTGAGCTGGCTGAGAGCCACTACCGGGGTAAACGGTCTTCGTGAACCTTCTACGCACACCCCTGGCTTAATACACAGACCACTTTTTGCTCTGTGCAATAGATCCAAGAGCCCTCCAACCAGGCTTATAACCACTCAGAATAGGACTTCTGTTCCTCTAATCCATATTAGGTGCGTTAGCAATTATTTAGGGGGGGTAGTAGAAGTGGTTTTCCGCGCCTTCTGCATCATTTCTGGTTTTTTTGGACTTTACTGTGGACCGGAAATCCTGTGATTGGCTGTTGGTGTAATTGCTCCTTCCCGTGCAGTTGTGGCTGAGACACAACTTCAGCTGCCACTGCCTTTTCTTTCCCACTTCAACACATCATCACTTCTGCCCCATCATAGACTGTCCGAAAAACGGGCTCTTCTTCGTAGATCCATTTTGCTGGCAAGTCATGACATTTGCACTTGAAGACAGTGCCCAATCTCGTCTCTCCTGCCTCGTCTTTGATCTCGAGTTTGCCCCAGCCTCGCTCAGCTGTTCGCAACCTCCCTCTAGTCTGCAATCCCTGTAAACCATCAAGATCGCCCTCTGGGACTTGGTCTTAGTGGCGATGGCTGGACAGGATGCTCTTATGCTAAAAAGAGACCCTAAGTATTGTGACCGCTGCTGGTTCATGACTACAACTTCCGCTGGCCTTAGTGCACTCGATTCAAAGAAAGGCTACGATTTTTTTAACTGGCAGGAGTTGACGACAGTGCCGCCGCGGGATATGTGCTTGCAGCTGGATTTGGGGCTGTGGTAGCGAAAAGTACTGGAGCAGTAGGAAAATAAGCAAAACAAAGGCATCCGACTACGACGGCACAGGCCCTACCATTTGGAAATCTCGAACAATTAGGGGTATATCTTTACCAAAAATCGAAAGCTTTGGAAGCTCGTGCTGGAGTCTTACAGGTTATGTCTGGGTACCAGGATGAGACCCCAGCGCTTCGAGTGTTCGTGCCAGATGGTACGTGGCAAGAAATTAATGGGCTCATGGAGTTTTACTAATAACAAGCTAGAACAATGAAATGTTTAATTATGACCCCTATTCAGCCTGGAAGTGTCGATGGATAATATTTCGAGTGACTAGACAGTCCAGAAGGCTTAATCGTTACTTATAGATTGTGAAAAGAACCATCCAATTTGCAGAGGTAACGATGGAACCCAAAATCTGCGGAAGTTGTCCAACCGTGTGTTGGACGCCGCATCGACTGTCAAAGGCATTGCGGCACATCTCTATATATCAGAGCCAGAGGAGCGCGGAAGCTATGTTGCTTTGAGGTATTGCTGGGGGGGGGGGGGTCACAACAGTTTACGATAACTTCAAAAACGTTGAAGTCAACGATTCTAGGAGTTTCTTCAGACTGCCTTCCAAGGGCCATACCTGACAATATCACGGTCACGAGAAAGCTTGGTATGCGATTCCTGTGGGTTGGCTCCCTATGCATTTTCCAGGACAGCACAACAGATAAGAACCATGAAATTGCCACCATAGCGAGATATATTAAAACTCAACTGTCACGATTGCTGCAGCAAACGCACAGAAAGTTGAAGACGGGTTTTTGGAAGAACAACCACCATTGGATCTTTGCCCAATCCCTTTCCAACTCTCACCAAATGTCCTTGGGACCATCTACCTCGCCAATTAAGGGCAAGTTCTCCTTGGCTATCCACTCTTCAGTCGTGGCTGGGCTTGCCAAGAATTTGTCCTGAGTCGGCGGGTGATTTTGTACGACAGTTTCCAAGTTACCTTCGCCTACCCAGAAGCCCTGTTGAAAGGTCTACATTCCGGTCTTATAAGTTACATGAATATTACCGCAGATTTGTTTTCTTCGTTCTAAGGTAAGTTGGAAGATCGAGGCATTTTTCGGGAAATCGATCGCCCAGATAGATAGAAAAACTTGGTCGTGGAATACAGCCGTCGTAACTTCATTTACTTTTGAGATTGACTGCCAGCTATAGCATGGATTGCGAGAGAAGTCTCTCAAACCTGGAACGACGTTTCTGTTGCCAGCTTGTGGCGCGGATTTTTACTCGAACAGCTCGGTTGGGACAAGGCATGCGCGGCTTTGGAAGCTTCCCAAGTTTCTCTTGCCACCTAGCATGGCATTCTCAAAGCATTCTCAAATATTTAATGAGATAATTTTGATAGATGGAGAAGCGGCTTAACATTTTGGGAATCTGATCGACCACCAGGTACGATCTAGTGAAGTCTTACTTTCACCACAAGAATCGCCAGTAACTGAGATCAGGGGGGTTTGCTGCCGAACTTCGAGGACTGCCAGCTAATAGAAGGATGTAAAGCCTTGAGTGCAAGAAGTAATTTCGAATTAATACGCAGGCGCATGGAGCTAGTCATCGCAATTGGTTACGATAATTGGTTACCAACACAGCCCTCTGAACACCTCTGGACCAGTCACCAGTGTCTACCCCTTGTGTCCTGCCGATCTTCACAGGCATAAGCTCCCCCCTGGCGAGAGGAATTCGGCTGGGTCCCGCACCCATCGGTAAGCCGCATTTCAGGTAGACCGTTTTGAAAGTTAAATCCAACACTCCTTCCCAATCAAACAATCACGATGTGGCTAGACTGCACTCTATGTCACCCTAGGAAACCACCCGCGCGATATCCCTCCTATCATATTGATTCGACAGAACACGGAAGCCAAGCCATCGCGACCGGCTTACACGAACCTCAACGGGAAGGTTCCAAGTTGCACTACAGATCCTCGTGCTTGGCAGACCACGTGCAGGGTTGAGTGGCGATAACAAGACGGAGTTCGTCATAACCTGAGCTTTGACGTGGGAGGCCCCTAGACAATGATGCTGCGTTGGTGGGAATGAATATACTTAAAGGATACCTAGGTTCCCTCCTAAAACCATCCTAGGTCCCAGGCCCGAATCATTCCCGACAGTGCTCCCCCTTTTTGCACAGTAACCGGCAGGAAGATGAGAGCCTCAACACTCTTCAACTTCGCTGCAGCTGTTAGCTTGGCAGTTGCATGCGACTCGTGCTATGGACCTTCGTCGGAGGTTATCCATGAGCGGCTTGTTCGAAGAATGCAGCCTGAAGCCCAGGATACCACTATTGGCCCAAAGGCTCCCTTGGAATGGGGTCAATTGAACTTCATGCACACGGTCAGATTCACTCTATTATGTATTCCATTCTGCAGCTAACTTTTTTTTAGACCGATACTCATGGTTGGCTTGAAGGTCATTTGAAGGAACAGAATTATGGAGCCGACTGGGGAGATTTTGTTTCCTTCTCAACTCACATGAAGCACAAGGCTGGAAATCTTGGGGTGGATTTATTGCTTGTTGACACCGGTAAGTTTTAATATTGGCTAGAGTTTCAAAATACTACCTTGGATCAGATAGTTGCACTTTTTATCTGGAGAGATTTATGTGGATTTGCTGAATCCTGATGTAAGGCTAACCTCGGACTTCTCTAGGTGACCTCCACGATGGAAACGGACTCAGCGATGCTGCTCTGCCAAATGGAGTTTATTCTAATCCCATTTTCGACGAAGTTGACTACGATCTATTGACGATTGGTTAGTCTACAAATAAGCCTCTGAGCATTTCTGACTATATTTAGGTAACCATGAACTCTACGTGGCCGAAGTTGCATATGAACAGCGAGTTATTCCCTCAGCAGATCTCTCCTGAAACTGCCTCCGTCTCTGCTTGTTTTTTGAAATTTTGACTCCGAATCTGACACTTCCTAGCTTCTACAACTTCAGCAAAGTTTGGGGCGAGAAATACGTGACTAGCAATGTCCAGATTGTAAACCCCGCAACCAGTCAATTTGAGTACATAGGCAAGCAGTATCGGTATTTCAAAACAGAACATGGTAATACCACCTTTATACCATGCCGCAGGCCCCTACTAATACACATCAGGGCTCCGAATCATGGCATTTGGTGTTCTCTACGACTTCACTGGTAACTCAAACGTATCAAAAGTGATCAAGGCAGTGACCTTAGTTCAGCAACAATGGTTCCTTGATGCAATCAATTATCCAGAACCCATCGACTTGTTTCTTGTCATTGGGCACAACCCAATCAGAACCACCGATTTTGCGAGCACCTTTAGCCTGTTGCACAACACTATCCGTGCTTTACGGCCCAATGTCCCCATCCAAGCATTTGGTGGACATAGCCACATCAGAGACTTCCAAGTCTATGATGACATGAGCACTGGTCTTGAATCTGGTTAGTATTTCTCATTCTTGCAGACGTTTTCCTAACATCTGTAGGCCGCTACTGTGAGACCCTAGGTTGGGTATCCATGTCCGGAATTAAATCATCTTCATACACCGGCGTGATGAAGCCTCACGGAGTTACAAACCCAAGCCGGCTGGCCATGAACACATCCACGTCAGGAATTGTCTATTCCAGAAGATATTTGGATTAGAATCGTCTCACATTTGAATATCACGCCACCGACTCGCAAGCCAGCACTTTCGACTACCACAGTGGACTCCGAGTCACTGGTGAAATCACCGATGCGAGAAAGGAGCTCAACCTGGCATTACTCTACGGCTGCGCTCCTCAGACCTGGTGCGCCTCATGTCAACCATTTGAATCCTCTGGAAACATCTTCAGCCTGGTATCTACGGCTCTTGGCGCAGTTGTCGTCAACTCTTCACGATCTACCATCCCTCGTATTGTGATCGTCAATACTGGCAGCATCCGGTTTGATCTTGTCAAAGGGCCTTTCACCTTTGATGATTCTTTTATCGTCAGCCCGTTCACAGATGCATTCCAGTACATCAATGTTCCCTATGCCCTAGCCAAGAATGTTTTGAACTCCTTGAATGGCGCCCCTTTGAACGACAAGCGTAACTCTGCAGGCTCTGACTGGGGATACGTCATGCCTCAAGTCAAGGATTCTTGCATGGATCCTATCATTGGTTTTATTACTGAAGAGAAAGGTGAACTCAAGGCCCGAGGCCACACTCGTCGCCAAACCGTCGTAATCCCAGGTTATACAACGAAAGACGACTTTGGAACTGATGGAGATGATACGCCGCATTCCAAGATTCCATCGTACTCGCAGCCAAACTACGCCGCAGGAAACGCCTCTTTCCCTACCGATGGTACAACACCAGCTACCGTCGATGTGGTCTTCTTGGATTTCTTCGCAAGCACAGTAGTCAGCGTGTTGAATAAACTAGGAGGAACATACACTACCGCAAATGTGCAATATTATATGCCGCCAACCTATACTTCACAGAATTATTTACCTGAGTATGCCAAGAAGTATTGGCAGGCGAATGTGCCGAACTGCCCTGTTGGACAAGGAGTGGGGTTTCCGAGCAAAAATTAGTTGGCCTCGTTTAAGGATGGGAATGAGGTATTGTTACTGGTAACTTAGTCTTATATGATAATGATGAATATAATTGATCGGGATTTTTTTGTTGTCCTCGATTCAGAACATAGTTAACTATTGATACGTTTCGGCCTCGCTTATGAGGCAAGCCCCTTTCTGCTCCTCGCTTGCCGAGCCTGAAGCCCCTCCACCCGAGAAGAAAATGCCGTCGGGCGGACTTAGTCCTCGCACCTCCGCACCTCTCTCATCAATTTCTTTGGCGCTGCCGGCCGCCAGTGGTCAGCAGGATACAGAATTCAGGGGTTGGTCTGGCCTGCGCCTAACAGTCAGACTGACACGCTGAGTCTCCCTTGTCCACAGCCGCACTTCTGATACCGCTCTACAGTACATGTACTTCGTACTCAGAGTCTGTCCAACCAGACTTCACACCAATCAGCTCTCATACGCTTTCTCAAAATCAATCATAATCTTCGTAATTATTCGTCAACATGTTCATCGACACTCCCGGCGGTTTTGTAAGCCATAACTTCGACTTCGTCATCATTGGCGGCGGAACTACTGGTCTAGCTCTTGCTGCTCGGCTCTCTGAAGATCCGGATACTACTGTAGTCTGTTGGCGTTCTTGAAGCTGGCAAAAACTGATTCTCTGAACCCAATATCTTAGTTCCTGGCAGTAAAGAAATTCCCAATTATTAATAAACGCCTAATACTTGCAGTCGCATTCAATCTTGAAGGTCACCCTGACTATGACTGGATTTTCGGCTCCATGCCTCAGACTGTTCTGGGAGTCAGCACAATTTTCCTTCCTCGGGGAAAGGTCCTTGGAGGTTCCTCGGCCATTAAAGGAACCGTGACAGTGTACCCATCTCTGGAGGACATTGATCACTGGAGCAAGCTCGGAAACCGTGGCTGATTATCTGACCACCTGGCTCCGTTTTTCAAGATTTCTGAAAGATTCGATGGTCCTTCGCGAAAGATTGCTCAATTCTATCAAACTAAGCAGATCATTGATCCTGAACTCCACGAAATTCATATTCCGAATGCTACTTCCTTTCCGGTGAACAAAGAGCTGGCGCCGATGCTTGGTCCAGACATTTGATACTCTGGGAATGAAGATGACAGAAAATTCGCAGTCTGAACGAAGTCTGGGTGGATTTACGTAAATGATAACTTCTGGGGTTTGGGAACTAGAGTTGACAGCTGCAGTAACTTGGAACAATCGATCCGTCGTCTTCCAGAAGAAGCTACCCCGCCACAGCCTACTAGGCACCAACATCAATAGACCAGACTTGACTATGTCAACTGAAGCGCAAGCCAACAAGACCATTCTCTCCTGAGCACATGGCTCGGCACAGGCGTCTGGTGTCAGCTTTACTTCCAAAGGAAGTACGTATCAGGTGAAAGCGAGGAGAGAAGTTTTACTCTGCGCTGGAGCTTTCCAATCGCCACAACACTCGAACTTTCTGGAATCGGACCGAAGGAAACCTTTGACATGATTAAGGAGCAAAGTTATTGTCGACAATCTAAATGTTGGATTGAATCTCCAAGACGACCAGCCATTTGTGCCCACAAGTTGGAAACCTGAAGAAGGCATCCTCACACTTGACAGTCTTCAGGTACCAGGAGCAGTAGACGGGGCGTTGGCGCAATTTCACTCCAGTCAGAGCGGTTTTCTGACTTCCTTCATTCAGTTATCTGCATATTTGTCTTACGAGCAGACCGGCGATCAAATTTCCGATACGAACCCAACTTCACCATCCAGTAAGTACAAGATCCCCTGCTTGCACAAACAGCTCGAACTCCAAAAAGCAGTACTCAATGATCCTCTCAACACCACGGCCATGCTGATCCTACTCGAAGAAGGATTTTCGCTCCCCGGACTGACAGGAACCCACTTGCACAAACAAACAACCCTAGCTCCTGGTTCGTTCTTGAGCGCTAGCGCCATTCTCTGCCACCCCCTCCCTCGAGGGCCCGTACACACTGCCTCGAAATACCCGACCGCAAAAACCGCCAACTTATTACGGCTACTTTTCAGCACCATCGATCTCAAGATCCTCGAAGACACATATTTCTTCATGCAAGACCTTACAACCAAAGAACCCCTTGCTTCCCTCCGAAAGACGGTGGTAAGGCTTTCTACCCAGGCTATTGGCACCAGACGGAAGAGACTATTAAGGATTGGTGCAAGGCTACGCTCAATACGACCGATCATGCAATGGGGTCGTGTTCCATGTTGCCGAAAGAAGAGGGGGCGGAGTGGTGGATGACAGACTCAGAGTTTATGGTGTGGATAACTTGAGGGCTGTAGATGCTAGTAGTATATTTCCCACGACCATTCGGAGCAACCCTGTTACCACGGGGTATGCAATAGCGGAAGACAGCGGCGGTTATGATTTGGAATCATTGGTCGGCGATCAAATTTCAGGAAGGGGAATGGAAGGGACATAAACGCGATGCGAGTGGGGGGAGTATTAACAGAAAAGGTTGGGGAAATAGAAACAAACGAAGTTAGATCTGGGAACAGTTCTGCAAGAAGGACATGAAGAATGGGAATAGGATAGGGGCGAGAATTTGGAAGTGATTTGTCTCCCAAATGCTACAAGATAGGGTTGTAACAAATCAGAAATCTTTAACAATTGCGGTATATGACTGTTATAATTGGTCTGAACGTGGAGAGGAAGCATTTGGGGAAACTCCTCAGAACTGGCAAAAATGGAAGATACGAGGAACTTGAACTCCGTTACTCGGCTCCTGATTTGGAGCGGGCGAGTCACGTGATTTGACCAAGAGGAGCACTATTTTCGAATGGATAAGTCCAATTATAAATCCACCTCACTGGGGGATCAAAAGAAAGCAGCAGTAGCCTGTGCAAGCATTGAGTAGTGAGGTAACCTCCTATCTCGCAATTCCGTAGACCAGTTGTTCCCTACCCACGAGGATTTGGAAAATGACCGAAGGATGGCAAGATTGGTTACGAGATGAAGGAGGACAATGGAGCTACCCCGTAAGGTGTTTCCCCAGGTGCATGCCCTGGGATTTTAGTGCTGAGTGACCTCATCTATCACGGTGAGATTTCAAGCATAGCCCCGGAGTTAGCTGCATGATATTCAGGGGCTCGCCTAAGCCCTCGCTAGCGAGTCATATTTGTAACGCCCGCCGCGGGCAAATCACCGCCTCGAATTCCTCACCAGAACCTTATCAGGTCAGCCTTATCGCCGCGTCGGATGCTGGTATCCACCAAAATCAAGAATCCTTGCCCAAGAACTTCTCCTCATAATGGTGGCACGCGCCCGCGCCCGTCATGTTTCTCCACGCAAAAGAAAATCCTGCGTCGGGAGGCTTCAGCCGCGTGAACGACAATGGATGAAAATCCGCGACCCTCGAAACGAGCGAGGAAGTCTTGCGAGAGATGCAGAACGCGGAAACAGAAATGTCATGGCTTTCCTGTCTGCGCAAACTGCGCGAATGCGAAAGAGCAATGCATCCAACCTCCTTCCGCAATTGAGGAGTACAACAGGTGATCCATCTCCCGGAGACAGTCGAGCAGAAACTGATTGTAGACAGTGGTCCGAACCAAGCTCTCCTCGAACGCATATCATTCCTCGAAGGCCAGCTCTCGGCGTACACCAATGGCCCTATACCGGAGAAACGAGAAACCCCGCAAACCGTGTTTGAAAGACAGCCTCTTGTTTCGCCGCTGAATTCCGAACCCTCACAGCAAACAAGTAGCATTGCTGATATTGTTGGATTTCTGAGTCTTGGAGGCGAGCCTGCTTATGTTGGATCTTCATCCGGATTCTCCCTGGCAACACACCTCGGACAGATGGCAAATGCGACAGTCTGGAACAAAGCCTTGATCTCGACCGTCAATCAGACGCAGCCGAAAGCTATGAGCATTGCCGAGTTGAAGAGGAACAGCGCTGGCCCGCCGAACGATGATATGGGTGCCCGGATCATAGATACATACTTCACCAGAGTCCACCTCAGATACCCTTTCCTGGACCGGCAGGATATACTAGAACGCCATGCGAATAGATTTGTGCAGAACAACTCGAATCCGAAAGATCAATATGGCACATTCAAGATTTATATGATATATGCGATTGGCGCCACGATGTTGAAGTTGACGGAGCCGTACGATTATACCCCGCCAGAGAACTTCTTTATGACTGCTCTGCAGTACATTTCTGCTGCCAGGGAGTCCCACTCGGTACATAACATCGAGGCCATGACCCTCTTAGTTCTATACAACCTTCGTTCCCCGTCAAATTCTGGAATCTGGTACATGATAGGGCTGGCAATGCGTACATGCGTGGATTTGGGCCTTCACAGGGAAGCACATTATGGGAACGTTGCTCCGTATGAAGGGCAATTGAGGCGCCGTTTGTTCTGGACGGTGTATTTCCTCGAGCGGGTCATTGCCGTCTCCGTAGGACGCCCATACAGCATCGCGGATAGAGACATCGACGTGACACTTCCGTTGGAGATTGATGATAGTGTCAGAGATGACAGCCTGATCGCACGCACCTTAGCGGTTTCGCCCAGTCCTTCATTCCAAGCATCCCGTCCGTCTTCGAATATCACTCTCGCGGTACAATGTTTCCGGATGAAGAAACTGGAGTCACACATCCAGGGCGAAATCTACAGAGTTGACCGACCGATTTCAAGCCTGGTATCAAAGATTGGCCCTTGCATGAAACTTCTCGAGGATTGGCATCGTGCCTTACCGCCATCTACACCCTACGAATCAGACTATCTAAATATGCATTACTACAAAGCAGTTCGCTTGCTACTCCAACCATTTCTGATGATCTTGCCACCAGCGGATCAACGCGTGGCTCTTTGCTTGCAGGCATCGGGCCAAATATGTCAGATCTTCAAGCGCCTACACCAGCGAGATTCGTACGGACACTCATTTATCGCTCTGCACTCCGTCTTCATTGCTGGCGTCACTATGTGCTACTGTCTCTTCATCTCCCCAACACTCTGGACCATCACCGTGTCCAACGATCTTCGCGCTTGCTCCTCAGCGCTCTTCGTCATGGCCGAGCGCACGCCTGTCGTCAAGAAATATCGCGATGCCCTAGAAAATGTAATGAACGCAACAATGGAGTTCCTCGCTCGTGCGCCAGCAAAACCTAACCAAGACCAGGCGCTGACCTCACCGGTGCTGACACACGGAAGCATGGCTCGGACACCACAGCAAACTCATCATGAGCTATCTAGTGTGCTCACCGATTTCTCACCAGGCTTCACGGGAGCGGCGCAGGAGAGTTTTGTTCGTGGAACACCGAAAGCAGGCGCTACTCCAGACATCGGTGGAGATGGATATAGCTCCTCTTTCATCGATGAAGGGAGTGATGTGTATGGTTATATGCCGCGAGTGCAGGCACAGGCAAGCCCTGGCGCGGAAGGTCGTTGGGAAGGCAGACAGGGTGAGCTGGGGCAGATGGATGCGGAGTGGATGCTGAGTCTTTGTGAGGGTGAGGGGTTCAGTTTGCAGATGTTGAATGAGATGATGAGGTTTGAGCCAAGTTTGGGGGCTTGAAGCTTCATCTTAGTAGATGTGTTGCGGTAGTATATATTAGTCGATCTAAGTTTGATCTCATTTTCTCGAAGGCAATATATAGAGTCAAGTCTCTTTGTACTGTGCTGTACAGACCTAGTTTGGTACTTCAAAAGTCAATTTCAATATTCCATCTATCAAGCAGCTGCTGGTGCCCCAATATGCGCCCGGCACTTCATCAGCGGTTGGATGTTCTCCCCAAACTTGTCCATCCCAATCAAGAAATCATCGAACGTCAACATTATCCCCTTCGTGCCAGGAATCTCAGCAATCTCATCCAGCATCCCCGCGACTTTCGCATATGACCCCACCAAGGTCCCCATATTCAAATTCACCGCTCCTTCAGGAAGGTTGATCGTCTTTACCGTCGCATTACTATCAGCCTTCGTATCCTTGCTCCCCTGGTCCGCCATCCAAGCCAACGCGTCAACATCCGCTCCATCCCTATACTCCTTCCACTTCGCTTCGGCCGCCCCATCCGTCTCCTCCGCAATAACCATAAACAACACATACGCACCGCAATCCCTGCCCGCCTTTTCACTTGCTTCCACAAGTCTCTCATTACCCTCCTTGATATTCGTGGGCGTATTAATCCCACTGCCCATAGCAAAGTTGAAATCCGCGTACTGGCTCGCGAACTCCAGACCTCTACCACTTTGTCCAGCTGCCACGATTTTAATATCGCCTGATGGTTTGGGGGACATCTTGCAGTCCGTCATCGTGAAGTGCTTCCCTTTGAAATTCGATACTCCGTTGGCCCAGAGGTCTTTCATGACTTGTACGTATTCAGTAGCGTAGTCGTAACGATATCCGAAGTAGGCGTTTCCAGGCCAGATGTTCATTTGACTGTACTCTGCTTCCTGCCATCCAGTCACGATGTTAACTCCAAACCGTCCAGGAGCAATGGAATCAATCGTTGTCGCCATTCTCGCTACCAACGCCGGAGGAAGAGTCAGGATCGCGGACGAAGCGAAGAGTTTTATCTTCGTGGTGACGGCGGCCAGACCAGCCATAAGAGTGAAGGATTCGAGGTTGTGGTCCCAGAACTCGGTCTTCCCGCCGAATCCACGAAGTTTTATCATGGACAGGGCGAAGTCAAGATCGTAGGACTCGGCCTTTTGGATTATGGCTTTGTTGAGGGCGAAGGAGGGTTGGTATTGTGGCGAGGCGGTGGAGATCAGCCACCCATTGTTGCCCTAAACCCCAGAGTCTCGGATCAGTATTGCTTCAAGTGGATATAATTGACAGTTGAGACAGCGTCTTTTGAGCAGTTCGCTCTCGAGACACATTTGTCTTGTAAACAGTTCGTAAGGCATGTGAGATGGGAAATGAATTTTGCAGAAATTGAGACTTACGATGGGGATGAAGACCCCGATTTCCATTTTTGGAGTCATATTGGAAGGGATTTTGGTGAGAGGATGAAGACTTGGTTGGAGTTAAAAGTGAAGGAGTGAAAAAAAGGAAGATTTTATGAGAAGGAAGAATTGCAGGGTACAAGAAGCTTGAGCTCAGAGCTCACTTTGCACCTTGCGATAGGTGACGCGCCAGCGGAGCTCCGATGCGCTATGGCAGATACGAGTCAGGTCACCCATCTCGGATACTTGCCGACGGCAGACACTTTTCTGCGCGGATGACAGTATTCGATTAAGTGTTCGACCGCGGGGAAGTGAAGAGTGGGATCGATGCTGGGCGAGATAAGGAGGACCCCACCGAGGTTGATAAGCGAATTATTGCACGTGATCACCACCCCTTTTTTGCTCATGTTTTGATTCGCGTAATTAGATTTCGTCATTGCAAGCATTCAAGCAACTGTCCTAGATACCAGGGCACGCGATGGCCCTTTCTGGGCGATTTTCAACTTGCCGACATCTCGGTCTCGACCAAGTACCTGAAATCTTGCTCCTCGGTTCTGACAGCGTCTACAACGTCCGCGAGTTCTCTGCCACCCCTCGGACTCCCAACAAGAAGGTTCCTGGGGTTCATGTAGTAGAAGTCCGTAAGAAATGCCCAGATACTAGTCTTGATTGCTTCTTCTATCACTAGAAGGATGAGGAGAGTGTTGAGTACCACGAGGATAATGTACTTTCTCTCTCCAAATTGTATAGCTTTGATCGTAATAGACGCAGGAGCTAATTGTGTGTCATTTGCCACCCTTATTGTACACTAGCGTAGCAGGTAAAATTATCGTCTGCCATAGCCGTAATGGAATTCTCCAAGCCGCCTAGGACTGCATTATCTGGTTTGTTTGTTCGCTATCCGGATTTAACACATAGTTGTTAATGCTGGTTTTAATAGAATTTACTATTAGAGACAAATATAGAGTTGTTTGATCTGAGGCCACCATTTGAGGCTGCCAAGTAGTGAGGAAGGTCAGAAAGCCGCTCGGTTCGATGTCGTACTTTGCGTCCCAGTTTCCATTTCTAGCCAGTTTGACGGTAATATTGCGATTGACCATATCCACTGTAATATTATACAATATTGACTAAAAGTCGATATCGCACTGTGTGCTGTTCAGGAAAGCATTCTAGGATAATGATTTCGTTAGCAATTGCTTCATATAGTTGTTTTCGTGAGACCTGGCTATTGAGCTACTGTCGAGAGAGCAGTCATAGATTGGTCGGAATAAGAAAACAATTTCGTTCAGGACCTGCTTCCCAACTTTTGAATGCTAGCATTTGGTCAGTATTCGAACACCAGCTTTCGTTTATTAGGAATTTTAGTATTTCGCAAATATTTGTATGTTAGTAACTGATACCAGCATTCGATTACTCACTAGTATTTGCTCCTATAAATTTCGCAGTTATTTTTAGAACTACCTACTATAAATAGTTCTAAAAAAACTAAGTATTTGAATACTAGCTTTTACCCTTTCTAATTACCTTTATAACGCTTCTTAATACATAATATTTTAATTATTATATAAGTATTACACTTCTCGTATAATTTTTATTGTGTTTTGCCTTAGTAAAAAAGTTACAATTAATATAAGCTAGGCATATCCTCTATATTTAACGCCCCGATAACGTCTTTGTTCCCCGCCGGTGCCTCTGCGGTAAAATTACGCAGTCAACATTGTAATCCCAAATATTTCTCCTGAGTGCCATCCTGGAGTGCTCCTTGCGTGATGCATAGAGAATCCAAAGTCCACGGCTGTTCTGTTTATTCGAAAACATTGGAGACCTGAGTCGGAGCCGGGCTCGCAACATTGAAACTGGTGAGAGGTTATGTATTCAAGGTGCGAGGGCTTGAAAGCTCTCTCGTACCGCTCCTCATCTGAAGAGAGGCTTAGGGCCCGTTTCGTACAGACGCACGTCTTTTGATTGCTGATATTCGCTAACAACCAAATACTAGTGTTCAATACTCGATATTAGAAGCTAGCTTTTAATAATTTAAAAAGGTTTCGCAAAATGCAAAACCTCAATAACTATTGTAATTGCGGAAGTTTCAGAGTAATCTCCGGTAATCTTAAATTTTAAGGCTTACATTTCTTTAGTAATTACTCCCTATCCGTTATGCTGCGGCCAGCCTTGGGTTTTGCTTATAATTTTTCTCTCAACTTCAACTTCAAATACCTTTCCACAAACAAATAACGGGTATAAATATTCCTATACACTTTTAGAAACTTTTTAAAACTATATATAGAGCAAGCTTTGCTTAAATTTTATTAATATTCTAGAGATTAGAAGGAGTTGAAAAAGTAGGACTTTTGATGTTACTTTAATTTAAGCGAAACCCAAGGCTGGCCGCAGCGTAACGGATAATTATAAGATATTATAGCCTAATATTTATTTGTCTTCTAAGGCAAATGTAATTAATTTATTAATTACTTTATTATAGCTTTCTTACTAAGAAAGAATTTAAGATTGAAATTATACGAGAAGCGCGATATTTATATAATAATTAAAATATTATGCCTTAAGAACTACTGTAAAAGTAATTAGAAAGGGTAAAAAGCTAGTATCCAAAAGCTAGCATCTTCAGAACTACCTACTATAGGTGGTTCTGAAAAACTGCGATTTGTATGGAAGCAAATGCTGGCACTCAAATGCTAGCAATGGTTGCTAGCATGTAAAAAAAATGCGAAACACTTATTTTTGTAATAACCAAAAGCTAGCATTTGGATACTGGCCAAATGCTGGTGTTTGAGGTTTACGAAACGGGCCTTTAGATAATCGGAAGGAAAGCGGGCAAGGGTATTTAAAGTTCCCGGAGAGGGTTTCAGGACAGCCGTAAAGGAGCGGACATGGTTTTGAAGATGATGCCACAGGGGTGAAAAGGTGACCAGCTGAACGACTAAGGAATGACCTGTAAAAAAGGCCAAGGTTTTGCTCCACCGGAAATCGGGCCGCATAATGGGTGGTGAATTGAATAGAAGCCAATACTTAAAATTGGAGGCATTTAAACGAGGGTAAAGTGAGATATCACCAGAGAGGGATAATTCACGTGGTGCTCCCCATATTAGCGCGGCTATTGGCAGGCTTTATCAGTGGCCTAAGTTTTTCTTACACTGAAAGCCATTAATTTCGAGTGGAAGATAATATTCGGGCATGTCAACTCTGAAATTCGAACTTGATCATAGCTTCGAGTCTTCCTGGAGCAAATCCACGGCATTCTTGGCCATTCCCCTGAAGCCATCGAGTTAGTCTCCTCGAGCCTATCTCGCTGAGGCTACTCACCATGAAGCCTGAAACCCTGCCCCTCCCGCCCCATAGTTGTGGATTACCACTGCTCCTCCCATAATTACTCTCTCGATTCGCGCGCCTCCTTTTCGGCTTGCTGTTAGGGAGGTCAGGGATATCTCTGAGCTGATTTGATTCAAAACTTACGTCTAAGTCCAACTCCGTGTTGAATCACTTTCAAATCCTCCGGCCGTCCCAATTCCGGTGCCAGAGCACAGCATCTCCTCTTGATGTCTTCTGCAAATTCCATATTGACCTCTCCGCTCCAATCATTGTCGACTCTGCAGCCACCGAGTATGACTCCTCCCCCAGGGTTTCGAGGAAATACGTATGTGGTATCCTTGTTCACTCGCTGAGGGGAGCGAAAATACATTCTCGTCATCGGAGTTATTGGGTTCTCGACCAGCATCACCTAGGTAACGGGGAGTTAGCCATTGCCCCTAAAGATTGCCCCCAGAAATTTGGAACGTTGTCTTCGAGTAAATCATGAAGCAGCCAAAAATAGGGAAAAGGTTTTCCCCTAACACCTACCTGACCCTATTGCTTGTCAGCTTTATTCATCCTCGAGGCTTAAACACAGGAAACGAACCCTTGTTGGATACAGAAGTCTGTCTTCCACACCCTTCAGATTGTACGATCCCAATCCTGTACAGTTGAACACGCTCGCCACACTGGAGAACCTATCAAACACCTCCTGTTCCCGAAAAAATCGGAGTTAGCATATTCTTCCAAGTATTTCCGGGAGTAGAATCTTCCTGGAGCTATTGGATACTGTTACCGGCATGTTCTAGGAAAGGTTGGGACATTCTACATACCCTGGAACCGAAAGATGGAGGGATACCACGAGAACTTGGGACTTACCTGAATATCATCGATACTGGCACGAAGGATCTCAATCCCCCTTTTCAGCACTTCTCCTTGCAACCTGTTCTAGTCAGTTCTTATCCTCGCTTTGAAGAAGGGGACCATCAAATCACCAAGGCAAATACTTCTGCACATCAACCACAAAACTCCCACACTCAAACCCAAACACACTTCCCTCCGGCTTCTCCTCCTCCACAAACCTCAAACCCGTCAAGCTCTCATACCAAATCTTCCCCCTACCTTCTCCCTCCACGCTCAAAACGCCCGCATCTTCCATGTCCCGATCAAACCAGGCTCTAACCGGCACCTTGTTGATCCCCGTCTCGTTTCCTTTTCCATCAGCTAGTTCTCCGAACTTCTCATACGTGACGCGGTCCCAGCCCTCCTGTCTCCCACCGTCCGTTGCAACGCTCAACCAATTGGCTCCAGCCCAGGGCGAGCAATAGTCAACTGACCTGTCGCCTGGGAGGTGTTTGGCTATGATTATGATGTTTGAGTTGGGGTAACGGGTGGAGAGCTCGAGAGCTGTGGTGAGGCCAATGACACCAGCACCGAGGATGACGTATTCTGGAGTTTGTGACATTTTGATGAAGTGGAAGGGTTTCCAAGTTGAGGCTGAAGGAGGAAGAAGAACACGTTCAAGCGATTTCGTGAGTTGAGGTAAGGCAAGAGTGGGTCGGTCCAAGTGGGGACCGAGCAAATCAGATGTGGTGAGCCCCGGCGATCCCCTGATTCACATACCACATATAACCTAAGGACTAGAAACTCTTTGCGTATACTAAGTTAATATTAGGTATTAAAATAAAGAGTTTATTATATATATTTAAATCCTGGTAATATTTCTATTTCTATTTATATATATAATGGGAGGGAAACTGTAATAAAACAAAAACTCATATAAAGAATGCCAGAGAGTAAAATGTAACTAAATAGCAAAATAATAAGAATAAGAGTATGCGCAGTAAAGCAGAAATAGTATACGATTGCAAAAGTGTTAATTGATTATTAGGAAAGAAAATTGCTTGACTAGAACTCTGGAAAAGGCCAGCACTCTTATATATTACTCCCAAGTTACATAACAGCAGAAAAGTCCGTGATCATGTGACTACAATACAATAACTGCCAAAACAACATGATTTTTATGGAGTACGACTTGCCGTACCACACAATATGTACGTGATCCTCGATATTATAACACGGAAAACTGGAGTCAGAAGGGATAGCGAAGAAGGATAGTTCATTATACTGTAACCAACCCCCTTATAGTATCAGGTGAGGGATAGCAATACGAAAAGCACACCAATACGAAAATCGTACCAAAATTTGTATGGGAAAACCGCGCAATTTGGGCTATAACAACGCCTTAATTTTTTAATCTTAAAATTTAATGCTCAAATAGATTTAGGCTTTGGAAGTAATTCCCACGAATTAAGTACTTATTAAAAGCTCTAAAAATAAGAGCGTGAAAGGGCGTCTTTTTTGGTGGGGGGCTGGCAAAATCTCAGATTTTCGTACTGGTGTGCTTTCGTATTGCTATCCCTCACCTGATCAGCGTGCTAAGCGTGAAATCAGGTGACAACCGCAGAACGATTACCTTATCTGTCTAACCCTCTCTCCACAAATTCTATGATACGAGAGCAGGGCGTATCAAATTTTAGGCCTGCTCACGCATGGTTCGGTAAAATGCGGCCCCACTCGGACAGCTCGTGTCAGCCGCCGTGTCGGCATGTCCGGGGGCCCAGTGGGAGGGAAGAAAGGGAGGCCGTGTGATTTCTGGGAACTTCCCGGGGCGTCTTGCGGTGTGCGTTGGATATTGCCCATTGCATTATCCATTCGTAGGAGTCAATTTTTTTTACCAAGCCACTGAAGCCGCCAACGCGCATGATACTCTCCCCCCCCCCCCCCCTAAATGTTTGCTAGCGGCCTCCACTGCCCCAGTTTTCCATAAGGTACGATTTCTGAGTGGTTCGAGCACCTGGTCAACCTTTTACCACAGGGCAAAAAGTGGTCTGTGTATCAAAGCAAGGGTGCGCGTAGAAGGTTCAAGAAGGCTTTCTGCCCTGGCAGTGGCTCTCAGCCAGCTTAAAAGGCACTTCCTCACTGGCTAAACACCCTGGATTCCTACTCGTACCTATACCCAAAACATACGCGCTAGCAAACATTTAGGGGGGGGGGAGGGTACGATCATACGAGATAATTCCTTTTACCAAGCCACCGGGACATCCTCCGGTTCCCAACCGACCCGTCTGAAGTCTGGCATGAGCAAAGCTTACAAGCGAAACGGTTTCATTCGCCCGGTCTTTGTCGCGTCCACGCCAGTTGATGTTTCATCGCGCTTTGGATGACAAGGAAAGAAGCACACGCGGCCCCGACGGGCACTCTCGTTTCTGCAGGGACGTCGATCAGAATTATGGAGTTTTGTGGAGTGATATAGCTTCTGCTTCTGCTTCTGCTTCCCCTCCTGCTCCTGCTCCCGTGCACCTCTCCTCTTGGAAAAGCAATGAAGGTATCACCAGCCATCCACAGACACAATTCTGCATTTCGTATCATGGTTGCAGGTTAAGTAATGTCGGATGCCAATCGCAACCGACAAAATGGCTTCCACTCTCCTAAGTCAACCTTCAACTCTGCCTCCACCTCCACCTCCTGGTGCCCTGCCTCCACCTCCACCTCCTGGTGCTCCGCCTCTACCAAATTCGCCTGGCACCTCTACCACACCCATCAATCCTGCCACACTGGTACGCATGTTGTTCACTAACGTCAACCACTCCTAACCTTCGCTACAGATGCAGTCGCGCGTACCTGAGTTACTGATTGTCACAATTCTGATGACACTATGTGCTACTGTTTTTGTGCTCGGTCGATTATACTCAAGACTGGCACTGACTCGAAATTTGGGATATGACGATATATTCTTAGCTGTGTCCTGGGTACGTCCCAGGCCTCCTTTCAAAAGGACGTGCTAATTCGCGCAAAGGTACTAGACATTGTCCTCACGGTTCTCATTTGTGTCCTCACCAAGCACGGCGTTGGGAAACATGTTATTATCGTTCCGTTGTCAAGCGCACATTGGATACAGATCTTGGGATTTTCCGTCCGAATGGTCCATGTTGTCGTTCTCACAACTACGAAGCTCTCCATCTGTCTCTTCTACCGCCGGATTTTCCAAGACCGACTGAACAATATTCTCTCGAGCTCGCTCATGGCTTTCATGGTCGTCTTTACGGTCGCGTTATTTATCGAAGGCTTCTTTGCCTGTGAATATGGGGGTGCGTTTTGGGCCCCCACAGGATGCGGACTGGCTTCCTTCGCGGAATATTCTGCTTTCTTCATCTATGGATCGGCGGCATTGAGCGTTAGTGCAGATTTATTCCTCATGGCTTTCGCTCTCTGGAGAATCATCCCGCTCAGCATAGCCAGAGCACAGAAGATCTCATTATACATAATCATCTCACTAGGTTGGGTGGCCATCACAGGGTCTTTGGTCCGGGCAATTCGTACTGGCGAGACGTCCCAGAGCCTTGATCCGACGTGTGAGATCCCCCGTCTGCCTCCTCCCGCACTTGCTGACTAGAATGATGCAGGGGCCGCATTTGAAATAGATATCTGGGCGTCAATCGAAGTCAATATAGGGTTGATTTGCGCTTCTGCACCGGCCCTTAAACCATTGATCCGAAAAATCTTTCCCAAATTCCTCGCATCCACTGTCGAACCCATCTCCGGCGGAAACAATATGGCTCCTATAGCCACAAATGGCTCTTCCCAAGTGACTCAACATTGTGGCCGAGTTGGTGCTTTAGAGTTTCGCAGTTTTTCTACCTCTGGTGTAACACACACACAACAATCATCCACGACCAGCTCTAGGGCCGTCATTGATAGAGAGAAGATGAACAGGGAGATTGGTATAACGGATCTTGAGAATGATGAGGAGGCATTAGATTACAACACTCATCTATCATAAGCGATCTCCTTCTCGTTCATGGGCCAGTGTCAGTGGGCACATTCAGTTCATGAATAGCCGAAGGCTACGACAGCTGCAACATTCAAGGGAAGAGACGGAGTTGAAAACGGTGGCGCAAATTCAAAAATTCGTTGGCTTCAGTTGACGATGCACGCATCAATAACGCGTTTCGACATCACACCAAAACGGGCAGACTTCGGTACGGAAAAATCCACAACGCCAAATTTCCTCCAGCCACACGGGGTTATGACCCAAAGATGTGGTCTAGACATTCTTGGGGTTGGCTCTGGGAGTACCCAAACATCTATTGAGCCTGGATTGTGGGGGTTATCAAAATCCGCATGTTGTGCCCGAAGCTGCACGATTATCCTAACAACATGGCATGAGGGGAAAGTTTCGTCGAGTATGTGACTTGCCACTTTGAGCCTATAGGTTGGAAACGGCCTTTTTTTTTTTAGACGATTTGGAGTGGGCACAATTCTCAATGGCCGCGTTAAGTGGCCACCACACAAGATGTTGTAATCATATGGGTCCTGAGTAACGTTTGGAGGCAACTCAAGCTGTTGACCTAAGGCGTATCCTTATGGTGGGGCTGCCCCCTCTGGAATTTCATGGAAAAGCTTGAACAGTGGGACTGGACTAAAGTTCGTTTGGTACCACCCCTTGCAAAGTTGCAAAGTTGAGAGAGACGGTGGCGCATTTGAGGGGATGTTTTGTGCCGATTTTGTTGAGGGAAATGGCTGCTGAAGTTCGGAGAGCTGAGTTGGTGGGAAGCATGTGATGTGTTACATGAGACGGACGTTTGGTCTAATTTGACTACGAATGGGAGGGTTTGTTGCTTCCGCAGAAGGTGCGTACAATGAAATAATAGAATTCTAAAGGCATGACCGTCCTTTGGGCAAGGATGCCGAGCACCAAGTCTCACAACTCATTGATCTCATACATGTTCAAAAACATCTACCTTAAATTGAAATGCACCGTAACCATTCAATGTCCATCTTCCTCCATTCTCCACTAACCCCCACACCGTCTACCTGCCATACCTCTTCAACTTGTTAAACGTGCCACCGCAACCACCCCCTTTTTTCTTTCCTTTTTTTCCCCTTTTAACGTGATTTATTAGTTTTCAACTATATAGCACGGCTTATATAGACCAGACGGCCCATATAAAGCAGCAGGTCAGCTTTTTAAGAGGAGAAACTAGCAAAACTCCCCCCCACTTCCATATCATATTCCATTATAACCCATAGTCTTCCCTAGACAGGTATCCGGCTCCTTGCCTCAGAAAGAAACAAACAAATACCCCAGGTCCCTCTATCTCGTACGTATATCTTCGCGCAAAAGGCTTTCTAGACAGACAGTAGTCGCCTCAGGTCCTCCTATCCCAGGCCCCCTCTTGCGTATAAATAGTTGTATATCCAGACATTAACTAGTATTCCCGGTAGTCTGTTCACGGCTCCCTTTCTTATCTAACCAAAATCCTCCCTGTCCTTCTCGTAGACCATAACCATAACCCGCCTTTTTCCCCTTTATATTTTCGCTCGGCCCTTTCCTCCAGTCGTGGGTATGTATTTGAACGAGTTACGATATACAAGAGGAGGTCGAAAGTAGAGGGTTGTATCGTGAAATTTTTTTCTCGGATCTCGATCGTGGGTATCGCTCGCAGGTGATCGCGACGGCGTCGTCGGGGTCTCGACGTCGAAGGTCGTGATTCAGTCTTAGCCCAAGAGCATGAAAGCCCTTGGTTTCCAGCCTGCACTGCGTGGAAGTGCTGAATCGTCGCAGGCCGCAACCACCCCTTTCTCGCGCAAAAATTCGGCAACATCTTCCCTATCGTTCCCGGCGGAAGATATGCAGCTCCTTTTGCTACCAAACCCCCTTCCTTTATTCCTCCTCCTTTTCCCCTCGGTCTAATCCAGGCTTGGCAGAAATACCTAATTTCTGGTATCAATAGGTATTAATGCCAGAATCGTAAAGTATCGATACTATTGATAAAGTATTGATTCCCGGAACCTAATTCCCCCCTTTAATTGCAATTAACTTTAGAACCACTTCCCTTATAAGAAAACTTTTGGTAGCGTAAATATTCTACTTAATTTAGGCTTTCTATTTAGCTACTTATCTTATAGTTTAGACTAAAACTCGTCTCAATGCGGCTATTTTAAGCAAAAAATAGCTTTTGAGATTTTCGTGAGGCTCGCTTATAATAAGCATTCTAATAAGAGATATGAATATGATACTAAATTCACCGAATACAAGGGCTATTTTAAAATTTAGATAATATTAACTTTTATTAATAATATTAAGTAATTCCTTTAATAGAAAAACTAGAAAATGAAGAAATTATATATAAATATATTATTATATATTAAATAATAAATGGAAGAGATAATTTTAGGCTAAGTATTAATTCGGTATTAATATATACTGATTCTTGTAATACCTAACTAATACCATCTAGTATTAATACCTTATTAATACCAAAAGTATTTTTACCAAGCCTAGTCTAATCCCAAGACCTTCTAATCAAGTACGAAAATTACGGTATAAAGTATTGGGAATACAGGGCATTATTTTATAAAGGCTACTAAATGCCTTATAAGGTCTTACTTTAATCTTCCTATAGCTAGTCCTAGCCCCCTATAAGCCCTATAAGAGTCCCCTGAAATGTGGCTTACCTTACTAAACCTCTAATTTCAATTATTTTTTAATTAGTTTAATTCTATCTATCTAATATATAATTACTTTCTCTTAGCCCTTATTCCTATTTTCTTTATACTTATTTCCCTCTTCTAAATATATTATCTTCTTTATATAATTAGGAATTACTATAATTTACTCTTAAATCTTACTCTAGGGAAGGTCTTCTTAGTACTTCTTTTACTTTACTCTCAGCTTCTTTCTATTACTAGTAAGTTCCTGCTTAGTAATTTCCTTTTTTATCTAAAACCAGGCTTTTTTAATTATATTAAGATTAGATAAGTTTCCTAGCTAAAGTAATTTCATAATCTTCTATAGATTATAAATCTTTCCTTAATAATATAATTTATAAGGTCCTATATTATTCTCTTATATAATAATATTAGGATAATTCTTTTAGTATTTCCTTATAAAGGGCAAGAGCTTCTTAATTAAAATTTTCTTTTAGTATTAATACTAATTAATCTCTCTTCGTTTATTCTTTATAATAAAAGTACTAGTTTTCTTATTATACTTCTATACTTTTCGTATTTCTCTAGAAGCCCTCTTATAGGCCTTCTTCTAATCCCTAAGCTATTTCCTTTATTTTTTTCCTACTTTTATTTATTAGCCTTCTTAATTAATAAATTCCTTATATTAAGATTAGCTTTATAATCTTTTTTCTCTTATAAAGTCTTTATTTCCTATATATAATAAGGCCCCTTTTTATTATAAAGAAAAATCCCTAAAATATAAACTTAGAAAATCCTTTCTATTTTCTTTATATATAATACTTATTATATACTTCTCTAGGTAATCTCCAAATATATTTCTTTTCCCTTATTTCTCCTAATTAGATAATAGTCTTATTTATAAAAATCATATCTTTCTAATAATTAAATATTTAATATTTTCGCTTTAAGTACTAGGCTAATTTCTCTACTTTACTAAGATTATTTAAGCCAGGCTTAACTATTAGTTTATACTAAGAGTAACTTATATAAGTAAGAACCTTTTATATAGTTCTAGATATAACTTTATAGCCTTCTTTTTTTACTTCTTTTATAATTATAATATAAGAAAAGCCTTTTATAATAGTATTTTAAAGAATAACTATTAAAATATACTTAATTACCTCAGAAAAGATTATAAGTTAACTAGATCTTAGTATATTAAATATATAAAAGATCTCTAAAAATATTTTTTTATTTTCTATTTATTTATATTTCCTAGCTATAGCTATAAGTTAATAAAGAGCTATTTTAGGTATTTTTATAGCTTCTCTAATTTGTTCTAAAAACTTCTTATTCTCAAGTATATAAATAGCTTTAATTCTAGTACTAGTAAAGTACTTTTTAGGCTCAAGAATAATAAGTATAAAATTAATTAATATTAATAAAGCAAATAAAAGAACTAGTATAGCTGAATTATTATCTAAATTATCCAAATCTAATAGTAAATTATACTATATATTCTCTTTATTTTCGGCTTTAGTATATTTATTATCTAATAAATTAGGAGAAAAGAAGAGCTCTAATTAGCTATCTAATAAGTTAGGGAAATTAAATAAACTTCTAAAAGTAACTATAATAATAACTAAAATAAAGCAAAAAATATTATAATTATTATAATATATAATACTAGTAAAAATTAGACTAGAGCTAAGAAAGGTATCTAGTATCTAAATAAAACATCTATAGTTACCTAATTATTATACGTAACTCCGAGCTTAAGCTAGTATATAGGCCTATATATAGCTTGTAATTATTTAGATTTAAGGCTCCTTTAAGATTCTCTTCTCTCTTTAGCTTTAAATTATTAAAATAGAAATAGTCTAACTATATCTTTTAGGCCCTAGATCTTATACTTATAATATAATTTAAAGCTCGCACACTTCTTAATCCTATAGAGGATTTAAATAATACTCACTCAATTAATTTTTAATAAATATAGATATAATATACTATAGCTACTTCCGTACTAGTTAACTAATATTAGAATAAAAGAAAGCCCTAGAATAACTAGACAAGAAAGCCCTAAATTAGTTAGGTAAGCGAATAGGCTAGTAATCTTATTACTAAATAAAGACCTATAAGAAAGCAAGTCCCAGAATAATTAGGCAAGTCAGAAGAAGCTATAGTACGAGATATTACTAGTATATTACTAGAAGATAGACCAGAGCCTCTTATTAAGTCTCCTAAAAAGTCCGAATATCCCATTAATACTTATAGTAAGAGAAATACTCTTTTTTAGAGAACCAAGAAAAAAAGAGACCTGTCCTATTAAAGGCAAACTTCTAAGAATTGCTCTAAAGCCCAGAG